CAACAACAACAACAACAACAACAACAACAACAACAACAACAACAACAACAACAACAACAACAACAACAACAACAACAACAACAACAACAACAACACAATACTTGCTCTTTGCTTTGGGCAGAGACGGCCGATGATTGGGGATGGACGGACGGATGATGATGAAGTAGGAGAAGAAGGAAAACCCGAAAAAACAAAGACTTTGCTGCGTTCAAATTCCGAAAGGCTCTTGTACCTCGTACGTGTAGCTTGAGTAGCAAAAATCAAAAAAAAAACATTTTGAGTATCTTGAAACTTTTGCAGTTTTTGCTTTTGTGGGAGTATGTTATAGTGATCATGACCTCATCTCTCGGGCGAAGAAAGGGGGAACATGACTCCAGTATCATACTCTAACTAACCACCGCCACCGCCACCAAACCGGTCGCCACACATCTTCTCACCCACATGCCCCAATCCACCCTCCCCCCTCAGCACCCCCATCACCACCACACCTCCCTCCCTCACACACCTCTCCTTCTCTCCAAGTCTACCCAAACTCCACCTTCTGCTCCGCCCCCTCCACAGGCCTCGCATAACCCAACCGATCACGATTATAAAACTCCACCGCGACCTTATGATCATTCTTCCCGCCATCCAGCCCACCGCTCTTGATACACGTCACGTCGGGCATGATTTCCAGCTCCGTGTAGAGGGAGCTGCCGCAGGTGGGGCAGAACTACCGCAAAAAAAAAAAACCTCTAGTTAGATGGGGTTTCGATTCGTGGAGTCGAGGGGGGAAGGGGAGACATACCCAATGTTTGTTTATCTTCCCCGACGCGCCCGTGGCGTCGTAGTCTTTGGGCTGGCCCTTTGTGACTTTGAAGTTGGTGCGGGGCACGACGACGTTGGAGGTGTAGGCGGCGCCGGTCCATTTCTGGCAGTCAGTGCAGTGGCTGGTTGTGCCGATGGATGTTAATCGTGGCTCCGGCGCCTGGCTTAGAGGGGCTTGCTTACCAGAGTGCGGTGACGGCTGGCTCGCCTGTGTATTCGTAGTTGATTTTGCCGCACATGCAGCTTCCTGAGGCCATGGTGGGGGTTTTAGACGTTCGAGGTGATGCTGCTGGGTTTGGGGTTCTTGGAAAGCAGTATCGTACGTAAGAGGTAGAATCAAAATTGGAGAGTTCTGAAAATGTCTCGAAACTTTGGATTCTGATGACTCGGGCTTCTCAAGAACAAGCAAAGGCGAGAAATAGGGAAGTAAAAAATTACGAGAGAAGGGCTCGAAGCTCTACATTTATGTTTACCCATGTTTCCTCCCCTCAGCACTTCGTCACGGCGCATCGTCCGTACCCCTCACATCTCACGCCTTGACACCTGCCATTCTTAGACCTCGCGAGCCCGAATGGATGAAGGGAGTCGACAAAGCTCAGGCTAGGACCAAGGGACATCACAGCTCACGAGAGCTTTGGAGGGGCATCAGGCAGGTTAGAGGGGGGGCTTGCAGATCCTTTGAGAAGCAACTTCGGCTGGCAAAGTCCGTCATCCGTAGTCTGCGTCAGCGCGTTGTCTTTTTGATGAGATGGAGGTGATGAGAAGGAGAATGGGTTGAGACGTGGGTTTGATAGACTTGATAGAACGACCTGCTGTCTCGCTGCAAGCGGCCCTTAGTGCCCGGACTGAATAGGACGGCCACGACCAATCAGCGCGATTCTTGGCGCCATCAAGGTGAATGTCGCCATACAGCTCCAGGGCTTAAACACGACTTCATCTCGTCCACGGCGCAGCGCAATGAGGATGAAGAGTGTGCAATGCTTCAAGACCGTTTCTTCATTCATCCCTGTCCAGAACCCACTACTCCAAAAGCTGTGTTGTCGCTGACAAGGGATCATCTAGTTCAATGCCATCGTTCGCCGCTTCGCCTGCAGTGAAAAGTGCTACTCTCCGACCTTGGCCTTCAGTTGTGCGACTTCCGACGTGAGCTGCTCGATTTGCTTGCTTTGAGTCTGCAGCATGCCTCTGATCTCGCTCAGCACGTCTCTGAGACCGCCTGCTGCCGCGCTGGCTGTCGAAGGTCTTGAATCCTCCTTTTCTCTCAGCTCACTCGCTGCAGGGGCTGATGCCGCGGGTATGCCCTCGCCTGAGAACGCATTGCTTGTACTCTTTGGTTCGGTTGGTGTTGCTGCTGATGAAGCGCCGACTTTCGCTTCCTGTCGTGCGGCTTCTGCGGCCGGTGCTGCGGGCATCGAGGGGCTTGGCTCAGTGACAGGAGAATTCGAGACCTTACCCTCTTGCCGTGCAGCGGCCACAGATGGACGCTCAACAGGCTTTTGAATCTCTTCGAACGAGCTGTCGTCATCATCTTTGTCCTCTTCCTTGTCGGCAAATTTGTTTGCCATGTCAGACATGGACTTTTGATTTTCCTTGACGCTTGGTATCTCGCGTGCTGCTGCTAATGTGGGCGCTGGTGCCGGCGTCTCGGCGATCTTTGGCTCTGCTTTCGGTGCCGGCGTTGGTGCTGGGGCGGTTTGAGCAGGTGTGGGTTTGGGCGCATCTTCGGCCGCCATGAGCTTAGGCTCGTTGCCATCGTACACGTCTTCCATGGAAAGCTTGGGAGGCAATGCACTCTTGCCACCGAACCACTCTGCGCTTGACATAGCGGGCTCTGAGCCTACTGCTGGCGGGTAGATGTCTTCTTGGAAAGTCTCCGCTCGTCGAGGCACAATGAAAGAGATTGGCTCAATGTATACATCATCGACCGTCTTGAATGCGCGCATGATCTCGTTCTCGTGGGTGTTGACGCCTCGTTTTGGCAAGAACGCTATTCCTCGCTGTGGATTCGGCGATCGGTATTCAGACAGGAACTCGAATTTGTCGTTCTGGTATTCGTAGTAGCGGATGTTCCCGTCTCCTTTGCCTGCGACATAGAGGATCTGAGAGCCATCGTCCCAGAATGGCATACCCACGCCCGAGCCGCTGTCTAGTGACGTGAAGCCACCAATGGGTTCCTTCGGGTTTCGCGTGTCCCACAGTGCCAGTTGTCTTTCGCTCATTTTGGAGAAGCCAGTGGTCGCGATGCGGTCATGGTCTCCCATCCACACAACTCTGCTGTTCTTCGCACCGCTGTGTCCCGGTACTTCGTGCGCAGGCTTCTCTTGTCTCACGTCCCAGAATCGAAGCTTCTTGTCCCGAGAGGTCGTAGCAAGGGTGCTGCCGTCGGCGCTCCATGACAGAGAAGTGAAGATGTCGCTTCCTTTCAATGTGAGTTTGGCCTTGCCATCCTCCAAGTCCCAGATCTTGACAGTGTAGTCGCCAGACGACGACGCAAGGACGTTCTCGGCGGCAGGGTTGAAGAGCACGTGCCCAACTTTTCTATGGTGACGTTAGACCTGTAACGTCCAGACCGCATTAGTGTGACATGAGAGACCTTACCGTGAGTGCCCGCTCAGCTTTCCAACAGGCTTGACATCCTCTGGCTCCTCTGCATCGGTACGCAGGGTGAAGTTGTCTGGAACCTGCCAGAGGAACACCTTTCCATCGTCGGACGCAGAGGCGATGATCGAGTCGTCAAATGGCGACCAATCCGTATCCAACACAACCGCTGTATGTCCTCTGAACAGAGGGATCTGCTCAGGAAGCTTACCTCGCTCTTCTAACGGAATGACAGCGAATGCGCCGCCGCCGCCAGCCTCCCAGTTGACCGACAGGTATTTGGGGTTGGCTTTGATCAGGTTGGTGTCCCAGGCATTCTTGGAGATGCGGAGGTTGTCGTACGTCTGCTCTCGTCGTACAGACTGCCCGAAAACGTGGCGGTATTTGCTGGCGCGCACAAATCTCCCACTCATAGCTGACACCAGAAGCGCTGGGTTGCGGGAAACGTAGCTTTAAATCTACCTGCGATTAAGCGGTGTTGGGTCCGATGTTTCGATACTCGATGGAGAGAGCGATAGGTATGGCGATTTGGATGTGATGGGGTGCGTGGAAGCGGAATGTGGCGTCGAGGCAGAGGAGGAAATGGAGGCGCCTTTGTCTGGTTGGAGGTGCAAGTTGGGTGGGTGGTGTTGGGCTGCGCTGCACAGCCGCACGAGAGCGGCAGGGATCTGTCAATGCCCGCGAGGCCGGCTTGGCAACGGGCCATCCCACATGCATCGCCGTCTCGTGCTTCCTTTCTATCGACTACTTCTATCTCTGCTTCTCCTCGTCCTGGTGGAACCATCTCGCCACGAAGCTGAACGGATTGACCGATACAATTGCTCGCTCCTGAGTCAGACTCTCAACCAAGCTCATAAACGTGAAGGCGCCCACGGCCGTCAGAACATGCCACCACCCATGAAACTCCAAGACGAACGACCAAGGCATTCCCACCGCTCTCTTGAGCTGTGTCAGCTCCGCGCAGTACCGAAAGTCCAATTGCCAGAGGAAATATCCGAACACCATGCATCCTGAATTCCGTTAGCAAGATCCCCCTCCATGAGAAGACAGGATCCTCACCTGCACCAAGAGCTATGACCCATCGAAGCCTGCGTCTGTCTTGCTCCTTACTGACCCTCTGCTTGACGAGTTGTCTCGTTCGAAGGGCCACTAGGGCAATCAAGATCAGAAACGCCAGCTCATGTACCTTGATTTCGTTGGTCACTGTGTGGTATATCGTCTCAATGACGACCAATGCAACCAGTGTCGGTGTGAAGATTTGGCTGAATTCCTTCGACTGACCATAGGTCATTGATCGATGCAGCACCGTGGCGGAAGCAATGATCATGGACGTATCGTCAACTGTATGCGCTCAGCCCAAACTGCACTACGAACCACATCCGACCGGAACGTACACATTTGCGACCAGTACTTCAGCAAGCCATGGAACAGAGCCGAGCAGATTCCGACAAGTGCAAGACCAGCGTACATGGCTTTTGCAGCATGTGAGCCATGTTGGCTTCGCCGAAACCCTCGGATGGCGTACAGAACTATGCGTAAGATCAGCGTCCCGCGCGCACGTGTTGTGGAAGCCCAGGTAGATGCACCATAGGTGAGATTGGACAGAGTATTGACGAACTCAGCGATCCATGCCGAGACCACGAAGTCCTCCTCGCAAAAGCTGCCCAGGCACAAAAATCAGTCACTGTTGGCGCAGTCAAAGTCTCTTGCATCGTGGAGACCGCTCACTTGGCTTTGGACGTCGGAGGCCCGAATGCTGGTGTTAGAGGCTCACTTGGGTACGGCACTGAGAACGTCATCTTGTCGCAATGCTTGGGTGCTCTTGATACTAGGTTTGCTTGCAGCAGGCTTGGTATTAAAGGTGCTGCGAACAATCAATCGCCCTCCATGCCGTGGAACCCGCGGGGCTGCCTAACATCAGCATGAATCCTTGTCTTCCGGAAACTTGTTTCGCATTCATCGCAGTTAGCACTGCACACACTGGACGCCTCCGGCGCCATTGACAGAGCCTGCCAGGCATCACTTTGATGCTCTTCCAAAGTCACGTGCGAGGAGGACATTAAGTGGGTCTTCGCAATCGTGACCTCGAAGCCAGCCACCACACTCAAACTTGACTTCGCCTATCTACATCCTCCACCGAGTCGTCATCTCTCGCCATGACACCCTACTATCGGCATGCTACGGTGATGGCCTCATCAGGTTTCGCGGAATGCTACTGTTCCATGTCCATCTACTCCACTTCTCACCACTCAGACCTCACGGCGATGCGGGGAAATGTTGCGTCGACATTCTCCCGAGCCCAATGCTACTGCAGCTTGTTAAGGGCAACTGATAGGCATGGCATTCAACCAGAGTTTACGTAGGTTGGCGGAGAATCTATGCAGGTACAAGTACAACCTCATTATCATCTTCCTGGCCTTCACTTATTGAATTCTGTCTTCGTGTAACGCACAATGTTCGCTGCCGGGCTGTTGCTGGGCTTCGTGCCTGCAGCCCTGACACAAGGCGGCCTTGTGATCAATCCCAAGAATGCGGACGACAACGAAAGTGGAAGTAGCAGTGCTGCATCCCTGGCCATTGATATCTCCGGCCTTGTGAACAACCGGGCTTTTGCTATGTCGCCAGGCGATGCAAACTTCGACGGGATTCATTCTGGCTATCCAGCGCAGTACCTACCCGAATCCAACTTCACCTACTCCGGCGTCAACTACATCTTTCCACAGTACAACACCTCCGGCAATGATAATGTTCTCGCTCAGGGTCAGGTCATCACGCCTCCAAAGGGCCGGTACTTCTCCATACATATGCTTGCAGCAGCAGAAACAGCCATTGCCACTGGAACCGTCAACGCGACGTACGCGGATAAAACCACAACCTCTGGTCCAGTTCTGGTCGATCCCTTCTGGGCGTGGCCGTATCCATATGGAGGAGACATCATCTTCCCATACTATCTCAGCAACTCCAGTATCGACTACAACCGCAGCATGATCTTCCAGACGATCAATTGGCTCGACTCGAGCAAAGATCTCGTCAGCATCCAGCTACCGAATGTTACTGCTGGGGCTAGCAATGGACCTGGTGGCGCCACGCAGGACACTCGTTTGCATATTTTTGCCGTGTCGTTGGTGCCAGCGACAGGATCTGGCATCTCGCTGGAAGTCCAGCATGCTCGATCCACCAACATGTGGATGGAAGGTACAGACAAGACGCAAATCTTCGAGATCACGGTGAACAATGTCGGCGAGGACTGGATATTGGCAAATAACAGCGTCAAGGTCACCGTCTCTGCGTCCGGTGTCAACACTGTCGCACCAGGTATCATCAATCGTTTAAGACCGGGCGATCAGGCCATCGTCCAAGTCGGCATGGTGAACGCAAATGGTACGGAGCCTGGTACGTCTGGCGAGGCTACTGTACACATCCAGGGCGCGGGAGTTCAAGCGAGCTCGACATTCAACGCCACCTTTGGAATCACATCGTACGATCCGACATATGATAGTATATATGCCCACGAGAGCCCGCCTTGGTTCACGAAGGCGAAGTATGGAATCTTCATGTACGTACATCAACAAGCTCAGGCTTTATCTTTCCCGTTTCAAACGCTTGCTGACTCTTCATTCAGACATTGGGGTGTCTTTAGTGTTCCGGGCTGGGGAAATGTAGGCGACAAAGGTACGACGAACATCGCATAGATGATCGTGAGCTTCGACTGACCTCGCACGGGCAGAGCAATACGCAGAATGGTACTGGTGGTACTACAACCAAGGACCCAACGCCACAACAGGAGACTTTTACGAATACAACCTCGCGACCTACGGCCCCAACCACGAATACGACCAATTCATCCAGAACTTCACCACCTCCGCCTACGATCCCAAGGAATGGGTGGATTTGTTCGCCGACGCAGGAGCTCAATACTTCGTGCAAGTCACCAAGCACCACGACGGATACGCCCTCTTCGACATCCCCGAGAACGTCACCAAGCGGACCAGCGTGGCACAGTATCCCCACAAGAATCTCCTGCAGATGCTCTTCGATGCCGCGGACACTTATCAGCCTCATCTGCATAAGGCGACTTACTTCTCCCTCCCCGAGTGGTTTCACCCCGACTACAAGAAGTATGGCTTTGGAGATTGGCCAGGAGGCAATGCAACGAACCCCTATACCAATCAGACGCTGCCATACACAGGATATGTCCCGGTCGACGACTTCGTGGCCGATCTCATCCTGCCTGAGATGCTCACGCTAGCAGAGATGGGCACGGAGATCATGTGGGTAAGTCCAGACAATCCCCAACCATCACACCTAGCAAGCAACACAACTAACACCCTCCCCGTGCGACATCGGCGGCCCCAACCTAACCGCCCAATTCGCCGCCCAGTACTTCAACACCATGGCCACGCAAAACAAACAAGTCCTCCTCAACAACCGCTGCGGCCTCCCCGGCGACTTCGACACGCCCGAATACGCGCGCTACGAAGCCGTCCAAGTCCGCAAATGGGAGTCCAACCTCGGCATGGACCCCTACTCCTACGGCTACAACCGCGCGACGCCCGTGGCCGCGTACCTCAGCCCCCTCGCGATCGTGCAGAGCCTCGTGGACATTGTGAGCAAGAATGGGAATTTCTTGCTGGATGTGGGGCCGCGGGCGGATGGGTCGATTGTGGAGGTTGAGAAGGACAATCTTCGCGCGGCGGGAGTTTGGATCAGGGATCATGCGGAGGCGGTTTTTAATACGACGTATTGGTTCGTGACGCCCGAGGAGGGGGAGACGGTGCGGTTCACGCAGACTGTGGAGGCGTTTTATATCCTCATTCTCGCGGCGCCGAACGATTCGCTGGTGTTGGATTCCCCTGTGCCGTATGTGGAGGGCGATCAGGTGCAGGTTGTGGGTGGGAATGCGAGTGGGACGGTGGTGCCTTCGAGGTTGCTGGGTAATGGGAGTTTGCAGTTGACTATTAGCGAGGCGGTGAAGAGTGGGGATCGGTATAGCTGGGTTTTCAAGATCCCTTTTGGGGGCGTTGTTGCTTCGAATGGGACGTCGAGTAATGGGACGTATGTCAATCCTGGTGGACCTGAGCAGCAGCCTACGAATGGCGCGATGAGAGTGGCGGGTCTCGAGGCGAGGAGTATGATTGCTCTGGTGGTTGCTTTTGGGGCGGCTTTGGTATTCTGATGATTTATGAGAAGGGGATGAGATTACGGCGGGTGAACCACGATTAATATTACACGCTCTATACAACATTCCGTTCCGTCGACGGATCCTTTTGTATCTGTACAAGTGGTCTCGCGACCCTGAATTTAACTTCTCAGCTCGGAGAAAATATACGGAAAGATAACAACACACGCCTTCCAAAACACCGCGACGCTCGACACCATTCTAATGGGGAGGAGCAGCGGGTTGCCGCTCGTAATGTATATCCACATGGCATATAGTGCCACCGCGAAGAAGTGGTAGAAGAGGACGAAAGGTTGGCGGATTATGCCGCCGAGGAGACCGACGGGGCCGTCGATGCAGTTGCCCCCGAGCTTGAAGTATTGGAAGCAGCCCATTTGGAGGGCTTTGAGTTGGGCGTCGTCGGCGGCGAAGAGGGAGTATAGCGCCTGGGCGAGGATGTTGATGACGGAAGTTAGGTTCTTCCTCCGCCAGTGGAACGACTTCATTTGCTTCAAGACCGTCTTGGTGTCTTCCAGGTTAGGTACGTTCTCTGGGCTGAGCAGTTCTGCGAGAAGCACAACGTCGTTGAAGGCTACCGTCATGCCTCCGCCAGTCAATGGATGGCGCATGTTCATGGCGTCTCCAAGTATGAGGAACCCGGGTGCACGATTCGTTGTAGGTGGTAGCCACGAATTTGGCATGCTTCGTAATCGGTCGCGCTCGACAGCGGCGAGGAACGAGGACTGTACTTGCTTCGGTAGATTCGGCACGACGACATTCCTCAAATGTCCCTTAACTCCGCCAGCTTGGACAGATGCAGACGGCAAGTTCTCCGGAATGTCCACCAGCGCTCGTGTTTCATGCGTGCCGATCTGATAGAGGAGTATGGGAGCGCCATCGCCAAGAATCACATGGCCATGGTATGGCATTGGAAGGTCTGCATCGATAAGTTCTAGGCCCCAGAACTTCGATTTGGCGATAGGTGTGTCATCTCGGAACTCTTTGCGGAACTTGCTGGCGTAGCCGTCTGCTGCAATTGTCAAGCCGGCAAAGTACGAGTCTTGCTCGCCATTCCGAGTTGCTTGGACTCCCAAGATCTGACTTGTGAAGCTGCATCGTATGAGCTCGGTCGCAGTCGCCTCAACGACAGAGACATTTGGATTCGACAGCGCCTTTTGCCGTAAGCGCTGGATGAAGCGTCCATGGTGGAATGATCGTCCTTCCGGCCGCTTCCTCTTCGTGCCTCTCATCTCATCCGTATGGCTCTTCTCAGCATCCTGCGCCGCATCTCTCGCATTCGCCGGGTACGGTATCCGCACTTCCTCGCCGTAGTATATCACATCGTACCCAAGCACCTTGACCGCATCGATCTCTTCCAAACAATCCCTCAGTCCCAACGTTTCCAGCGCCTGAACACCGCCCGGTTGTAAGAGTTCGCCAACAATCCGATCCGGCTCTTTCAATGACTTTTCCAACAGTATCACACTCCTCCCCTGATTCCCCAATGCCCACGCCACCGCACATCCAAAGATGCCCCCGCCAATGACGACGATATCCGCCTCGTGGTGTTCTTCGCGCATCTTCTCGGCTTGGTGGCTCAATGCGGGTCGCGCAAACTGCGCGTTCGATACGAGGACCATGGCGGGATATATATGAGGCGAGCGCGTGGCGCAGCGACCAATGCGAGGAGGCGGAATGGTACAATGGGTGGGATGACAATTTTGTCGTACGTTTCTGAGATTTGTCCCTGACCTTGGCGGTCGCGCCACTCATCGGGTGAGACCCTGAGATGAGATCTGGGCCCACTTTTGTGGGAGATTAGCGAGAACCTTGTTGTGAAGAGAGCTGACTTCACATGTGAGAGAGGAAGCTCTTGACTTGGGTCATTGCGTACATTTGCCGTCTTCATGGGAATATTTCGCCACGCAAGAACCTCACTGGCTTTGTGAAAATCGCAGTGGGCGTATTGTCTCTGACAATGACCTTCCACGGGACATCAACCCCGGGAACCTCACCTCGATTGTCATCTCAAGTCCTTCCCTGAGAATCGGCGAGGCCAATACATTCAAATACTCGAGAATTGACCAAGCTTTGGTGGTTTCTGTGCCCCAGTTGCCGCTTTGCTCGTGCTCCTCGATATCGAATCGATTCGAACGTGGCGTCTCCGCAGAGCGGCTTTTAGCCTTGCCCGCGCCTGCGAAACCGTGCTGCTTCAGGATCGTCAGAAGGGCGCTCTTAGAGACATGAGCAAAGTTGTGCAATATGATGACCTTCCACCCCTCACACCACTCGTCATGAGATGGTAAATCGTTTTCAATGACAGCTGAGTTGCGAGTGAATGGGTTGGTGAGATTGATCTAAGAAAGGTCCGCATGGATATAGCTGGCCCCTTTGCGGAATCGTACACATACGCGTCCAAGAATGAGGCAGATGCAGCAAAAGGTTTTGATCAGGTCTCGCAAGCGATGCGACCGTTATCACGCTCGGAGAGTGGTCACAACCTTGCCCATTCAAACATTTATTGAAGTTGATAAGACCCCACAATAAGACGAATGAAGCCCAAAAAACCCACCAAGTCCACCTTCCGCTCAAAACACAAAAAGAAATCTCCCCCGCCACCACCACGACTCGAACCCACGACCACGCAAAACCTGCAAAACAGTAAACCCTCGGTACCATCTGCCAAGATGGACCTTACTACACGCTCGTACACACAACGACAACCAAGATTGATTAAGTCGCTGAGGCCGCTACCGCACGTGCATAGGGGAAAGGACTGAAACCCTGACTGAACAGGATTTTTTGTACCCTTTGGATCTCTCGTTCATACGGCTAGACCACGAAAGCCTATAGTGTAATCGCTACGAGATTGGAGGAATTAGGTTTGGGATTGAATATGTAGCTTCAATTTTTTGGGGGGCCGGCCCTTCCCGTCGGATGGGTTGCCGCCTCTCGTGCTCGCGCCTACGGGTGCATACATGTAGCATGAACATATGCGTTCTGTATGAGATGCGCCGTCGCCGTCACTGCCTCATAGCATTCACGTGCCAGCTCGAAGCGAAGCAAGCCATGACCTCGCCGCCAATATCACATGCAGTACTCTGACTTTATGCAGAACGTCTTTCACAAGCGTGCAACGGGACGACCTGTTGCCGACTCAGTACGTTTCGCAGTCAACAGCACTGCACTTTCAAGATCCAAGGCCACAACGCCGCAGTCGCATCTTGAGCACACCAGCTTACTCCACCATCGACACCATCATTACTGAGTTTCCTCAACTACTTGCCGCTTCATCGACCTCTTTGCCACGACGGCAGCATGCAACCCTCACTTCTACGGCTGCAGCCAAAGGCACCCGTGATAGCAACGCCACCCTCACTAGGCACGCAAGTGGTCCAGCTAGAGCGCGATCGAGACGAAGCGAAGAGGGAGGCAGCGGCGCTGAAGACGGAGGTCTTGCGACTTAATCAGGCGCGACGAGACAGTGAAAGGTCCAGAGCCGAGCTGGAGAAGAAGCTTGACATCGCCAACAAAGCCCAGAGATTGCAGCGAGAGCGGCGTGAGCGTAGGATGAAGCGTGCCACAGTGCACAAGCAGCAGCTGGAGAAAGTGAAGAGCGTGGCGAGAGGAGCGATGCACGAGGCCAGGATGCTCAGGAGCAAGGGGAAAGCCACAGGAAAGGCGGTTGAAGCAGTGGACCAATTCCTCTCCAAGAACAAGGAGATCACAGGAGACAGCTTCTTCGGTATAGGCAGGAAGTTCGACGACTTGAGGGCCTCGATCGCGGAGATCCCAGAGACCGACTCAAACACCGCCACGAACGAGGCGGGCCTGAAGCGAAGAGTGGGCTACATGGATGGGAAAGTGTTCGTGGTCTTTGGCGATCTCGAGGGAGCGAAGGCAGGGAGCGGCCAGCGGGCTGAGTCCAGTCAGGAGAAAGCATCTTCGCTGCTGGGCAATGGATCCATGATCATGGGCGAAGCCAATGGCGAGACACAGGCCATTGCCACAGATGGCGTTGAGGAGAGGTCGTCGGTCATGTGATGGTGTCGCACAAAATCATTCTACCCGGAGAAGTCGCCCCTTTATCCGGTACGGAGTGTGTACGCTGGGCGGATTGAGGATTTCAGACCAGAAACGGGGCGACGGAATGCATCGAGGGCAGGTCAGAATGATACAGACACATGAATTGATTATCCCTTGTATCCTTTGTACCCTACTGCCTCGAAGCCCTAGGATCAGCCGCCTCTTGCCTCCTGAAATCCCTCCTCTCCTTCGTGCCCAAACTCCCACCGCCGCCTTCACTCCTCCTCTCCCACCCACCAAGCCTGACGACCAAAGCGGTAGCATTATCGGCATCGCCAGCCGTCTCCACCGCAAAGCTGACCAAATTCTTCGCAGCTTGGTCAGGGGTTCGAGCGTCCTTTACGATATCGACAATCTCTTGATCCTCAAGGTGCCCTGACACGCCGTCAGATACGAGCACTATGAAAGAGTAGCCAGCTGGTTGGAGCTGGACTGTGGTGAGTTGCGGTTCAGCCGAGACACCGATGCGTTTGCTGCCGATATCGCCAAAGGCTCGCGTGTTGGCTAAACCAAGTACGCGCTCCTCGCCGAAGCTGTCGGTAACGAACGAAGCCGCATATCTACGCAGGCGTCGTGTTTCCGTCGGCATCGATGGGTGATGGTTTGCTGTGAGTGGCACAGCTCCACCATCGGATGTCCGGCAAAGCAAGATCCTTGTATCGCCCACGTGTGCGACAACGAGTGTGCTTGGGCTGTTGGGATGCCAGAACGGGGTTGGCGTTGGTGTGGAGAGCAGTGCGATAGAAGCAGTGGAGCCTCCTTTAAAGCGTGTACTTCCACCGATAGGTGAGTCGAGATTTGGCGACGATCCACGAGATGCTGGCCTTTTACGTAGGTTCTGAGATGCTTCTCGCTCGGGGTGAAACAGCATGTCGTTCTCATTGATGGGCTTATCATCAATGACGGGGTCGTTGACGGAAGACTGCGGATTGTTCTGCGTCTTGTGGTCAGCGCCTCCTTCCTTGCTATGTTTGGCTGCCTGAGCGGTAGTGAAGTCCAGATCGGCTTTAAGAAACGCATAAGTGAGGACGGTCTCGATCGAATTGTTATGGTCGGTCGCCGGTTCATCGCCATTGGCCAAGGCGGGGAAATGCTCGGGTCGGAATCGTTTGAAGTAACCTCCCACAGTCTCCTTCCAAGACGATACCAGGCTCTTCTGAAGGTCTTCTGCATCCTGCTCTCCCATGATGCCACCTTCTGCGTCGGATTCAGCATCCGTGTCTTTGAGTGTGCTCTCCATGCCAAACAGCAATGCAGCTTCCTCGATGTATCCATGCAACCTGTCACGCAGGAACTCAGAGCACTCACTCCCGCCATGTCCATCGAAGACGCCGAAGTAGAAGACCTGCGGGTCTCCAGTATCGCGAGTAGATCCCTGGCTTTGGTCGCCGTAAGTCTGCCTACGGCTGATGCTCACTGGCTGCTTTTGAGCAAAAGCCGGGATCTCGACCGTCCCGGCCTGGTATGTATCCTCATTGTACGGACGACTTCCTCTGCTAACGCCAGCCCCAAAATGATGCTTCGCGCTTTTGAGCGGGATTCGGACGATCGTGGTATCCCTGCTACTGCTTGGTATCTGTGAGCTTCGGTTCGATGGACCACTGTGTGGCTCTGAGGCAGATCGCGGCAGCTTATGATGCGATGGATGGGTCTTGTCGGGTGTGAGCGAAGAGGAAGGCAGATGGGTCACGAAGTAGTCGTGGAACTCCCGCCGTTGAGGGAACCTGGTCGCTGGTCGAGAGCTGGCGTGAATCTCGTTGAAGACGGCTCGGAGGGCGGCTCGTACATTGTAGGGCGCGGCGGTGTGTCTCATGGTCCTGCTGTGATGGATAGGATGGCGGATAGAGCGCACCAGGCGCGAGAGGTCGAGGGAGCAGACTAGAGCATGACGTGCGTGAAGGTGACAACCCCAGGTACGAGATCTTAAACCCGAGGTGAAGTCTCCGTCAATGTGGGGAGCACGTGGCTGAACATCCAACTGTTTGGTTGAGCGCCCCTTTTCACAGGGACAAGGCGGCAATGCAGAAATCAGTTCTCAGCAACGCCCTTTGGTTCACAGTGAGACCACAATTAGGATGTAATGTTGTCTATTGAATAAAAGAACACGAGAGTCGTGCAAGCCACCCGATCGGATAATACGGTAGCCTAGACTCACTCTCAAGACAGATTACATATTGCTCATGTATACATTTAGTCTACCAGATTGTCAAGCAGTCACGCTCGTCCAAAACATTTCAACCACTTCAATCAATCGCTCAGTATCTTTGTGAACTGCCTTGCGCTGCTGCTTGCCGTCGCTCTTCGTCCAGCGAAGCCTCACTCTGCTGCAGCATTTGCTGCCACTTTTGCGTACTTTGCGGACTCGCTCTCCTCACGATAAGCTGTAAACCCAGTCAGCATCCACCAAAGGACCCGCTCACAGGACTACAACATACCCATTGAAGTTTCGCGTCCGGATCATCCTTCTTTTTCAACTTTCCTTCAGCCCTGTCTTTCGCCGCATCTTCTGCCTTCTTCGCAGCCGACCTTTTGCTCATCCCATTCGCGAGCATGGCAATAGGGTCACTGCGGCCTGTGTTCGCGAGTGGCGGATGGACAGATGACAGAGGGGCTAGACGATTACCGTAGGCGGCGATTCGAGACTCGGGATCTGAGCTGTATTGTTGAGAGGAACTTCGGCCATACACTCTGGCTTCTTGGTCGACGTTGTCGGACTTCCCAATGCTGAAAAGGTCAGCAGGAGATACATCAACGAAGACTAGCTTGATATTTCTTACCATATCTCCAGACCGGCTGGAATAAAGAGGTCAAGGTTGGATCTCGACAGCGTCTTGGCCACGAGAGAAGCATGGCCGAATGCGGCACCAGCGCCGACTCCTATCTGGCCGGCCATGAGAGCGATGCCTCCAGCACCCGGACTGTTGTTCACATAAGCAATCAGAGAAACGTGACTCCCTGAATGAATTGACTCACACAAACCAGCCAGCAATGTTCGCCGCCTTTTGGAAGATCATATTCTCAGGATTTGGAATGATGGCTTTGTTGATGGCATCCACGACCTGTATAAATTGTCCTTCTTCGATTCCGTATTGCCGCAACTCATCGCTATATGCTCGAAGGAAAGGTTGCCCGTCGCCTCCAGCTACCTGGGGGACAGCAAATGGTCGGAAACCTTGGTTTTGCCTAGATCTTGATTGTTGCAGAGGACTGCTGTTGTAATTTGGACGTTCACGGTCTTGGTAGTATGCTTGACTGGGCCGCTGGTCGTACATCTGCCTTGATGAATCGCTGTACCGTGACGGATAGGGGAACTGATCGTAGCTATTGGGAACGTTCAACTGCGTGCCATATGGAGGCGGTGGATCTGTCCAATTCGAGGGGCTGGAATTGACGTTGTCATACTCAGCATCGTGGCGCCTGTCATCATAGCTTTGCTGCTGGTACGAAGACCCTCGAGAGCGTGGCGGGTCGAAGTCATCGTAACATGGCTCCGGCGCAAGGTATCCTCGATCACTTTTGCCGTTTGAGTATGACCGATAGTCTGGTCGTGGGGATAGGGGTCGGCTAGATGAAGAATTTCGACTTTGTCCTCTTGAGAAGCTGGGAACCAATGGTTGATTGAAGCCATTGTTGACTTGGCCCGAGCCCATTGCTGAGCCCACAAGGTCTTTGATTAGTCCCATGTTTTGGAAAGTCAAATGCTAAGTGAGGGAGGGTGTGTATGTGCTCAGGTGGGATGGGAATGGCTTCGTAAACAGTAGATGTCAGACTGTGAGGAGGGGAAATGTGCAGGTATGTAAATGGGCAGGTCTTCATGGCCTCTGGGCGGACGTCGGGATCTAATAAATTATTTTGCACTCGAGTCCAGAAGTGTGACCCACGCGAGATTGCTTCTGCTCACTGCCTCGACAGCGTGGCTGCCCCAACGGTCGCCTACATCTCATGGGGCATGTGTATCCTTGGCTCTGGCATACTGCTGAACCAATTGCCTCCCGGCGAATGGCTAAAATTGTCGAACAAGGCTGCATTGGGAGCAGCTAGCCAGATGCAGAAAGAAGTGCGCTGGCCCATCGATGTAAGAGACTACACATCAAAAAGCCGAGTTCTGTCGTCATTTGAAGTATAGGGCACCGGCAATGCACCGCATCAATATGTTAGCGTATCGGTATGGCCCTGGCAAGAAAATTCTGCCTATGTCGGAGGTGATTTTTGGACTGCATTGCGCACATGGCCGGCCACCGGAATCTTCAGCTTCTTCACGAACAAGTCAGCAAAGATCTCAGAGTGCGTTGTTCACAAGTAGTGCCACGCACTCGCTCACTTCAGACCAGTTTGGGCATAGGCCGACCGTTCAGTCAATTAGAAATCTTGGACTTCGAGGAGTTCGTGATTATTGGTCTATAGACTGGAGGTCGTGAAGGAGGCTTCTCTCGCGTCTAAGAACACGTCATCCCTTCCACCGGAAGGACTTACATGCTCATATGAATCATACCTTACCGCTGTTCAGGGCGACAATACAATCATGTATCATAATCTTGCTCGGTATGGTCGTTGAGAAGAAGAGGTATACTGTCGAGACGTGGGATGTAAGCTTGGGTGAATACGGAAGCCTAGAATACCTCTAGATTCATGTATGGCCCACCGAATTGAATCCTTCTCGCGATCCAGGCGGCGTGATGAGTGATGCGAAGAACATACCGGCACTGGGCCAAGATGCGGTCTGAAGCGCCCCCGAATCCCATGGATTCACGCTCTGCAGCATCACGTATATGTGATAAACATGTCGCTTTCAGAAGTTCCTACCCTTGATTCCTCCACCACTACGCCTGAGACCTCCTCAGTCTCTACGCCAGAGACGATCTCCTCCACCTCCTCGAACTGCACGATCTGCCAGCAGCGATCCCCGGCCGCCTACGTCAAACCCTCGACAGCGATATCGATCCACCTCGAGCACCTCGTCCGCAGCAGCATCCAAGCGATCAACTCACGAGACTTCTCGATCTACTCGAGTGCGTGGAGCTGCTACACGCCCGGTCTGAAAGTCGAAAGCGCGCAACCAGTGTATCAATGGCCGAACTGCATAAGGAAGAACATTGGTCTGAGGAGTCATCTCAAAGGCCTTCATTACATCGCGTCAAGCAATCCAGGCTTCTTTCTCCGCGTGCTAGAGGTGGATTCACAAGTTCACGAGAAGGCGGGTCGCGCGACGGTCTTCGTCAACCTTGAAAACATCGGCAATCCCACGAACCTCGTAATGGAAGGCGTGATAATTTTGGAGTTTTGCATGATGGGCGAAGAGTGGAAGTGTGTCAAATTTACTGGCGCAAGGGGTATAATGTGAAGTCGTGCGTTGATTGGGAATGGGTTGATAAGACACGATGCTGCAGTCGGTCGTGCCGTGGTTGCGTCTGCTCGAATCAGCGAGGCATGTTCTTGTGCTACCATAGACATCTGGCACATTCGCCGGGAGAGCTTCAGCAGGAGGTATCTTGGCGTAGGACCGTGAAACATGATTCTCAAGAGTAAGTACTTTATTTGACCCCTTCACGAGAGCATGTAAGTCTATTCGCGATCATTCTTGTTGCGCTTGCACGTCCTGCCATAGTGTTGTGAAGCGACGTTTGCGAATTCACTGTTCCTTCCTATTTCGGAACACGCCATTTCTTCACCACGCACCACCTCAACCCCGCCAACTTTTTACAGCAGTCACTCTTTTGTCTGCACCGAAGAACGCCGCTCTTTATAACCAGCATCCGACACTCGTTTTCCCACGCTCATTTGAACACCCACTCGCTTCCATCAACATGTTCCTCGCATGCGCCCTGGTCGGCGCACTCTTCGCAGCCAACTCATTCGCGCACATGGCGCTCAACTGTAAGCATACCCAGACCATCGAACTCTGAAATGTGCTGACACCCTGAATAAGACCCAGCACCATTCAACGCTCGCAACAACCCGCACCGTGCCTCCGACAGCTTCGATCCATACCTCGAGTTTCCTTATGACAAGGCCGGCCCTAACGCTCGCTGGCAATACCCGTGCCGCGGATATCAGAAGCTTATGGGTACTCCTGAGGGAGCTCCTACCGCTACTTGGGAGGCTGGCAGCACTCAGAATTGGTATTCAAGGGTAGCTGCGGATGCTGGATCATATGCTGACTACATTGTACAGGAATATCAGCGGCATCGGCAACCACTTCGGCGGGTCTTGTCAGGTCGGCTTCTCCGTCGACGGCGGCGAGACATTCCGAGTTGCCACTTCGTACGAGGGTAACTGCCCTCACCGCAACAACGGCAATGGTCCAGAGGGCCAGGACTTCGAGTTCAAGGTTCCGGGCGACATCGAGCCAGGTGTTCACATTTTCGCTTGGATCTGGTACAATCGCGAGCAGGAGTTCAACATGAACTGTGCCGCTGTCAACATCGAGCCCGCCGCATCCAGCCACTACGTCGTCCGCTCTACTCAAGGTCACCGACGCCTAGTCTTCCGAACGAAGGATAACCGCGATGAGGATGCGGGCTTTGTCGCGTTCAACGACCGGCCACTCATGTTCGTTGCTGATGATGGCAATGAGTGTTTGACGCCGCACACCACTGCTGAGCTCAAGTATCCGCACCCTGGACCAGATGTCGTGCAGGGCGACGGAGCTTATCCACTTGAGCTACCGAGTGGCAAATGCGCCCCATCTCAGATGCTGTTGAAGCAGGGCTATAATGGTGCAAACGGCAATGACGGTCATGCTTAAGGGGGAAGAAGTATGGCTGCGTGGGCCATGGGCCAACCAAGCATTCCCTCTTTTCGGCGCAGACGTTACGTTGGCTACGAGTATGGAGAGCTGATAAGGAGCAAGTCACTCACGTGTCCATTCCAAAGCTAATAGGCAGTCGTTGATTGAGAGAGATACCAAAGTACCAACATCAAAATTTCAAGTTTCCGTGCATCCCAGCCGGCGTCGTTCCAATCCTTTCATGACGACAAAAAGCATCACGAGACCTTTGCGCTACCGCCTTCTTTTTCAAGGCACTCTGAGTCTCTTCTCACTCGTGTATATGATGAGCAGGCTGTCACGTCAATGTCGAAACCGTCGTTGTTTCGATTTCCCATTTGTTTATGCCTGAGGCATAAATGCGGTCCGTGCCCTTTTGGCGCGTTGCTTTCGCGACAGTGTCTGGACTTCAGTCCTTTCTTATCTCTCTATTGCTTCTTCGTCTTCAACACTTCTTCTACACCTCTTTCTGAGGCTTTACATCTATTGAACCGCAGTATTGACGAGCGATCTAGTACTCAAGCTGAACGGCCGATGGCATCTAAGGCAACCAACACCGTGCTTCCTCTGGACTCCATGGCTTGAGGGTTTCTCGGCGACTTACTCTGCATCGGCAAAGAAGGCTATCGACGGCCTCTTTCGGCCGTGCCCAGACTTCCTTAGAGACGCCTTACGGCCTAACCTCCTACACTGCTCGTCATGCATTATTCCAATCAGCCAAGCCTTCGTTCCGACGACTCCGGTCAAAAAACTCCGGACCCCCAACCTCGTTCCCCGCATGGTGGCATGGCAATGTTCGCAGACGGCGTTGGCAATGAACATGTTCAAACAAGGGCATTTCGATGACAAAGGCCTTGAAAATACGATTGTTTAGCATGGATACCACACGCGGTCTGATTTCTGGCAGACGGTAATCTTGGCTGCCAACCGATGCGAGGACTGGATTGCTGCAGTCATCTCCTTGGGACGCGGCGTGCATGCGGACAAATACTAACTCCGGCCTGTCTGCCTCGCGATCACACAATGCACACGGCCAAAATGGCCGTCTACTGTGCCCTGCGCAATCAAAGACTGTTACTCACTTGGCGAAGGATATACTCTGCTAGCTTCGAAGGTGGTCCACGCCCAGCTATTGCACCTCTGCTGGAATGCGGGATCATGCCTGGCTGAGGGATCTGTCTCTGTTTCAACTCTGCAAAGAATCAAGGAAATGTGAAGGTCACATGAACGCTAGCGCTCTCACAGAGCACAATGCCGCGTCAGTTCGCTGCTCTGTTGCTGGGAAGGAGCTGTTCCAGACAGCAATTGCCCAGTACGCCAAGGTGAGTTTCGGCACGCTGCCGGGTCGAGCTTACGGCGCGCTGCATGCATGGCCCAGTCGATATTGGGCGTTTTGTGGGGTACATCTGGAGTCAAGATCGGATCCAATGTAAGACGTCACTTCACCTGTACAATTTCGTGATCGCGGACACTGATGGCCAGTCGAATGTCTATACCTCTTGGTACGGATGTCCACGCGCTGACCTGCGCGCACCTGGCAAGCAGAACCACAAGTCGTGGTATCTCAAGAGCTGCGTGCCTGGAGAGGCAATGGCCACGGGTTCCTCGCACAGCATTGTTGCACTCCCGCAAAGGACGGTGCTCAAAAATTCCTTGTACAGTAGACGGCTACCACGCGCGACGGCAGCGACCGATCGCCCTAGTGGAAAGGCAAAGCCTGGAGATCCAGGCTGTGCACATGCAGATGGAGCGAATCGCGGCGTTCGAAGGCCGTACCAGCTCTTGGACTACTCCAATGGGTACTCCACGCTCGCATGGCCGACGTCAGCCTCCAGAGCTCTTGGTTTCATAAGACCAGACGGTAGGTCTGCTCCTCCATCCTGCCCTCAAACCCCGCTGTTCCTCAAGTCGCTCGCCCTCACCAATCCACTGTGCCTCTCCTGTTGCACGCTACGAGCAAACCAAGATGCAATTCAAGACGTTCCTCACCGCAGCTGCGATCGCTGGCCTGGCTTCGGCGCAGTCGAACGATACCACCCCAAGCCTTGCTGCTGCTCTCAACAGCACGTCAGATCTGTCAAGCCTGAACACCTTGCTTGGGCAGAACCCAGACAGTAAGTTACCAGGCTTTGGAGCAACGGGCAGCAGTTGATCAGAATGCAGTTCTCAACACACTCGCAAACGCAACGAACATCACCATCTTCGCGCCCAGCAACTCCGCCTTCGAGTCAATCTTGAACAGCCCAGATGTGCAAGCACTCCAGGCGGATGGCACTGTCGCCGCTCTGCTGACCTACCACGTTCTCAACGGCACAGTGTATGCCGAGAACATCACATCTACGCCAACATTCGCCCACACCCTCCTCAGCAACGAGACTTACTCGACTGTGACTGGCGGACAGGTCGTCGGTGTCCGACTCGTCAATGGCACTGATGGCGGCAATGTGACCGTCATCTCTGGCTTCGGCCAGCGTTCCAACGTCGTTACTGCCAACGTCAACGTCACCAACGGTGTTGTTCACATCATTGACCAAGTGCTCACAATCCCTGGCAACGTTTCCTCAACCGCACTCGCCGCCAACCTGACAGCACTTGCTGGTGCTCTCCAGGCCACGAACCTGACGGACACCCTCGACACCACCCCAGACATCACTGTCTTCGCTCCAACGAACGCTGCCTTTGAGGACATTGGCTCTGCCCTTGCCAACTTGACCGTCGAGCAAGCCTCTGCAATCCTCGGATACCACGTCATCAACGGCACCGTCGCCTACAGCAGCCTTCTCTCCAACGGCTCCAGTGTTGACACTCTTGCCGGTCCACCAGTCAACATCACCATCGAGGACGGCGAGGTCTTCGTCAACTCTGCCCGCGTCATCGCCGCTGACATCCTCGTCTCTGGCGGTGTTGTGCACGTCATCGACTCCGTCCTCAACCCCAACAGCACTCTCACGCCCAACCCAGATGAGGACGAACCTGCCGTTGCCTACTCTGGCGCCAGCTCTGGTGCCGTGCCATACACCAGCGGCATCACCGCTCCAACAGCCACCACCTACTCAAACCTCGCCTCTACCACTGACGCTGTCGCCGAGGGTTACACCGCGGCACCATCTGACGCCTTGAACTCGGCCAGCGAGTCTGCTGCCACTGGCGCATCGTCTACAAGCTCCGCCGGTGCAGCTATGCCAACAGGCGCCATTGGCGCTGCGGCTTTGTTCGGCGGTGCTGCATGGCTCGCCAACCTCTAATAAGCTCCATGAGCTCCACGATCGAAGTGTGCATACCGAAACTCACAAGAAAAAAGGCTAGCATTTGTGTTGGCGAGAAATCGAATCATATTGATGAGGCGTTTGACATGAGATTTACGAAGCGTTGACGGGACATAACGGTATTCCCCCAGCTTGTAATGTAGGGATTAGAGATATCCTTTCGAGAATTACACCATTTATGAGCTTGAACACCGGCATCTTTTTCACAAAGGAGGAGTACATCCTGAGTCACCGAGACAGGTAAGACTAACTCGATACGCCGCCACAGATGCCGCCAAAGCTTTCCGGATCAGCTGTCCTGGTGCAGGACTCGATCGAATTCCCCAAAGACTGGGTCCGACCATGCTTCGGATAGGGACTCCACAGTTTCGACGCTGTTGCTGCACGGGGAAGAGAGATATTCCGAACCATTGAGCTTGGATCTCCTGGCTAGGCGTGAGCTTGTGGAAAACCTACAGCTGATTAAAAAGACTCCCATGCTGATCTCGTTCTCAAAGGACCTTGGACGCCAGCAGACCGTGTGCTCGACATGTCACGATACTGAGGAAGCTCGAACGATCTCCAAACAAGGGTGGATGACCATGTTCCTCTGAAGCTTTCAAGGGCGTTGTCGTACCTTCCGGCATGAAGAAGCAGATTGGCTACTTCTCAAACCCAAGAAGTGAAGAGACGTTGAGAGCTTCGGCATGTTGCAAAGTGCGAACGATCCCCGTACAAAACAGGGTGATAATGCCTTGCTAAAGCTTTCCAGCATTTTTCTCAGGCTGGTTGTAGCGGGGAAGAGGTCGCGAATTTCTCGAATAGACACAACCTACCTCGAGCCACTCCTGTCGTTGGTTGCCATCAACTTGGAATTTCAGCTTGGGTCCAGTCCAAGGACGTGCCTGAGCTTAAAACTTGTGACAGCCATAGACATCGCAGGTATGATTAAGGCTTGGCACAGGCCTGTACCATAAAAATACTCTTTCTCAAGGCCTTCTCGAAAGTTTCTCTTCAATCTTATTCATCGTTTGCACGGCTGGCATCAACACGAGTGGGAATTTCCTCTTTCTCCGGAGAACAGCCCCCATCAAGCATGCAGCACACCCCTTCACGATCGACGATGACGGCTACTGCAACGAGCACCAAGACGAAGTCGTCGACAACCTCCAAAAGGCGAACTGGTCTCTCCCATCTTCCTCTCGAACTACGGCAAATAATATACGAAAACTTCTTACCCCTAAACTCGATATACCATGGTCTAGCAGCTTCCACTCGAGAGCTTCCGGGTTGGGAAAGTTGTCTTCGTGTTCTTTGCAGCATGCGTACGAGAGGAACTTCACAAGGTCTCGTACCATTTCGGGATCATCTTCATCTTTCATCAAGCGATCGCTGGCCGTGAGGTAAAAGATTTCGAATGCATGGCACAGACGGAGTGTGTCTTTCAGGGGATGACCGCATTTGAGCCAGCCGTGTTTCGATGCGTAGTATTCGATGTCGTGATGCATACGGCATGGAACGCCACAGTGGTCGAGGATTGGCAGGGCGAGGAACAGCTGGAGACCTTCTTCGTCAAGGGTCTGGTGGAGGTCGTGCAGGCAGAAGATGTTGATAGCGGCTTGGCGCCTCTCTTGTTGGAACATGCTGATAACTCGCTGGCTGCGATTTTGGCTAGCTGTTCGATTGTGAAAGGCACATGTGAGGAGTAGGCAGGTGAGGGTGTTCTGATTGCTGCGACGGAGCAAACTTAGAGAGATACCATTTTCATATGCTCGCGACTGTTCTATCTCGTGTCTCTGCACTGTCTCTCATACGCTGCCTCTTAAGAATGTCTTCATTTCTCCGCCGTGAGATGCCTGTCCAACCCACTCTGCGAGACATCAAGGCCCGAGAGAAGGCGCGAATGTCTGAGACAGGTCTTCAACGACTGGCCGGGTGCCACGATGGTGGGACGGCGGAGACATGAGGCTGCGGCGCCTCAGTAAATGCTGTGCGGAATTGACCTGGACTGTCGACAGACTCGACCTTGATCGTCACCCCACGGCTACTGGCATGAGGTCTCATTCGCGCAGGTAACCCGGCCTCATGTGTTTCTTCTCTTCGTCGTTTGCCTAGGTTCGTGGTCGACGAGGGCATAGCATATCCTGCTGTTTCTCTCGCAGGAACGGGCATCACTGGTGGACGAAAGTTGGAGTCCTGTCTACGGTCGTCTTGAACTGGTCGGAACTTCTCATCCTCCTCTCTCCTCCAAACACAATACTCTTCAACACACTTCTCCGTTCGACATGGCCGACGAAAGGGACAGGCATCGAAAATGTATCATTTGACATGCTCTCGTCTAAGCCACGAACGATGCAGCGTCCAACACCGGCGACCAAGAATCGTGCCAACTCCAGCTTACGCGTGCTCTGGGACGTCGCCCTCGGCCACCGTCACCACAGCCGCAATCCTGTCGACACCAATGCCACACGCATGACATCCCTGCTCGCCTGAAGATGACTACACGAACTAGCGACTATGGGAAAGATTTCGAATTCGCACTCGTAGTAGGCATCAACTTCTGCGACATTCGGCAAAATCGGCAGCAGTCACTCTCAGCGCTATTCTTGCTGCATCAGGCCACGCCGTCTATTGCTTGCTTGCTTGCTTGCTTGCTCTGCCTCATGTGCTTTTCTTAGCACGAAAGAAAGACTTTTTTGCCCGTTTAGCATTCAATGGCTTGGGAGACTTTGGAATTCCCATTACCCAAGACGTGCCACGCCGCCGGATCACGGCCACCTTGTCAGTGCCGCGGAGGTTGTTCGTGGTCATCTTTCTCTGCGCATTTGCGCTGGCGCAGCAGGTTTCATCGCAACACCTTCTACGTGCATGCGTCACGCGTTCGACGTCACACGCAGTGACATGTCCGGGCACCGTTGTTGGTGGAGAGGATAAGTAGGTAAGTTGCGTACGCATTGGAAGCAGCTCATCATCGATACACCACGAAAGCGCTGTGGTACGTCCAGTGTCTGTTCTCCTCTTTTTACTTTCACATTCCATCTCGAGTCAACGAAACACAATGGCGATTAAAGGCGGCTTCTTGCGTTTGGCTGCGATCACTTGCTACTTCATCGCTTTCTGCTCAGCAGTTGTCATTACCGGCTCATTCGCCTGGGTAAGTTGGATCATTATCTGATTCAAGCCCTTCTCCGTACTAACACTGGCATTCTACAGTTCACGGTCAGACACCATGAATCTCGCAACATTGCAACCCTCGTCCTCGGCGGCGCTACTCTACTCTACACGATCTTCAACACGATCTTCACATGCTGCACCGCCGGCATAGCCTTCTTCGCCTTCACCAGCATCTTGTTCGACATCGTCTTCACCGGCGCCATGATAGCCGTGGCAGTCCTCAATCGCTCTGCCACCAATGGCTGCGATGGCCCTCGATACCCACGAGTGGTGTATGAAGGACGAGGCCACACGGTTTGCAGGTTATTCGTCGCATCTTTCGCCGTGGCGATACTTGCTGCTTTGATGTTCGTCTTCACGATCATCTTCCAGATTCTTATTCGATCGCGGGAGAAGCGTCAGACTTATAGGTCGAAAGGTGTGTTGAGACCACAGTTCAGATAAGTTGTATTCACTGACAAGATGCTGTAGCATGAACGTGTACTGCTGATACGTGACGAGCTTGACGATTCATGAGGTGGTTCCAGTCGCGGGCGTTTTCCGTTGGATGTACGCTGATTTGACAGCGGAGGGATTCTGCGACTTGTACATTTGATGAAGGAGGGAAATTGACAGACAGATTATCGATGCAATGATCGACATCTGTAAAGTACAAAATTCTCCCGACCACACCTCTCACCTCACTCCTCCATCCTACATCTCGGAAGATGGAGCTTCCATCTATCTTCCGTAAATGCCGACCAGTCCATCTAACCCCCCGACTCCAACCCAAATCCCATGTCACAACTACTTCATTACCAAGCACACGACACAACGATCAACGATCAACACTCATTCTACAAACAGCTGCCTCTGCCTGGCTAATCGCAAATGCTCACCGACGGACATACGTCGGACAGCCCTCGGCAGAGCTCTCCAGACCCTCCCCACGCCCTGCATATCGTTGTTACTTCTGCTTTCGACGGCTGATCGGTGACATGAATTCACCCGGTGACTCAGTGAAGGTATACCAGGGCGCGAAAGATCACGTAGGCGGCGTCGCGGAATGGGGATGGAGGTGGTAGCCTTGTAGTTAAAGAGGTGAGTATTTGTAGGTCTAGGGAGGGGCAGTAGCAGTAGCAGCCCCTCCAACGCCCTTTCTTCCTTCCTGCTTTGACTTGACATTTCACCTCTCTCACGACGTGCCAATTTCCATCTCACAACACCAAGATTCAAAGAACAACAACACCATGGCCACCTCCCACCCCATCAAGATCTTCGCCACCGGCCTGACAGGTACAGACCTTTCACCTCACTTCCACCCCGTTAACTAACATCTCCACGACAGGCTACATCGGCGGCGACGCCCTCTACGCCCTCAACCAAACCCACCCAGAGTACGAAATCACCGCCCTAGTCCGCAACACAGACAAAGGCGCCAAGATCGCCCAGCAGTACCCGAAAGTCAAGCTCGTGTACGGGGATCTGGATAGCGAGGATGTGCTTGAGGCGGAGGCGGGGAAGGCGGATGTTGTTTGTCGTATGTCATGTTTCATCTACTTCACTTTCTTGGGTTTGGGTTGCTGATTGTGCGTGTGATGATGATGCAGATTTCGCCCACGCCGACCACGAGCCCTCGATCCAAGCCATCGTGCGCGGCCTCTCAGCCAAAGCCTCCAAGAACAAACCCCGTTTCCTGATCCACACATCCGGCACGGGGATCCTGCTCTTCGAAGACCTGCGCGCCAGAACTTTCGGGGAGGCGTTCCGGGAGAAAGTCTACGATGACCTCGAGGGTGTGAAGGAAGTCACGTCCCTCCCCGACGACGCCATCCACCGCAACGTCGACAAGATCGTCCTGGAAGCCGGCACGCAACACGCCGACAGGATCAAGACGGCCATCGTGTGTCCGCCGACGATCTATGGGATTGGGAGGGGCCCGGATAATCAGCGCTCGATGCAGTTGCCTCAGCTCTGCGCGTCGACGATTGAACTGGGTTACGCGCCTAGAGTCAATGCAGGCAAGACGTACTGGGGCAATGTGCACGTGCAGGATCTTTCGGATTTGTACGTGAAGTTGATCGAGCAGGCTGCAGCGGGAGGTGCGACGGCGGACTGGTCTGGGAAACCGCCTATCTGGGGCGCGGAGGGGTATTACTTTTGTGAGAATGGGGAGCACGTCTGGGGCGAGGTTTCGCAGTGGGTGGCGGATGAGGCGAAGAAGCAGGGGTTGATTGAGACGGATGAGGTGAGGTCTTTGAGTACGGAGGAGGTGGCGAAGATCTCCCCGTATGGGCCTGGGCTTTGGGGAGCGAATAGTCGGGCGAGGGCGAAGAGGGCGAGGAAGATTCTGGGGTGGGAGGCGAAGGGGAGGAGTTTGAGGGATGAGGTGAAGGGTACGTTGGAGTTTGAGGCGAGGAAGTTGGGGAAGACTAAGGGGCATGCTGCTGTTGCTGCTGGGGAGACGTGATGAGGTGAGGTCGGGAAGTGTACTCTTTGGGATTGGGATATGCTGTTGCAGGGAAGAATGTTCCAAGTTTTTCCATCTTGGCCTCGACTTCGAGGCCGAAACGAGCTCGACAAGTGAAACACAATCTAGTTGAGAAGTTTCTGAGGCGATGGCGTCGTGTTTTGCTGTATCATCTCACCTGTCGTCGACAGCGGCAAGTCGCTCTATCTCAATTGTGAGGAAACCTTGACAGGTAACATATTCGAGCTACAAGCCCGTTCGGTGTAGAGACGGCGAGTGACGTTACCTGGAAGCCGTTCTAGAAGTGTCAATGAAGGTGAGGAAGTCCAGCCTCGTGCTGGCATGCCGTCTCTGTTCAGACCCTTCGTGGTCGCCGATGTAACACTTCATTGCGAAGCTTCCCAAAGCATCATGTGAGACTGAACATAGCGAAGGGTTCTTCCACCGTTGGGAACGTGTTCTTCGACTCCCACAGTTTTCGATCTGTTGAGCTGCAAGTTCTTGATGTGGCTGAAGGTGGCTCATTGAACGTGTTGTGAGGAAAGGTTAGGACTCGAATGCTTTGGGGTATGTGTTTCTTGGCCTTCCGGTCCAGAGCACGCCGGGAATGGACGACATGCAGTCTTCTTGAATCTGGTCGTTGCCGTCGAAGGATAGCCTTTGGTGGTGTGCATAGTCACACAGATGTCGAGTCGATGGAGCGGATGCATCGCCACGTGGGACTGCTCGCGCAGTAGCTTCATACCACGATTGCCGCATTGAGGAGGGGCGTTTGAGTCGATGGTTCCAGGTCTGTGGTGTTGTGCTGGAATAGGACGTGCAGCATTCTCGTCCATTTGGACATATGCGGCATCTTCACCAATGCTTGTCGATAGCGTGGATTGATGTGTCTTGTGAGAGGAGACATCCCTCGGTCATCTAGACGCGCGAGTAAGGTTGGTGGGCTCGGCAATGTGAGGCAGGCGCGAAGTTTAAAGCTGCCGGCATTGCTCGAAAGCAGGTCCCGCTGCTGCTGGCCCACCTTTGTCAGACCTCGTTCGAATTGCGGTTTTGTTGAGAAGTCATTGCGTTGTTATGCCTTGTCGTGCAACGAGAGAAAAGGAGTACGGAGTGGACAGACAGCGTCAGCAGCGAGAGTCATCCTCGCCAACGTCGTGTGATTACGCTTTCGCTTCTCGCGCGAATACGGAACGAGCGCGTGGACGGGCCGTCGGTAGGAGGGCAACCAAGGATAGGATGGCCTGAATGTGGTGCTGCCCCTGGAGGCTTGCGAAAAAGTTGGGGGGTTGCAGGAGAAGCAGACCCAGCGGCGCGGCGTGAGCAGAAGGCTGGGCCGCGACTTGGTGTACCCGCGGCTTGGACGGCTTGTTCTCGTTGCTGGAAGCTTGGGTAACAGGCGCAATCAATCACGCAGCGCAGGCCACGCAAGGCGAGGTGTCGTGTTGCGAGTGACGGCACAGCAGCAATATAGTTGCGCACCCCGGTCGGCATCGCGCTGCAGGCCAGGGAAAGATGGGGCTCTCCCCAGACAGCCGAGAGTAGAGTGCAGCGACGAGGGCCGTTTCGAACAGCAGTGTGTCAGACGGGGGCGGTGGGAGGAGGCGGATTCCAATTGGGATGGATTATGGTTGGGTCGCCGGGGCCACCAACGGCCACGACCTGGCGAAAGCGTGCAAGTGTGAAGTGGAGCGACGACTCAGGCCCAAAGCCACGAATGAAGAGCGTCGAAGCTGGCCGCTAGGCACAAGTGACACTCTTTCTCGTTATTGCAGTATCGACTACCACTGTGACTGCGCCCGTGTTTGCTCGGCATACCATCGCCATCTCACACGCACACCCCCTCTGCACGCGCGCCGCGACCCAGCATTGCAGCGTGGTGCGAGCAGAGTTGTTGTCCGACACGCTCCCACGCTCACGCACTCGCACGCACATGTTTGCGCCGCGCACACAAGCACTCCCTCTCCACCTCTGCCATTGCTGGGCGGATGATCCACGATCTGCGGCTGCGCGCTCCTACCGCTCCTCCTCCTCCTCCTCGTGCTGCCGCCGCTGCTTCTCCTGGTCTGTCGCACGCCTGCATCCCGGTGGAGTCTGTCTCACGACGCAGCGGCCATCCCAGGCCCTCGACCTGCTGCCACCGCCGCCGCCGCCAGTCCGCTCCTCGACTCTGTTGCTTCACTCCACCCTCCGTGACAACATCCCCCCAACACCGGCGCCATGCGCAGGAAATTCTCCTTTGACATTCCCCTCTTGGTACGTCTGGGATATCTGATCAACATGTTTCAATTCATACTGACCCTGCACGTGCAGAAAATCGGCTCGACGCGACCTGACAGCAGAGCATGGAAGGACCAGTACGCCTCACCGCCCGAATCGCGACCCTCGACCCCGAAAAGCGTCCGCCCACCGCTCCCCGTCGACATTGACGCCGAACTACGCTCCGCCTGCACGTACATCATTACACATCCGAAGCCGTCGCACGAGGTCTGGGAAGTTGGCGGCGCGAAGCCCGCATTGGATTATGGCACCATCAAGGCAGGAACAGATCACATCCCTCCCCAACAGCCAGTGGCACCAGTGGCAGTGGCAGCTCTTGGTAGCAAACCAAGTGTCAAGGGCAAAGATGCCGTTCGACAAGATCTGCCAACAGATCCGACCAAATACAGCTACAAGCCGAACGTGCCTGTGGAAGAACTCTTCAAACAAGATGACCGCATTCAGCCGCTCGTTCACACGACAGCGAGGTCACGAGCCGATCAACTCATGGCTCCTCCTGAGCCTCCAAAGCATGCACCTGGCACCGTGACTGGCAGCAGTAGCCAAGGAAGGTCCGAACCACATTCGCACTCACATTCGCAGAATCAACAACAGCACGTTTCATACAAGAGCGAGACATCAGATAAGCCCAGGATATCTGGAAGATCAGACTCTGTAGGAACTTCTGGGTCGACTCCACACACGGATTCTACGGATTACCCTTGGTCACAGTCGACGCCCATGACCTCGGCCGTCATCACACCTGCTCGTAGCTCGAAACGAACTTCGCAGAACGTCAATTCTGGCTCAGAAAGTGGTAGTGCGCCCAAGGTTGAGGCGGCTAATGCGGAATGGATGCGATTAGAGTTGGAGAAGCACAAGAAAGCCATTGAGGAGCGAGAACGAGAAAGGGAGAAGTACATGGAGGAGGCAGCTCGTTTAGCAGCTGCAGAGACTACGCCGACCCAGGCGACAAGTTCAGTCCCAACACCAATGTCCCAGGTACCACCTCGCAAGGCTGTGCCTTCACGGCCTGGTAGCCGACAAGCAAGAGACATTTCGCGGCCGGCCACCCGAACGGAAGCGAGACAAGATGTGAAGGAGTCAATACAACCACTTAGTCGAGGACGAGCGGATAGTGGTCGGGCTGAGGCGAGTCAGCAACCTGCCGATGAACCCAGAGGACGAGGACCAGCTCGTTCGAATAGCAGACTTGGTAAGGCATCCCGAGCAGCAAGTCGTGCAGCTAGCAGAGCAGCAAGCCGAGCAGGAAGTATCACCAACGACATTCTCGGACATTACCTGAGGCCTGCATCGACTCAGAACTCACAAAGCCCCACAAGCCCAACAGAGCGACAACGATCACCTAGTAGGACTCGAGCTGTCGCAAACAATGTGAGGGAATACTTCAGACCTGCGAGCCGCACCCACAGACGATCAGGATCCATCGACTCATTTCAGAGCGGAAACTCGGGGAGATCGCCGTCTGAATACAGCAACCACAGATGGAAAGGATGGCGTCCAGTGAACAAGAACCACGCCCATGTGACACCTGATATGAGCAGGCCTGGCAGCTCTGCCTCACGAGGCGGTGTCAAGGAACAGCGTTCATCACCACAGCAGCAAAGGCCTACCGTCGACTTGAACAGAGAATTGCCACCTCTTCCTGGCCTTGATCAATGGAAACCTGTTCAGAAGGAAGCCGAGAAGCCTAGGACAGCACCGACAGTCAACACCGTTATCGCTCCTGCGTATCAAGGCATTAAGAGAGTCTTGTCCAAGCGTGACAAGTGGGCTGCGCCAGCACCACATCTCTCGAGCAAAGAAGACGTCGTATCTGCCCGCTTGGGCACGCCTACACCTCCACGGTCTCAAAAACAGTCGGTGGACGTCAAGCGGGTCAACTTGAACACACTTACCAGCAATCCTCTGCCGAGTCCACCACCTGTGTCACCACCTGCGCATCAAACCGAGTTCAACCCTTTGTCGTTGAGTAAGAGCGCAGATCCGTTGAAAGTCAATGATGCCAGCAGTGGGCGTCTACGAAGCAAAAGCAATCAAACGTCCCGGCCGGACCTAGTACGCAGCACTCGACCAGATCTCTTCCGAAATCCGTCATCACAGACACCCCAAACACCTGAGAAGGAGAAAGAGAGAGAAAAGGATCGACGTGAAAAGGAGAAGCCAGTGCAGATTAGCGGGAACCCCAACTTGGTCCATCACGCACGAGCTGTCGCTGCTGGGCTGGTCAAGGATCCAACTCGTCCTCCACGTAAAGGTGCCAACACAGCAGGCAACACCCCTTACGGCCACTCGCGTGAGAACAGCGACAAGGCGCGGGCAACTCGAAAGTACAGCATGGACGAATACGATCGAATCGACCCGCGATATCAGAATACGGTGGAAATCCAAGCACGACAAGACCAGGCGGCCAAGGACAAGTCGCGGAAGAAGTGGTGGCAACATCACAAGGATCGAAATCAAGCCAATTGGATGGACCAAGTCGTCAAGTCAGGTGCCAGAAACGGAGTTCTTCTTACTGACGACATTGCTTCGGGTGCGCCAATCGTCCGGTATTGATTGATTTCATCTCACGGCCATGCATGGTTTCAGCATCCGTCGATCAAGACCTGCATCGTTCTCAGCAGCTTCTGGCGCAGGTCGTTGATAGGACTTCGGAACGGTCGACACATGATTATGATGACACATTTATTGATGATAGCATTCGGGATCTGGCCATACTGTTGCATGGGTAAAAAGGCAGCAAGGCGTTTTGGGAGGTAATGTTGAGCAGAGCAGAGCAAAATTGGCGAAGGCGTTACAGGAAACAAGGACCCAAGGATACCCCCTCAGAACAACACTCGCTCGCTGGAAGTTTTTTTCCGTTTGAGATACCATTTACCCACACTCGCTCGTGTCGGTTTCGTTGATGCTTGTACTAGTAGTGGGCAGCGCCTTTTTTTCGCGTCTTGCCGTCGAATCGATTCAAGGTGAAGACAGCAGCCTCCTCCTCCCCTTTACTTTCACATCTCACTTAGGTGTCATATGAGTCAACTGTCTCGGCACCAGCCGCCGACCGACGACTGCCCCTTCAAACTCCGATCAAGAGAAGGTGCGATTGAGTGATCTTACGACATCCATGGGCAGCGACTTCTCTCAACAACAATCAACCACTTCATCCTTTGGACAAGACACCCACAACCCTGCTCGGCACCATCTTGGTCACATGCTACTCGCCATTGGACGGCCTCGGCTTCCCAGTAACACCCACAGTATCCAAGACAATAGTCTCATGAGCCCTCAAAGGACAGCAAGGCACCTCGCCGTCACGAGTGGGACCCGTGACACGCCAGCACCAGCACACTCAGAGTCAGAGTCAGCATCGATAGTCAGACATTCAGCAGGACCAGAAGAAGAAGAAGAGCAGCGTCACTATTTGAGCACGAGCAGGCTTCACTCCATCTCCACCTCCACGGACCAAGCGAGTCCGAACCGTCGACATGTGCAACGTCCGAACCCTTACCTATTCGTGCAGCCACACCATCCCCGTGCGTATACTGAAGGGCAGAAGGCCCCCCCATGTCGTGTCTCAGACCTTTGCTTACCTTCTACCCTTCACTTTTAGTTCCGCCTCAGCACCTGCGCCGGCACCTTCACCTACCAAACCCGCAAATCCCCCACGGGGACCCTCCCCTCCTGCCGCAGTTTCCCGCTCCTGACCTTCATCTCCCCCCAACCCTGCGGAGCATGCCTCAAAGCCGCGGCGGAGAAAGTTCTCGAAGAGAAAATCGCCCGTCTCCGCCTCGAACACCTCTCCTCCGAGACTGATGACTGGACGGCCGAACCCCCCGAAGCCCTCGTGCAAGCCGAAGCCGAGCTCGCGAGCGAGGTCTGGAGGCTGGAGGCCTTCTATCCCGAGCAAGCGCGCTTCAAGAAGGATCTGCGTCCGGAGAAAGGACGTGTTCCGACTCGAAGCGGGAGTTTACTGCGAAGGGAGGTGCGGGTTGAGGATGTCGTTTTGAGAGCTCAGGGGAATATGACTGCGGCGACGGAGGAGTGGGATTATGAGTCCTGGAAGCTTGGGGGGTTTAGGGATTTGGGCGAGGAGATTGCGGAGGATGAGCGGGAGAGGGTGGGGAGGGAGTTGCCTGGTTTTGGGGATTGTGGGGTTGATTGTCTCGAGGAAGAAGAGGGGGTTGATGGGGAGGCGGTGGGAGAGGAGCAGCTGGACGGAGAGATCGGCTCGGTTATGGACTGGGGGGTTGCGACGTCTTGGGTGTTGTCGAGTGAGGGAGGGGAGTGGGATGGTGGGGTTGTTGATGGGAAAGTTGAGAGTGAGAGTCAGAGTGAGGAGACTGTTGTTCCAGGGATGACGGATGTTGGATTGGTCGAAGGCCAACAACCTGAACAGGAAGTCGCACCAGTCGAGGCTACGTGCACTCTCAAAGAGAACAACTCAACAGAATATGCAAAAGCACCACACTGGCAAAGAGAACGGCCCAGCATGTCGGGAACATCACCAACGACGTCCACAACAGATACCCGCGACCTCAAACTCGAAGAAACCGATTCCTCATCAAACGCAAAAGCACCACCCCGGCTTCGACAGCGACCCCAACAACAAAAAGCCATGGATGGCCACGAGCCCTTCAGGGCGTGCAGTCCCTTCTGGATGGAGTTTGCCGTTTCGGTGTGAGAAGGATATCTCTACAGCACAATAGGGCGTTCACACAGGGATGGATGCATAGAAGCTGAGAGGGAGGGAGGACGGCGTTTGAGGGAGTTGGGTTGGGTTGGGTCCTGAGGTTTTTGCTTTTTGGAAGGGTTTGAAATATTTCTCTGGGTATCTGTCTAGCTACCTAACTAGTCTTTTGTCTCTTTGACTACTCATCTCGTATGGGATCGTGGCGATGGAATTGATTCCATCACTGCCTGTCCTGTCCTCACTTGTTAAGAACTCATGCTATTCGTTTACCATGAAGCCGCTTTCTTTACTCCATTCGCCACTCATGCATCATGCTTCGTATCTTGTTCATCCACTCTCGCATACTTTTCTTCCGCGATAGCGACGAGTTAATTCCACCCGGAAGAACTAAACGTGTTCCCGCCCAAGCTCCGACCCCATTTATCGGTAATGCTTCCTCCACCGTTCCTACCGCCACCTTGCGACGCACCATTCTACAGCGCGCCGTTATCCGCAAGTAGGTCGTCGTTGAAGCCGCCTCTCATGGGTGGACCACGGCCGAACTGAGATCTCTCCTTGGTCTGTCGCTCGCGCTGCAGAATGGTGAATTTCGAGCCGAGGGTCTGTGCTTCTGCGACGGAGCGGGTGAGGCTTGCGAGGAGGGATGTGAGGTGGACGTCTTGTCGCTCCTTTTCGGCGGCGAGCTCGAGGTTGGCGGGTGGTTCGGCACCTGGGTCCGTGTTCTCTGGTGCTGAGTCTGGTGGGGCGAGGAGTGGGAGGCGGGAGAGCATGGATTGGACGCTGCGGAGGAGTTGGAAGTTGGTGGTTTCTGCGGGCGCGGCGGTTGAGGTTGCGTCGGTGAGATAGCTCTGGGGGAGTGTTTCGAGGTATGACCGGATAAGGTCGAGACGCTCGCCGAGCATCTTGATGGCGTTGACCTTGGAGTTGAGGGTCGAGATGAGCTCGTCGTCTTCTGGCGACAAGAAGTTGATGGGTGCAGCGCCGTTGGTCTCCCCCTCTTCGCCCTCCTTGGCCTTGGCTTTGCCCTTGCCCTTCTTGTCTTTCGAACTCGATGCAGATGCAACAGCTATCGAGCTCGCGTTGTCCGGCTTGGCCACCGCAGTCGCATTGCCACCTCCAGTTGCGACGAAGTTGACGCCTATCCGCTCTGCATCGCCGGTCTCGACCTCGAAGGCCAGTTCCCTAAACCGAACCTGAACTTGGTCGTTCTCCAGCTCTTCAACAGACTCGTACAGGCTGATGGGCAGCTTTCCTCCTTGCAGGCTGTCGACCAGCTCCGGATGGAACAGCAGCAGCATGATGTTGTCCGAACCCGTCAGCTCGCGCACCTGCCGCAGCACTGGCAGATGTGCCTCTTGTGGACCTTCAATCGGACCAAGCGCAAATACCGCCACCAAGTCTAACGCAGGCACCTTGTGAACCTCCTTGTACATCTCCAACCGCTCCTCGAACCATTGTCCATCGAGGATGGCGTCGCCGGTTGGCTTCTCCGCCAGCTTACACTGGTACGCATGTTCGAGCGTGAAGTTACGTCCGCTCTGTTCGCCAATGACGGCGCCAATGATGGGTCCGGGCTGCGATCGGAGGGTATGGCGTGTGATGTAGTCGGAGATGGTGAGGAGGACGAGCGGGTGGAGTTGGACGTTCAGCGAGGTGTCGGGCGCTTTGCCGGTGACGACGAGCGGATTCGAGGATGTCGCTTTGCCCGCCATGATGTATGTCGGTCGGTCGCCGAAAGTGGTGGATGGTGTTGGTTGAATGTCTTGTAGACTGAGCGTTTGCGCCTGGAGTTCGAAGCTAAGCTCCAGCTTGACGCGAGTGCCACTTTGCGCGAGCCCCACCCCCGCTTTTTAGAAACATTCACTCACTCTCAAACTGTCACAAGCTGAAATGAGTCTTGATTTGATACTCCTTGGTCTGGAGTCAACGAGACCGAAATGAATCGATGAGAGGCCGTGTACATCCAGCGAATGCCATTTTGGACGCCGAACCGCTTTGTGCGACCTAGCCAGTCACAGACGAGATTCACTCCGACGAGTTTCGAAGACAATGCCATTGATCTTTCGATTAAACAACACATGGACTCGTCGAGTCTATAAGTTTGAGTATGAAACGCACTTGCGTCTTACTAGTTTCTCCTTCCCTAAGCACACCCTGTTACTCCAATCGTCAGAGCTTACCTTTCAAACCAAGCTCGTCACTTTCGATCTCGCGACTTCAGCTGCTGGCCAGCAAGCCCACAACTTCAACATGGGCAAAGCTCCACTCACGAATCACTCAAACCGCCATGCCGTTGTGATCAACGCGAGGCTCTATCCCAACGGACCGCCAAACCCGTCAACATTCGTCCGAGTCCCACGTGACAGCTACCCCGTTCCTCAATCCGCGGCACCTCCATCTCAACGTCAGCAGGTGGTGAAGGCCAGCGCTGCCCCTCCTCCTAGGCGAAAGAGCTTTCGAACCCAGTATCCCACGGAACCAGCATTTCTCCCAATGGTTCTGATCCGGCCCGCGCCAAAGGCAAGCTACATGCGAGTGAAGAAGTGGGTGAGAGATCAGGCGCGCGTCAGCAGGTATGAGCCTTTTTGAGTGGCTGACGATATAGGTGCAGAGGGTACGACGCTCTCAAGTTGGCTGGATCAAGTGGATGGCAGCAAGAGGGAGGTTGAGCGGGTGTGATGCAAGACACGCGTGTCGCGCGTTGACTTTGTAGTGTGCGGCTTCGGTATGATATGAACTTTTCACATCGTAAGTCCCAGGTAGAACTGCCCTCTGTGATTCTTTTAGCCTGAGTTGACTGCATTTGCCCGCCAGATAACGAGTCGCTTGACAGAAGGTGTACGAGCAAGACACCTAGTGGACAGACTCGGCACAGTGTCTATTCTGCTTCGGCGATGATGAGAATGAATAGATGACGCACAAAACAGAGAAAAATTCGACTTCAATCTATCGCCAGAGACTTCTGAGCGACTGTACATTCCGCCGTCGTCGCCGCCGCCCGTACCTTCCGCCTCTAGCCTAGCTCCCCACACCAACCCCTTCCCGCCAAAACCCCGGACCAAGCCCAACACCCTATATTCCCCTCCAAATCCCCAAACACTAATCGGACGTCGACTTGGTCAAGCGGTGACGCCCTGCAATGACATGACCAAGCTGGCGTTCGATTCGACAACAACAAAAGTAATATGCGTGAGGCGAAATTACTTTTTGTTGAACGGTGTTGTTTCATGAGTATGTGCCAGGTTGCCGTCTGTCATCAAGTGAGGCGCGTATTGCCTTTTTGCTTTCAGACTGTCTTCTTTCGTTGCGTGCCACCTCGCCGTCTTCATATCGAAAGTGAGGTTCTCATAAATCGAACAATCTCCACTTCATCATAGCCGCAAGCTAGACCAGCAACCACATTCGTCCAAATATGATGGACCATGTCCTAGATATCAACCCCAGCCTGCAACATCCTCGCGGCATACAGATGCCACTCATCGGCAGAAAGTTTCAACTTCTCCGCCATACCGTTAGCTTTCCACGAGAGACATCCGCGCCTATCGCATTGAGTCTTGCAAGCCGTACCGAATGGATTCTCGTCCTCTCCCCAAGAACCGTACACCGGGACATGGTAACTACCATTCGTCGATGGATTATTGTACGTTCCGTGGCCGTACGCTGCGTGCGGTGCATGACTCGGCCTTATCTCTATCCAGCGGATTTCCTTGGGCTCTGTCGATGGTTGATCGGACGGTCTCATAGCAGAATGAGGGTGCGTTGCGGGAGGAGGGAGGTTGGAGCTTGCGGGGTGAGGTCGTGGGGGCTCGGCCGAGCGCACTTGTCCACCGTGTGATAGGGTGTTGTGGCTGACAGCGTTCCGAGGTGGGTTTTGGGCAGATTGTGCGTTCGGTCTTGGGGGTAGAGGAGGCGGAGGAGGCGATCCAACCCATTCTGGTGATGGGGCGTAAGCTGGTGGAGGGTAGTGCTGGCTGTTGTACCGAGCCCACCAGGTGTCGTCACTCTCGCGAGATGGATCAGCATTGGCAGAAGGGTTACTATCAACAGCCTGTCCGTGATATGCAGCTCTTGCCGGTGCAGAAGTCTGTGGCGCCGGAGCTGAACGATCTATAAAAGGTCTCGCAGGAGCTGAGACGTTATTAGGATCTTGATCACGACGCCGTCCGGTTTCGTGTTTCCCGCCACCGAATACGCGGTCAATGATGGCCTCAACAGAGAAGGAAGTTCTCGCTCGGAACGATTGTCGCGGTTGACGGGCCAAGAGCGTGCATTCCTGATAAGCTGCGAGAGTCCAAGGTAGCTGTCGCGCTCGAACTCTGCTGAACGAATCTCCCTTAGACTTGCGACTGAGGGCTATGAAGCAAGGTCGGATGGCGTCGTCTCCCATGACACTATCGGAGACGTAGACATCCAGATACGAAGCAGGGTTGTTCGTATATGCACAGCGTAGTCGATGGAGAAAGACTTCATTGCTGTCTCCGACTACGCTTTCTGCTTGCAAAAGTCCAGCGCACAGCTCCACGTTACGTGCATTGGCTCTCAACGAGTGTGCGTTTGCATCGTGCTCGGTCCGCATCGCAACCACATTGCCACAGTGAGCGAACTGTGATGGTTGCTTGGCAAGGAGACCATGAACCGCCGAGTCGGCAGCAGTGATTGACTGCTCGCTCCAAGCGAAGATTGACTCATCTTCGTATTGCTCCATGATTAGCAGCTGAAGTCGCTGAAAAGCTTTCCAACCCTCTCCGTATAACAGCGGCATGTTGACGTCGAATATGCCCAGCAAGCAATACGCCATGTCCTCGACTTTGGTCGTTCGACGGTTCGCCATCCAGCTCATTCTTCGTGCCACGGAGATATTCTTCACATCGATCTGATCCAACAACACCCTTTGAGGGATGCCGGTGCGGATGTTCACCGCTCGTGCGATATGGGTTTCGTTCTTCCAGCCAATGGTCTCCCAGTTGCCATTCATGAACTGCACATCGTGTGGAGCAATCAGCTCCTGAAGCGTCCATCCTCGAGAGAACCATTCATCTTGAGTAAAGTCTTGAGTGGCTGACGTCGTGTCCCGCAGATAGACTACACAAACACCAGACCGTCGATACCAGGAGAACATGGAGTTGATAGCTTCCGAGAGCTCAGCGCTACTTCTTTTGTCGATGCAGCAGGTGTCAACCCAGACCCAATCGTAGTTGTTCGCGGAGGCCCATTCGCAGAATGCAAATATCTTTTGATAGCCATAGCTGTCGCCTTTTTTTCCAGTGATAAAATCTTCGTAGGATACTTCATCGGCTAAAGAGCCCCACCGATGCGATAGGATGGCGTAGGGATAGTTCGGAATATCCTCATCAAAGATTTCATGAAAGGTCAAGTTGCTGCTGTGTAAAAGTCGCATGTCTTTGAGGTTGTGAAACAACGAAGATGTGATGAGTTATGCAATGCAGCACCGGAGGCAGTTCTGGGCGACTGTACAGGGTTTTGTGGTCGGTCGTATGATTGCGCAGTTTTGAGGTTCTAGATTACGCCCCAGCCGAGCTGGCTGTGTCCTGCGAGGCCGCACGATGAGAGTACAACACGTGAGGTCACTTACTTGCCACGTTACCAGGGAGCGTTGAATGCCAGCTTGGTACAATCGTGATGAAGACTTCGCACGCATAGAACGGCACCAGCGGTCGTGAACCCGGTGTCTCATCTTGTTCTCGACAGTTCGTCTTGAATACGCTCTGCCAAGCTGCGCAAAACGCCACCGGCTTGGCGTATCTTGATGGCAAGATTGCTTCAGGCGCTACATTCTGTACGAATGGATAACGTGACTTGGAATAGAACACATGCGAAGACCAAGACGAGTCGAGGTGAAGTGAAGTGAGGATGTTGTCAATGCTTGTCAAGGTTCGGCCCGATCTTCCGAGCATCGATGACGGAACGATCTGCAGCATCAAAAGCTCTCGATCTGTAGCCCAGGAACAGCTCCCCAATTCACATCCTCTACTGAACTGAAGCTTTCCGAGAATCCTCAGAGTTTGGGGGATCGAATCGAACAAGAGACCTGTCGACGAAGACGCCAAGTCGGCATTCCAAAGGCTGTTGTAGAAAGATCCAGGGAGCGGAATGTCGGGGCCAGCAGCCGCAACTTCGCTCAAGAAGAAGCTCGTGGTTTGCGGAGGCAATGGCTTCGTGGGAAGCAGGATATGCAAGGCTGCGGTAGCAAGAGATTGGGATGTGGTCTCGATAAGGTAACTTGTCAACACCACCTTCAATCTTCCACCGTGGAATGATCTAACACGCGAGACAGTCGATCAGGCGAACCCAACTGGCCCTCCGTCACCTCCCACCAAACCGCGCCTCCGTGGTCGAAATCCGTCACTTGGCGCTCAGCCAACATCCTCCACCCCGAGACCTACAAAGCCGACCTAGAAGGAGCGAATGCAGTCGTTCATTCAATGGGGATTCTGCTGGAAGCAGACTACAAAGGCGTTCTCACAGGAAAGGAGTCACCGATCTCAGGACTAAGAAGAGCGTTCTCTACAACGAAACAAGGCGGAAATACCAACCCAATGGATCGAAAGCCTGGACAGCAGATTGAGCCTGGGGAGAAAGATGGGCAGTTGACATATGAGTTGATGAACCGCGACTCGGCTATTACGCTGGCGAGGGAAGCAAACGATGCGGGAGTAAAATCGCTCGCATACATTTCTGCGGCTGCTGGTGCGCCTATACTGCCTGGGAGGTATATCAACACGAAGCGGGAAGCTGAAAGCACGATTTCTTCTGCGTTTCCCAAGATGCGGAATGTCTTCATCAGGCCGGGTTTCTTGTTCGACTCATCACGCACGTTCACGATGCCAATGGCTGCTGTGACATATAGCGGGTTCATTGCGAACTCGTTGACTGGAGGGAATCTTACCTGGCTCATGGGAGCGGGTGGTGCGAAGCCTTTGAAGGCCGATCTTGTCGCGGAGGCTGTGGTTGAGGCGTTGTCTGACGATGCCGTCAAGGGGCCTGTCGAAGTAAAGGAGATCGAAGAGCTTGCCAACAGGGCTTGGAGGAGAGGCATGCTGTGAGTGCTGTCGAAAAGGGAGAATATCTACTCTGCTCAGGCTCAATGGAGAAGCGTTCAAGCGTTAAGTGTACTATTATATGTAACATTATCAAAAGAAAAGCCTATCACGCTCATCAACATGCTCCAGGGGTATCTCATTTCCAACCGAAATATGCAGCCGCAAATGCTCGCTTGAACCAACCCATTAATCGACATCGTTCAGCAAAGTGCCACTTCTTTGCTGCGAAGTGGACGTCTTCTTCAGCAACTCATCAATCTCGTCAACACGCGCGTTCGCCGTCAAGTGGTCCGCCGCCGCTCCATGATCTCCAGGATGGAGTTGCATATCCGCAGGCGTAGCCTTGGCTTCCTCGCTCGACTTCACCTCATCCTCGTCCTCACCCATAGAGTGATATTCCTCATCGCCATCATCATCATCAATATCATCCTCCTCCCCAGACGCACCACTAACAGCATCCCCATCAACATGCGCCCCAACAATCGCCGACAACTTCCCCGCCTCATCCTCCCTCAACGCCTTCCGCAACTGCTCACCCCAAAGCAACGTAAAGTTGACATTAAAATACACCTCCCCCGTCTCGCGATTCTTAAACACATACCTCAAACAATGCGTCTTCTCCCCGATATACTTCAGCACCTTCAAACTGAAACCCGGCAGCTTCAAACTAAACTGACTGAACGAGATGTACGGATTGTAGAAATCCGCCTGGTACAAGCGATCCTTCTCGAAGACGAACGGCTCGCGGTTCGCGGGCGAGAGGAAGAATTTCCGCCGCTTTTCGTTGTTCTCCGGGAGGTTGTACTTGTATCTCACTTCGCGTCCCGTGCCATCGGCGCCTTCGGCCAGAACACCCGGGGCGTCGAAGTCTTTGCCGTCCATGACTTTCTCGCCGACGCGAAGGCCGAACCAGCAGGATAAGGAGGGGCCGTAGAGCCAGGGCTCGTCGGCGTAGACGTCGCAGCTCAAGCCCGGGTCGATGAATTCCTTGACGATGCGGAAGGCGGTGTTGAAGCCCGGGGGGATTTTGTCCCGCACCGGGTGGTCCAGATCATTGCCCCAGACGGTGTTCAGACTTGGAAGGTCCTGTTTGGGCACGAAGCTGAAACCTAGCGAGTACTGGTCTCGTTCGTGCATGGGGTCGTTGAAGTATTCGCTTGTTGGGGGGCATGATGAGGGGAGACCACGGAAACCTCGTACGCGAACGTGGATTTTGGCGCGGAGGAAGTCGTTTTCGATGTATGTCGGTGAGGACTCGTCGTTGACGTGGACGATCTTGTGGTCTTTGAGGTCGTAGGAGGGCCCGGCTGTGACTAGGAGGCGATATTTCTCGGCGTCTTCTGATGTTGGAGGACCGCTGGAGCCTGAGCGGGTTGATGTTGCTTGGGAGATTTTGCTTCTCATGTAGGAAGTCATCGTTGTTGGGATGGCGCGATGTTGATGTCCATCAGATGTCAGCTAGACGACTTGCTGCTTTATACTGTTATTCTCTCATTCAGTTGCCTGTAGCATACATGTATTTGTTTGGATGGATGATAGCATGACTACGGTGACGTAAGAATTCCTCGAGCCCTTGGATCTGAACGACCATCATGTGAAATGCGGAGAAGGATGCGAGAGACCCGCGCTGATTGGTGGATGTCAATGTAGTGCCTATTGCAGCAAGACCACGCGCAGAGTGCTCAGCCTTGAAGGATCGATTGCAAGTTTTGTTCGTGCAACTGTTGCGCTTGGCACGGATTGTTAGCATTTGATGACCTCGAAGTGTGGCGAGTTACTGGGCTGGGAGGATGATCATCCTCATTAGCCCTGTGGTTGACGCTTTATTGATTTGGAGCTTGGGGATGGACGGAGTACGGAAAGAAAGTAAACGTAGAAGTGAGGACTGAAGTATCGAGCAGGAGAGACGTCAAAATCAACGAAAGCTTGAGGCTGTGAGAACTGTAAGGGTAGAGATATCTTCAATGCAATCAAAGTAACCTTGCTGTTCACTTTCGTGGTGCGGTACCAGGAAAATGAATGACTCCATTACTTGACAGCTTAGTCTTTGAGCGAAGAGGGTCAATATGATATGAATGTAAATGAGATTTCCAGCACTGGTGACAGCCTTGCAGCACCATTCGTGACCTACCTGTCTTGGAATCTCGCGATATCAATCTGAGAGTTGCTATCCTTTACAGACAGGCTTTCCGGTTCATCAAACTTGCAAGGCTTAATGCCGTAGACGAGGAAGCCTGGTATTGAGCCTAAGTGACCGGTCCAGGCGAGAACCGAATCCTAGTCAAATCTTCGCGGCACGCAAACAAGTTATACAGGGCCCTTTAGAGATTTGAGATATCTGAAATTCAAATGTATGCACATAAGAAGGGGTCGCGCATGGAGACGTACGGTAGGGCTTCGGCGACAGTAGCAATGATGGTCCATGACAGAACGACGACCTCACCTCAGAGGCTCGCAGGACGGAGTGGCCTTGCTGGATAGGCACCCCAAGCAACCTGAGGCAGCGAGCGTCAAACATAGAGTGAGGGCTTTTCCGTCCAGACCCCGCTTGCTAGTAAGGCATCCAGAACACTCGACCAGCTACAGTGGTGAGATAGAAAAGCGCAGGGATGAATGTGGTAGCTGCCACCCCATTCTCCACATAGAAAGCCCTACAAGAGGTCCAGAACCCGACGAGTCTGTCTAGAGTAGACCATCCAGCCAAAGCCCGGGGGATGTGTTGTCCAGCCATAAAGCCGGTGTCGCAGGGCCTAGTTCTTTCGCACTGTCCGGGATATATGCTTCAAAAGTTGTGGAGAAGAACAGGACCAGGCGACCAGACCGTGAGGCATTCCTAGCGTGGTTGTCGCCGCAACCTCGCCATACCCATGAATCTGATCTGAACGGAGAATCTGTGGGGAGATGCTTTTCCAGGTTCAGGTAAGTGGCAAGTCTGGTGGAGAGCCGCCATTTCTGCGCCTCTGAAGAAGTGGTCTTTCCGACAGAGTACGACGTCGCAGCTGTCATCCAAGAATAGCGGCACCTAAAAGTGCTTCACACTCCGATCCTCTTCACCGACTCAGAATAATAAGAGGAAGACGTGTTTCCAGTCTGTCTCATCAAGCGCGGGTGGCCGCAAGGATCGATATGCGCTGGAGTGGTGGAGATGTCGAAAAGACGGCGACTGGGTCGGTCCTTGTTCAAAGACTTAGCTGGTCGTATGCAGGTCGCTGACTCTTGGGGTCGTTGATCACGGATAACAAGGTGAAGAGAGCCGGGCCAAGCTCCCCGTGGAAAACATGCCGACGGCGGGCCGGCTTACGTCCTGCAACACCAGTCATGTCTTCTGTGCTTGAGCCGTGATCCGAAATGCCTGCCTGGGGAGGAGCCTGACATCCAGATGGCAGATGTCATGGCTCGTGCCGGCATGCCCATGCGACGTCCATGACACGTTCAAGACGGAAGGTTAACGCCACAGTGGGTGCATTCGCGGGCGGTCTTTTGGACATTCTTCGGACCAGGCGTAGGAGGCGTGCAGTGGCGGTGAATCGTCTTTCCATCCAGATCTGCTTGTTCGCGTGATGAGTCCATTCTTTTCTGCTTCCCAATAGCGCTCGCATGTAACTCGGGCTTCCCTAAAAGATTGGAATCGGTGTGAAGGTGCATGAACCTGAGTCGCCGACAGCTATCAACCAGGTCGTAGGAGCATCTTTGCCAGAGTCGTCAGCCGCGTGCAGAAAAGCCGCAGAACAACAACGAAGAGGTTGCGAGGCGTGTGTCAGATAGAAACCCGGTTGCTATTTCAGGGAGCCCCTGTCAACGTTTCATCGTCGCTGCGGCGGGCTTGGCGGGTGTGGCTGGGGGCTCCAAGTTGCGCCCTGGACAAAGGGAAACTCAATTCGACGACACTTCAACCACACCTCCATCGACATCACGACCGCCTATCATCCTGTCCGCTCTTTGTATCGAGCCTTCGAATGCCAATGGGAAAGACAGGCGTGGCGATGGGACAGACGGTGGTTTCGCCAGGTCAAAGACTTGCGCGTCGTCCATGGATTATTTTAGTCTCGCTGGGCGGCTGCTGACGAGTACTGCCAAAACACGAACTGTTCCTTCTTGCACTGCCCGGTGGGTTGGACGATGATGATGAGGACGTGTTTGTGGTCGAGGTAAGAGTTGTCTACGACATTGTTCTTTCTCTGCTTTCAGTCTCTTTTCTTACAGAAACACTTTCCCGTCTCGTTTATTGCTGACAGACTTTCCTCTCCGTCTTCTGTACATACAGCATTTTGCGTTTTGGTCATTCGCTTCACCACATCAGACGGCTCGAAACAGTAAACGAAACGACAGACGTGTTTTCCCCTTCCTACGGTGTCAGCGATGCTCTACAGATCCCTTGGAAGTCTGTTCGTCCTAGCCAGCCTGCAGGCGGTCTCGGCTCAGAACTCGACAACCACTTGCAACAACAGCCCTTCGCTCTGCTCGAGACAGTACAACAATGTCACCTACCTGGGAGCTCACGACAGCCCTTTCTTACGCAATGACGAGACCGACTTCTCCACATCGGGGAACCAATTCTACAACACAACACAGCAGCTCGCTTCCGGCATGAGGATGGTCACCGGGCAGATCCAAAATCCCAGCAACTCCACTGCTCTTCACATGTGCCATACGAGCTGTGACCTGCTGGACGCCGGGACCCTCGAATCATGGTTGAGCGAGATAAAGACATGGATGGATGCCAACCCGAACGATGTCGTCACCATTCTGCTGGTGAATGGACCTGGTGCATCGGCAAGTGACCTCGCATCTGCATACACGTCCTCTGGCATGTCCCAATATGCGTATACCCCGGCTTCGACCAGCGCGACGAGCACATGGCCGACACTCGAATCATTGATCAGCAATGGTACTCGAGCAGTGAACTTCGTATCGACACTGGACGACAACACGGGCGCAACGTACCTCATGAACGAGTTCGACTACATGTTCGAGAACAGTTATGAGAACTACAATGCGAGCGACTTCTCCTGCGACGTCAACAGACCTTCCAACCTCGCCAACCAGACCTCCACGGCCATCAGCAGCGGCTACATGAGCCTGGTAAACCACTTCCTCTACGAGCAACAAGCCTTCGGCATCTCCTCCCCCAACGAAGCCGCCATCACAACAACCAACGCCCCCAGCGGCGGCGGCTCCGGCAACCTCGGCGACCACGCCCAGAAATGCTCCGCACAGTACGGCAAAGCCCCAACGTTCCTCTTGGTCGACTTCTCCAACGTCGGCCCAGCCATCGACACCGCCGACACCCTCAACGGCGTGTCGAATCCCACGGGACGCACCAGCCTGCCGGACACGCCTCTGAGCGAAACTTCTGCTGCTACCATTGCGCTTCCCCAGACCACGACGCTGTGCTTGGGCCTCGGCACGGCCTTGCTTGCGATGGTGTTTTTGTGAAACGGGCAACGGTTTCGTGTGGCAAGACTGAATGTAACGCTTTGATGATGACACGAAAACAACAGAATGAACGATTGGGATTTTTGGTTGAATGAAAGCATAGCGATTGGAGTTTGGGTAACAGGGGCGAATAGTCGGTCAAGCGATGCGACCCTGATAGACAGACCTGATATTGTAGTCGTGCGGGCACAAGAACCCCGTGCTCTTAATACCTTTTATATCAATCCTGGCATCTTTCGCCCGTCTTGCTGATGATTGGGTCCAATGACTACTGGAACGTTCACCGTCTCGCTGGAAGTGATGTCGCCTCGTGAATCCCACGGTTTCGCTCTGTGGCACCTTGACGTAACATGACCCTCATGCCCGTCGACCAAGAACGACAGAAATGACAAGGCGCGAACGTATGACAGCGTTGGGGGCGTACAAAGGCAGCCCGCAAGGACCGGATGAAATCAGTGCCGGGACTGTGGTGACCGGTAACAGAAAGCAGGACGGGATCGGAACACCGACCAAAACCAGCTGCCCCTGGTTCTTGGGTTCAGATGACAGCCTTGAAGCAGTTCTTCCGACCCAAGATTGATGATTTGGGGGGCGCGCGGGATGCTGATGTGCGAACACGCACCACGCCGGCATGCATGTCACCTGGATGTTTAGATTAAACGCAATTATCGTGGTACATATATTGCATTGGATCTTGGTCGAAAGGGGAATGCGCAGTCGTCTAGATCCATGCGAGCGCTTCGAGATCCAAAGTGTTTCGAGCTCTTGCTCCCCCGGTCAGTTCGTGAGTCCAGTGCATTGTTGCTGTATTGCATAGCACATGACGTGCCCCTTATTCTGGCAGCAGGAATTAATTATCAGGCAGCAAAGCAGATGAAGCCTTTTCAGCCACTTTTGCACACAGCATGCTGGGACGGTGGCATTTTCGTTCCCAACGACGTGGAGAGCTAGGGATGCATTCCCGCATCTCGCAGATGCTCGGTCGAGATCCTGTTGGTTGGACCGCGCACGGGAATGGACCCAGGTGCTCGTCGCGCGTTGGATTCCTGTGCTCAGGTTTGGAGGGCGGTATGTGTGGCAGATGGCCTTGTGACATGCCATAGGTACAGCAGAGGGGGAGATTTACGGTACAGAGACGCCAGCGGCGGGGCGGGAGCGGAGCGCAGCCACGTTGATATCGGACCCAAGTGAGGGAGGGCGCAAGCAGCCCGGGCACGGCAAGAGATCGTGATAAGGTGGTATGCCGCACCCCAGCACTCGTCTCGTTTGGCGAGCTGGACCGTGGAATTGGGAATGCGACAAGAAGGGCCGCGATCCTTGCGCCAATCAATTGGGATTATACTGACGACAGGCGGGCGTCACGCAGCGCAACACAAAGGCGTCTGCGATCGCCGCCGACAGGGCCTCTCCATGCCGCGCTGCCATTGCGCCCACTGTACGCTCGGTGCGCCGGTGACGGACTGGTCCAATGAATGCGCGGCGCCGCACTCCCTCTTGGACGTTCCGAACTGACAGGCACGCGTTGTGTCCTGTCAACAGCAGTAGTGCCGGGCGGGTGGTGGTGCGGCGCTGCAGAGGGAGGAGTTCAGGTCGGGGTGGCTGTCTGCGTCCTACGGCGGCTACTTCTCCGAGTCACTGGACGGGTGCACGAGGCGACGTTTCCAGAGCGCAAGACCACAAGGACGAGCGGGCGATGGTTCTGGGAGTGGGAGCTGGTGTTGTGCTCGCACGCGGTGTGTTTCTGCTGGCACTCCATCGAAGAAGAGAGGTGTGCTGCGCTGCTGCGGCGCTGTGCGGGCCCGTCCAGCGAGCCGAGCACCCGGTTCGCGCTCGGCGGCGGCGATCGGGAAGACAGGGATGGGCGTGGCGACAGCACTCTATCCTGCTGCGAGAGAGTGGAAGCGAAGCGTCACGAGCGTCAACCTGCAACGCCGCCATCTTGGGGCATTTGCAGCATTTCTCCCTCACGCGCACGCCGACGCGCCGGCCCTCACCGCTCCGCCATCGATCCATCAAATCCATCAATCAATAATGGACGGGCGACTCATGCGCCCATTCGCCGCACCAGCACCTATCCCGTGCCGATCTGCTGCGGCGGCGGCCGTCGAGTCGCCGAGGCGCGCGAGTCACTGACAGCAGCCCAAGATGGACCGCGGCTCCTCTAAAGAGCACGCGAGCGAAGCATGTCGAGCAGCGCGCCGCCGATCCAGCCCCAAACCAGCAGCCCATTGCCCAGCGGAGCCCGGGCGGATCAGACACACTCGCAGCGGGCGACCTGTCAGCGCATTAAGGTTAGGCCCAGAGATGCTGTCTGCGAGACGGCCGGCATGGGGTCGTGCAAAGCGCCAGCCTGGGCATCGTGGTCTTGTGCCAGGCGGGAGAGTCGAGCCTGCTCTCTATCCATTCATCACCTACTTGACCCTTTGCTCTCCCCTCGGCATCTCCCAGATTGCCCGAATGCTGCTGCATTTCTCTCTTAGCCCGGGCAGTCGAGCCGGTGAGTAGGCTGGCCCGCGCTGTGCCAAAGTGCAGTATTGCAATACCCCAATCTGGCATCGAGCCGCTGTGACGGGTCCACCGCCAGGCAAGCCCGAGCGTGTGTCAAAAGACTCACTTGACTGGATGCGGCAGCATTGTATGACGCTGGCCGCTGCATGGTGCATGCGCCATGCGGGCCGTTGGTGCTGGATGCTGGGTCTGTCCACACTCCGGCACCAAGGGCACACACGGGATCGTAGAGCGTGTCCATCTCACCATCCTGGGAAAATTCACTGCACCCTTGCCTGCATTATATTTGCGCAATTTTTCGTTGCCCGCATAAGTGCAACAAGGTCCATCCGTCAGACGCATCCTGATCATCTGCAGGACCCGCCTGTGCAGTCCCTGCACGCCTTGGACGCCAGTATCTCGGGTTTTGGCTCCATCTCAATGGCCCTCCCCTCCCAGCTTGTCTTGCCCCATTGTGTACTCCCAGTCATATCCTGGACGCCCATCAATTAATAGCCCCTCAAACACCGGTCCAGGTTGCTTCTCAACGTCGATGTATTTCTGTTCTTAACAACCACTTGAAGCGCCCCTCCCGGCAACGATCGAAGCAACCTTAAGGCTGGAGGATTCAGAGCTAGCGGCAACGCCTGGTTTGATTCAAAAGCTGCTCGTCTCCTTGCATTCTTGGTCACTAGAATCCGCTGCCCGTCGACACACCTCGCCGTCAAGCCCGTCCACTGCATGGTCAACGCCATCGACGAAGCTCGTACATTCTGACTTCTGTGGACGACTACGCTCGATTGCTCATTCGATTGACTGGATGAGCCGCTCGAATCAGCATGGAAAGTCTCTCGTTAAATGAACGACATCCGTATCATCGATACAGTGGACATCACCATTCGAAAGATCGAAGACACCGCTCCCCGCGACTCCCAACCCCAGAGGACTCTCGAAGCAGCAACGACACAATCGATGGTCAGAGTCCGCGTGAGGCTGCACCGCCTGTTTGTGACTACTCGCGTGCTGGCATGAACGACAACAACGCCTCTCTGGCCATTCCTAGCTCAGGTGGGCATTACCGACGCGACAGTGGTAACGCCAATGCGCCACACTCTCCTCCTTATCGTCTGACCGACGAGCAAAAGCCGTCCCTTCCCCCGCTCAAGACTGTTGGTATCACCCTCCCCATCTCTTTGCCCACTTCTGACAGCATATAGGTACTCGGCGATAATATATCCAGCCCTCCTCGAACTCCAAGCCCTCACGAGTCCGCCATACAACCCTCTCCACGAGAGCCGTCCTACAACGCCTTGACTTACAAGCCTCCAGCTTTGTATCCCAACAAGAAGCAGAGGACCGAACCTGCTTTGCACTCAGCGCCAGCGTACTTGGGTGGAAGCGGCTTCAAGTCCTCATTTCCACCATCCGCGACACTCGAGCCACGACCTTACAGCTCCTCTTTGCGCCCGCAGGTGCAGTTCCTCCCAATATCGGCCCCAGTAACTCGCGTGAGCACGCGATGGCCGTCCGATGTAGCTACCAGTCCACCGTGGCGATCACAGTATCCAACACACGCACAGCAAGCAAGTTCCAGTATCGATGCGCCAGCCAGCCATTACCAGACACCCGAACAGACACCAACCTCTTCCATGGTTGAACCTTCATTTCCACGAACGAACGCGTTTCCCGGTCCAGCGCAGGACCCCTTTGCAAGAGAGATGCGCGAGAGCTTTGCACGTTCTGGTCACCAGCGAAGAGGCTCCACTAGCAACTACAGCCTTTATCCATCGCGACCGTACGAGCGCGAGGCACCTCGCGCCATGTCATATCAGCAAGGAGCGCGTCACTCGCTCCCAGTCAGAGGCGTTTATGCAGATGCACATGAAAGTCCTCGGTATGGCCGGCCGGACGAGCTGACGCGTCCGATGAATGGCTATGGACAACCTCCCTACCAAGGCAATATGCCCGCTTTCTTCATGCCCAGTCACTACGAGTATCAGCACGGCAAGGCACGGAAGAGGAGCAATCTACCAAAGCAATCGACAGAGATCATGAAGAATTGGTTTGATAGGGTGCGTCGAGACGTCAATCTCACACGACCGCCCACACCAGCTAATTCTTCTCGCAGAACATCACCAACCCGTACCCCAGCGAAGAGCAGAAAGCTATGTTCTCCAACGTAAGTCATCATCAGCACCAGTAGCTTTCGTCTTGACATTAGTGCTGATTTGCCTTCAGGCTACCGGAATCAGCATGACGCAGGTCAGCAACTGGTTCATCAACCATCGACGGCGCTGCCCGGAGCTGCGCGACAAGCGCGACAAAGGACGCATGCGAGACGTTGATGTATGACGACGATGACTTTTTTTCACTTCTTTCGACAATCCGTGTATGATTATGAGATTTCACCCGAAAAGTTTGGGAGGCTAGATGAAGCTGAAAGACGACGCCTTTGACGAACAATCACACATAGATGCAACAATGAATACGGCAGCCCAAAAACAGCGACAGAAGGAAAGGTGTCGATTGTCATGGGGACATGGGATCATGTCAGGAGGCAAAAACAATGTACAACCTCCTCGATTAGGGGGATTAATGCTACTACTGCTACAACGAAAATACAGACAGGAAAAGAGTCTCGAACCGTATTCAAGACAAAAAACCCCGACCCAGCGTGTGAGTTCCCAGGAAGACCCAGCGGTCATCAATCGTTGGATCGTTGAACACTTTCGACGAAAATGGCAGTTGCGCCGACGAAAGCTCGTGTTCTATCACGTCGCGGGGGTTTCATCACACGGTTTGAAGACGCCCAAAGCGAACGTCGAATTCCTACCATGGTCGAAACGTGGGATTGACTGTAGAACTGATTCAACGTGCGTTTGTTTGAGGGTTATTTTCGGCCTCTCTGCCACAGCAGGACCTTCCGAGCTGTTTGCCCGGTCTCAATCGTTTTGGAAGGAACGATTCTGGACTCCACTGTCATGTGGAGATGGATGTGCCGTGTTCCTTTTTATGGCTTCGTCAAGGAGGACCTTGACTTCCAACGTTCATGATTTGAAATGTGAGTCTGTGGCGCGTCGAGAGCAGCGGCGGTATGTTGACGCGAAGAGCTGGATCGGCAGCCATGGGACAGTGTACATGTACTTTCCTGTCAACGCATGTCGGCGGCAGACACCGCGTGGCGATTCACCTACTTTGCACGCACTCCAGGCCTGCTCAGTGCTGACTCCAGCGAAACCCAACTTGATCATCAGAAAGACAAGTTGAACATATAACAAAACATACCGCTGCCCACCTGAACATCTCCTCGCCAACAAACAACCCCAGACCCCCCAGCCAGAGCCTCTCGCGGCCGGGCGGTGTCCCGTCGACCAGGAGATCCGCCTCGTCCTCCCCCAGATCGACCAGGTCGCGATGTGCTCCCCGAAGCCAGGCATGCCAGCACATAAACAGGGTTGGTCCAGGGTTGACAAAGAAGGACAGGGCAGGACGCCACAACCAGCACCACGCTCGCTCCCTCGGCCCGGAACTGGCTCAAACTTTCGCAGCGTGTTTGCTCTCTACAACGGTCACTGCTTACGGTGCAGTTTTTGCTGCTGCAAGTCATCAACCCGGTCTACCATCGCGGCATCCCTGAACGTCATGTGAGATAACGGGACCTCCTTTTTTGCGACCGTCTTTGATGAGGCGTTGGATCTGAGACCTCACGTCGGTGAAGTCGGAAGAAACGTTTCACTTTTGACAACAAGGAGCTTTTTCATCGCACACGGCACAGGTCGCTACAAGTATCCAGGTTTTACGGAAGAGAAATCTTGGTTCGAAAGAATGCTGCCACCCGCACGCCGGACCCCTTGGCAACGGTTTGTGGTTGATCGATCGTCAACCAAATAGAAAGGAGCGCCTTTCCTAAAGACGGAATCGCAAAACAACGTGATGGACACGTTGGACCCGGCGTGAGCCTATTTTATCTGGATGATGATGACCCCCTGATCTTGGGATGAGATACTAGTGGACGTTTGATGGACGTGTGCTGGGATGATCTTCCTTCGTAGGAAGGAGAGAGAGGGAGCGCGCGATACGCTCGAGAGGAGATGATGAAGGAAGATCGCTCCTCGAAGATGGAGTGTATGCGAAAAGTCTGAACGGCGACAACTGCCGGAGAAAGAACTGCCCAATCCTCTGCTGTTGCTTCGACGAAGTCCGCTAGACGCCGACAAAAAGTCCACTGCAGAGAAAACGTCCTATGAGCAGTCAACCAGATACCACCAAGCGGACAAGACCTCGAACGCCAGAGATTGATCAAAAGCTCGACCTCACGATGCCACAAGTCTCCACAAGCTGAAAAGGACGAAAGCTTGTACCATTCCCTATCGGCCCTTTTCTGTGATAGACATCTGTCAAACCTGCAGACTCCCAACGGTCAGTCACATCGACTACAATCTGAAACATTTCGTGTCCGATCGAATCAACATCTCCCGCCTCGGCACATCACAGCCACGGCTGTTCAGATGTGTAAGTCCAGCGAAGGAGGGATCCTCAAGTGCCACGGCCCGATCGTATACATCATTAAAACAGCCGCCTACGTCCTTGATCCTGGATCCGAACACCATCGCGCGGTGGGCAAGCCAGGAGGAATTGAGATGTGAATGTCGAGATCGTCTTCGTTGCGCATCACCCGTCATTGCTTTGCGGGCCCATCAATGCTGTTCGGCAATCTCATTCTGGGCGCCTTTTCCCCGAGTCGATGCCACACGCTCCATAACACAGAACGTGGCTCTGCGTATACCGGTTCGGGAAGTCGATCAGTCGATATGTGCGTGCGTCAACCCAAGTCAGACGAGACGATCGAGGTGAGCCGTCGAAGAATGAGTCCGTACTCTGCGATTATACGATGGTCGACATTGCATACTGGAGTTCAGTCTTCGATGCCGACCACATACTAATGAAGCCGACGAAGGCAATGTCTTTCCTAACATGGCTTGTTCAAAGTTGGACGAGTCTTCAAATTGTCCTCCAGGACTGCCTGGGGGGCTCTCAGGAGGTCATACCCAACTGAAGCCTATCTTCTCAACGATATCTCACCAGGAAACTACGAACCTCGACGCATCCCCACAGCCGCCTAAGCTACCATCACGACGAAGGCGCTCCCAGGACATGATATTCATCGTCACAACTCCGGAGCGTGAACGAAAAACCAGGTGAGAGAACTTTTTAATTCAATTCACAGCCTTGACTTAGGCGTCATTGCAATACCATACCATACCGGCCATTACATCGTTACTTGTACAGCATGCATCATCATGTTCATCATTCCATTCACCACCAACCACCGCCGTGGCCCCAGCCCCAGTGCGGAGGGTTATGTGGGTAGCCACCAGCCTGGCCCTTCTTGACCAGCGTCAACTCATCACCGACACCAGACCCGTCGCCCTTGATGAACTGCCAGGTGAGCTTGTTGGCATCGTGGAAGGTCATCTTGCTGAAGCCGTAGTCCTGGGCATTGAGCACGGCGGAGATGTTCAGTCGCGGCTGCGAGCTGCTCAGAGTGCTGTGGCTCTCGATGTTGCCCGCCATACCGTTGATCAGATGCGTGAGCGAGACACCTGGGTTGGTCGTGTAGGTGTTGTTGTTGACGACCGAGGCGGTGTCGATGCTGCCGTTGGAGGTCAGCGGGTACAGACGCTCGTACCAGTGGATGTGGCCGGCGAGGTAAGCGTCGACGCCGTTCTGGATCAGGAGGTCCTGGAAGGCGTTGCGGACGTTCTTCTGGTAGGAGGAGACTTGGGACGAGTACATTGGACGATGGGACATGGCGATGACCCAGGGGGTCTTGTTGCGGTCGACCGAGGCGAGGTCCTTCTTCAGCCATTGGTACTGCTGGTAGGCCTCGTTGCTCTTCCAGTTGTTGCCTTCGATGGCGCCGAAAGGACCGCTGTCGGTGGAGTAAGTCTTGTTTTCGGCGGGCTTGCCACTTGGGTCGTCCCTGATGAATGGCCATTCGGGCGAGTATGGGAAGTCGGTCTCTCCGTCGATGGAAACAAAGTGAGCGAGGCCATAATCGAAGGAGTACCAGAAGTTGCCGACACCACCGGATTCGGTTCCTGGCATGCGGAAACGGTGCTGGTAGGTGGTGAAGTTGCGCTGGGAGACTGGGCAGCTGTAGTAGGTCAACTTGTCCGAGGTGGAAGAGTTGGACTTGTCGTCGTTGAGATAAGCAGCGAGGATGTTGCCCTGTCCATCGAACTCGGCGCACGACGCCTCGTGGTTCCCTGGAAGAACCATGTATGGGATCTTGGTGGAGACCTCGTTCTGCCACTGCTGCCACAGGTCCCAGTTGGACTCGTAGATGACGTTGAAGTCGCCACCTTGAGGGCCACCCTGGTTAGGGATCTCGCCAGCTGGAAGAGGCTGGTCATACTCTGCTGGGAATGGTGCTGGAGGCGTGCCTGGCAGCTCAGTGTTGGTTCCGTTGTAACAGAGTGGCCAGGAGTCCTCGCATGGGAGGATACCGGAGTACCAGTCATCAGCATCTAGATCAAAGGTCAGTCAAGTTCTACACATGAGGTCCGAACAGACATACAGCTGATATCTCCACCGTGCCATGCGAACGCCACGCCATCGTTGACAGCGCTGACGAGCTGCTTGTGCGTGCCATGGGCGTTGGTGTAACCCATGTCGTTGAGCACAGCGATAGTGAAAGACTCCTTGTCGCCAGCAGAGCGGGCAGTCTTGAAGCTCATGACGCTGGACTCGGTGGTGCCATTGGCAGCCGGGATCTGGTAGAAGTACGTCGTATCTGGCCTGAGACCCTCGAGCTGGACGTTGTGGAAGTACTGCGAGCAAAGAGTGACATCTACGAGCGAGCATGGTGGCGTTCGGTCGTAGGTGTCAGTCACACCGGTTGCCACGTTGGACAATTGCCATGGACGGCTGCCCCAGCGGACAGTAGGAGCATTGCCGAGTCCGAATGGCGTTTGGTAGTGGATGTTGATGCCATTGCTGCCAGCGTATGCCAGCGAGATGACATTGACGTTGTTCTTTGGGTTGTTCGATCTTGGCTTGACAGCTGGTGGCTCGACCAGACGAGGGAAGCCCTTGCCATTGCCCTTCACGGTGGGATCAACCCAGTCGGCCACTGGAACCGCTGGCCCAGTCTGAGAAGGTCGTTAGCTCTGGATCGGCCACTGATCGAATTATTGCCACTCACGTATGGAAAGCGAGTATCAACATCCCTCGCATCAAGCTTCTTAAACGGAGGCGCAGCCTCAGTCGCCACAAACAAGGCTCCCAAGAGCACAGACGTCGCAGTAGCCCTCATCTTGTCGAACAAGCACAGCGAGTGATGAAGGAAACACAAGAAGAGTTCAAGCCTTACCACCAGCACGAAACCGATAGGCTACAGCAACCAATTTGTACCCATCGCCCACCCACGCGGCCTTCGCCTCCCAAGCGGCGTCCCATCCGCATCGAGCCAGATTCGTGCCATTCGACCTTCCAGAAGGTGTTGCTGTGCGCGGGAGATGAACGACGGTGCAGCTGTAGCCAACGAGCCAACGTCGACGCCAAAGCACGTGTAGGGTGCCTGTCGGGCAAGCGGCATGGCAGAAATGTGTCTGCGGCCAACTGCGAGATAAGAAAGCCGCACGTGTGAGGCCAAGGGTCGTTCGGCGTGGACGAGGGATGCGAACGACCTTCTCCTTAAGGTTTAAGCTCATGCAGGTACGGCAGATGCTTGAGTGTCTTCGCGAGCTTAACCGGTGGGGTGATCCGCGCGATGTCGATTAGTTGGCCAGTGAGAGGGAAGAGGTTGGTCATTCTCCTCTCAGCTCGACCCTTCATTCAACAATTTTTCCTCGAGTTGGAGCTGTCGAGGCACGGTAGTTTATTTGTATTGTTGCCCAGGTCTGGCTTTTGTACAAATCAATCACTATTCATACAGACTGATCGAAGTCGTCTATCGTCGTTAAACAAGGTGTATCACTGTCGTTATGCCTGATCCAAAGACTGCGCCAAACACATGGCAAAGTACCTCCCTCGCAATGCTTGCAATTCCTCGTGGGTGCCTTGTTCCACAATCCTCCCGTTCGCCACCACGAAAATCACGCTGGCATGCCGGATCGTGCTCAATCGATGGGCCACCGCAATGGTCGTTCGACTCGAGGCAGCCTCATCCAATGCCTTTTGCACGATGCGCTCACTCTGGGTGTCCAGCGCTGATGTGGCTTCGTCGAGCAGTAAGAGACGGGGCTTTCGAATCAATGCTCGGGCGACTGCTATCCTTTGCTTTTGACCACCGCTGAATTGGCCACCTTTCGATCCACATGCCGTGTCCAGCCCTTGGGGAAGAGATGATACAAACTCCAGAGCGTTGGATTGTCGACATGCCTCTTGGACTTCTTCGTCCGATGGATCGTACTGCAGACCGAGAGCTATGTTCTCGCGGACGGAGCCTTGGAAGAGTGGTGGTTCTTGCTGCACCATGGACATGTACTGTCGGTACAGCTTTGGGTTCATCTTAGCAATGTCCTCGTCGTTGAGCGTAATGCGGCCAGAAGTCGGATCGTAGAATCGCTCAATGAGGGAGACGAGAGTGCTCTTTCCACAGCCAGATGGGCCGACAAAAGCAGCGTAGGTACCGGGTTCGATCTTCATGCTGATGCCGCGTAGAACTCTCGACGCATGTCGTTGAATATATCTGAACTCCACATCTTTCATCTCCATTGCGCCGTCACCAGAAGGGCCAATGTCCCTGTTCTCGTCTGTCTCGCGGATCTTCGCCTTGAGTGTCCGTAACCAGAGGATGTAGTTCGCTGCAAGCCTAGCTTTCGTGATGGACGAGGTATATCCAAAGAATTGCGCCGCTGCTTGTCCGCCAAAGACAACAGCAATGAATACGACGAAGAATTGACTGGTGCTATATTCACCGCTTGCGATTAGTCGTGATCCGTACCAGAAGCCAAGGGCCATAACCAAGAACTCCAGTGACTGCGACAGCGCGTAAGGGACGAGAGTGATTAAGTAGCCTCGAGTCGACTTGAACACGATGCCGTCCATGGTCTGCGAATACTCCTTCATAATCTGGGATTCCAACGTCAATGAAGAAATCGTCTTGATGGAAGTCACGGCTTCTGTGGCCAGTCCAGCGCTGTCAGCGAAGTGGTTGCTGCTGTCTTCTTCCAACTTCTGGTCCATGCGAATCCGAATGTATCCAGACCCAAGCAGCACGGGCATGCCGCCGAAGACCACGACCAGGCCCAGTTTCCAGCCATATGCAATTGCCAAAATGCTTGAAGACAGGACATTGACAATGACAATAACCATGAGGGAGACGTTGGCTGAGATGAGTTCCATCAGAGACGTCGGTACAGAGGACAGCTTGGAAGTCAGGGATCCAGACGAATTTTCTGGACGATCAAAGAACTCAGGATCCAGATTGAGGACTTGTTCCATCATTTCCCGTCGATAGCGGTGGGTGACCGTCTGTCCGATGACATTGCAGCACCAACCGATGGCGAAATAACCAATCTGCTCAAGTCAGCGAACGTCTGAAGGTATAGCTTTTGCAGTAGGAGACGTACAAAATTGGATATAGCAAGGACGAAGAACATTAGAGCGTAGAAGTCGGCTTGAGATTGACCTTCGTCCGGCGGGAGAATGAAGACGTTGATCAGGCGTGAGAAGAGGATTGCCTGTGCAGGATACATGCCTCCACCTAGCAGACATCCACAGAACGAGAGGATGTAGCACCAGTAGAGTTTTGGGTTCTCCTTGAACATGATGTAGATGCACCTGATCAATCCGTAGCCGAGTGTGCCAGATGTTAGTTTCTTGATCTCAGCTTCGGCGGTAGTGGACGCAGCGTCCGTCTTGGTCCTTTGAAGGCTGAAAGCGTGCTCTAGGCGTTTCTCGTCATCCTCGTCGGCAATCTCGGCTTCGCCTTCTTGTGTGTTGAGGTCTTGTGCCCTTACCATGGCAGCGTAATGACCATCTCGTTCGATGAGCTCCTTGTGGCTGCCTTGCTCAATCACGAGACCCTGTTGCATGACAACGATGTTGTCAGCGGATCGAATCGTAGCAAGCTTGTGTGCGATGGTGAGCGTGGTCTTGTTCTGGGAGACACGGCTAAGTGCAGCCTGGACGACCTTTTCTGCGGTTGGATCCAAGGCACTGGTGGCTTCATCGAGCAACAAGACCTTGGGGTTGGAGATGATGCTACGAGCAATCGCAACACGTTGTCGCTGGCCGCCACTGAGCATGCTTGCTCGCTCTCCCACTTGAGTGTCGTATCCTTCGGGAAGCTCCATGATGAAGTCGTGAGCGTTGCTCTGACGACAGGCGTCTTGCACCAGTTCCATCTGCTCATCATAAGGAAGTTCGAGCTGAGATCCCACGAAGCCTTTCGAGACGTTCTCGAACACCGTTCCCTGGAAAAGCACAGGTTCCTGCTGAACGAGCCTGTAGGACATTAGCGTTTGCAAATGGTGTAGACTCTCACCAAAGCCACACATACCTGACATTGCTTCGAAGCCACTTCGTATTGTACTCCGAGATGTCCACGCCATCGAGAAGGATCTGACCTGAGCTAGGCTGATACCACCTTTCCATCAAACCGATGAGCGTAGATTTGCCGCAACCTGAAGGTCCAACAAGCGCGGTCGTCTTGCCAGCTGGGACGGAGAGGGTCAGGTTCTTCAATACTTGTGCCTGCGGTCGCGAGGGATATGCGAATTGCAAGTCACAAATTTCTATACTGCCTTCACAAGACGGTGGCTGTTTTCCTTCCGGGGCGAGCGGATCGAGCAAGGACGGTTTGTCGATGATCGAGAGGAGCTCTGATGCCGCTGAGGACGCGTTTGCAATCGCCTGCTGCTGGGGGATGATCAGACCCATGGACGTCGCACCGATGGCCACTGAGAGAATGACGGTCTGGTCAAACAGTCAGCATCTCACTCACCAAATTCATGAACATTCCGCGCAAACTCACAAACACAGTCCCAACGCTCGAAATCTCGCCACTTCGAAACATGCGATAGCCCTCCCAGAATGCCAAAGCCGTGGCTGCCGTGACGAGGAAGTTTTGACTAGAGAACAAGATACCATAGTTCGGACTCTTCTTCTTTCCCTCTTGATGCGCCGCCGTCAAATATTCATCGTACTTGGCTACGATCTTGTCCGCCGCACCAAATGCGTGGATACTTCGGATTGAGCTGATCGCATCTTGAGCCAGCACAGCTCCCTGCGAATAGAACCTGGTGATCCGAGACTCCTGTTTGGCATCGATCGGGATGATGATGCCGACGCAGAGAAGCAGTGCCGGCACGATACTCATGCAAATGAGTGCCAGCTTCCACTGGACCGCCAATGCAATGATAAATGACGAAAAGAAGAGCGAGATCCCCTGAACAACAATGGCCAGCTTTTCAGAGATTCCTTGATTGACACGGTTGCCGTTCGTCGTGACTTGGGTAGCGGCAGAACCGTTGTCCATCTTGTCGAAATGCCATACTTCTTGTCTCAAGGTGGATTCAAGGAAAGCTTTCCTCAATGTTCGAGTGGTCCTGATACTGGCAATGCTGATGGCGACGTTTGTGAAATATGTCAAGGCGAATCGAGCCACGAAGAGGTAAATGAACCATAGTACAAAGTGATCGACTTTGCTGCGGAACTCGTCTGGAGTGGATCGTCCTGCGGCAAAATTGTTGAAATCGGTTGTAAACTGGCCAAAAACCAGTGTCATCAACGGTAATGCTGCGCCAGATGCCACGGATGCTGTGAGTGATGTGATGTAGAGGATAATGTCCAGGCGATCGCAAAACCTGAAGACTCTCATGTAATCTCGAATGGAGCCCTCATCCTTCTTCTTTTTCTTCTTGCCATCCTTCTCCTCTGTGGCAACATCCTCGCTGTCTGATCCGGAGTCTTCTTTCTCAGTAACATCTCCTGCTGGACTGACGTCGATCATTTGTTCTCCCGGTCCCAGAGGTGCGTTGGCTGCTGCTGCTGCTGCATCCAGAGCCTTCTCATCCAGATGGGTTCGCTCCGTCATCCTCGGCGAGCGAGATCGTCGTGGTGTTGTTGATGAAGTCAACGGGCCGTGGTCCTTATTACAAAGGAAGGACAAAGCACGAGCGACTATATCAAGCCAACGCCACGAATCATGATGTATTCGCAGGCAGAACTCTGGGCGCCAATGTGACAACTGAACGAGGTTTAGCGAACGCGAAAGAGCATGAACGAGGTCTGGATACGCCGTTTGATGATGAGTCTGGCGCTCAGCCCTAGGCTGAAAACAGTAGACGAAGGAACACAATGATTTTACAGTCGGACATTTCAGACTCCGGCACGATGCATCGAGCAATCTTGGGAGCAGCACTGCGATCGAGAAAGATAGCTGTCAACTATTTGCTTTGCGAACGAGAGGCGTCGTGGGGTCAGTTGCCTCCTTCGTTCAGCTCCTCCAATCATCATGTGCAGAGTGCACGGCGGGCGCGCGATCCGTGCTGATCTATTCCGTAAGTGGCTGGATACGGAATTGAAGCTCAATGATGATTCCAACTCCGAATGTCGTACTCATGTCCATGAAACCTCGACAAGTTCGACAACTTGGTCCATTGCTCCTGCTGCCGACGACGCATGGCCGGTGAGCGCTGTGAGCAACATGTTTGTCCCGGCCCATGTCGGCTACTGGGCCAAGTTTCACAGACAGCGATGGCGGTGCGAGAAAGTCGTATTGGACCTGGTTGCCAAGCACGGCTGAAAATGACCGTGTCACCGTGAAAGTGCCCGGTCAATGAACGTATCTCAGCCTCATCGTTGTGTCATATCTCATATCGCTGTGCCTCGCTCGAAGCTGTCTCTGATGTCTGCAGTGTATTTGTTGTAGAAACGAGCCAGCTTCATGTTGAACTGCTTGTTCTTCTCGTTGATGTAGGTGACGTCGCCTCCATCGTCGTCTGCCCGTCCACGCTCTCTACGCTTCTTCATCCGAGCCTCTTCCGCCTTCTTGATGTCGCCAACCAGTCTGTCCACCGCAGCTCGTGAAGGCTTGTTCTCCGAAAACGATGTGCTGTCCGCGGTGGAATAAAAGCTGCCGTCCTTGTCCACAGCAATGAGCTCCCCATCTGGTGCTTCCACAATCTCCAAGCCACCGCTCTGGACTGCCCTGTTGATTGCATCCCGCTTGTCCTGCTCGTAGGCCTCCAGCCTCTCGTCCATACCCGCCTTCGCCATCTGGCCAAGCTGCCGCTTGTACACCTTCCCAGCTTCTTGAGAGTAGTCCTGGAACGCGTTCTTCTCGCGATTGCGCTCCTTCTTTACCATCCTCTTATCCCACTTCTCACTCTCGTCCACCGTCCAGTCCCACGCTCGCTTGCGCTCGAAGTCTTCGCCAGATTCCTCGACCTCAGCTTTCAAGAGCTTGTGGTTTGCGACCTCTTTCTTGCGGTTGAGAGAATTGAGCTGAGATGGGTCGACCGAAGCACGTTGGGCTTCATGCTTGGTGTCTTGTAGATTCGATTTGCGACTGGCCGCGTTGCGAGCGCGCAAAGCGGCAAAGCGAGCAGCACGATCGTTTGCTGGCGCTTCTGAAGCCGGAGGTACTGAAGTTCCCTCCTGATCGCCCGTAGCCGCTTGTGCTTCTACGGTTTCAGACTTCGTGTTGGCCTCTTGCGTGGTATCCTCATCGTGCGCATCCTGTTCGGTCTCAGTGAATCGTCGCTTGGACGCCTCTGCAGCCTCCTCGAGTGCCGGCGACCCCTTGCGCTTTCGAGTATTCGGCATGTTGTGTTAGTTTATGGGTTCCTGGGTTGGGTTGACGAGTTGCAGTGAATCGTTCAAAAAGTCAAAGTGACGAAGACGTAATGACTAAAATCTTACTCATAAAGACACGTGATCTGAACTGGGTGTACTTCACTCTTCGCCGACCATTGTTTGAATTCGCACGTCGCAGACGAACTGAGTGCGGGCGACATGACACTTGGCCCGACTAGCATTGTGATCACCGGCATGCTTGACACTATTTAACTCTCCTCGCCGAGACCATGCGCGTTGGCGGCGTCGTTTTGATCAGCACCCACCACGGCACCGAGACAAAGTCAACTTCACTTCTCGCAGCGGGACGGGCTCGATTTCGCGAAGGAATCGGGGCGCTCTTTTGACAGCAATCCTGCTTGCGCAATCGGTACGGCTCACATGCAAGTTTGTTCGACTTGCCGCCGGCAGAGCTCACCTCTGTCGTACGAATGAGTACTGGACTGGGCGCTTCGAGACAACCAGGGAGCTCGAAGCGAGTCCACTCAGCTCTCACAGCTCGACCCGCCTCGACTTCACCACCTCCCGTATCGGCAGCACGGTACCGCTGTCCCTTTGCCTGAACCTAGCCAGCGCCAATGTTGCGTTGCGGCGTTTGCTGATCTTGTGTTACAACCTTCCTCTTTGCGAAAGAGGCCGTTGAGGGCGCCTGGTGGCAAGCAGCTGATTGGACTACGCTGGACCCAAACATTGACCCATGAACACATGTCCAGTGCTCTCGGTGAGAGCCATCCAATAGGAGTACCAGAATGAACTCAGACTTATACAACCACGCCTGAGAGAAATGTCACCGGTCCAGCTGAAACGAAATCCTAGGACACATGCTTCGTGTAGCAGTGAACCTCAAGGGTCACTTGTGATGACGAGGTTTGTCGGCCTCAACGATAGCGCGCACTCGTTGGTGCTTCCGGTGTGCGTCGCGCAGATTACTTGGATGCACCCTGCTGTGCCTGCTGGTCGCGTGCACCAGAGCGTCCAGTCCTTGATGTGGGTTAGGCTGAACTGCCGTGCAACCTTTCAGCCTTGGGCTTGTCTAATCCTTTGCTTGTTTTGTGGAGCGCCCAAGTCTTGTCTGACATTTCCATCGTCTTCTTACGTCTTTGCAAGAATTGGAAAGAGCACTGCCTTCTTCGGTTGTTCGGCATTTCCCATCTATGAAAGCATCTTGGGCTCTGTGCATGTTCAATACCAACACCTGCAGGCCAGGTGTTAGGCTGCGGGCCAGCTCCACTACGAAACTTACAAGGGACGATCAAAGACTGCGCCGCACAGCGCACTTGCTACTTCAGACGACCTCCGACTTCCCATCGACGTTGAATCCTCCTTTGTGAAATCCTTTGGCCCCTTTGACGGCCGCTATGGATCGCTCTATGACTTCCTCTCCCAACAGCAGGCGCCAAGGCAGTCAACCTAGTGCACCAAGTTCACTGCCACCATGGGAGCAAAGGAGCGTCGCCCAAGTTCCATACATGGCACCAGACTCGCCGCCTTTAACTCAGACTGAGCAACAAGCCCCTCCATCACTCTGGGCCACTCGACAAAATGGACTTCATGGACGATCAAAATCTTACACCGGCCATCCCGACCAAGACGATCGACACTACCAACACGGTGTAAAGACACCTCTCACAGCACCTCCCACGAAGACGTCACCACCACCAATACCATACGAAGTGGACAGAATCGCTTCCGGGCCAAGGTCAGCACCGCATCTCCCAGCCTTCGCCAAAGGCCCACCAAGTCCACCTGATAGTACTCGTCAGTCGCTATCATCAACAAGCAAGTCAGCTTCTCCTGGTCATTCGCCCCACCTAGGAAGCAAGCCGACAATTACAGCCATGCCTGGTACCATGTCAGCTCGCGAGAGAAGTCGCTCACGACATCGGACGCCAACTTCACAGGATCCCGGCACGCAAGAACAACATGAGCACGTACCCATCGGCAAGCGTTTCAGGTCCGTCCTTAGGGACATCTTTAGACGGGACCCAGTCGACGAGACTAAATTCGAACGAATCGAGGATCGTCACTGGGCAGACGAGTGATGATGAACGGCTTTGGTCAGTGGGATCTCGGGGCATGATTGCAGTCGACCTCGAGAGGGCCCGAATGGCGTCGGCTGTGGGCGTGCGTGCCTAAAGCATCAAGCAGGATGCGTTCGGGGCTCTACCGCATGACAATAGATTGAGTCGTGCTTCATATTAACGTCGGCGCATAAATCGACGTTCTGTGCAATGGCGTTGCAAGCATTCAAGGAAGGGAGGCGTCTCGTTCATATTGCATTCTGAGCGTTCTGGCATGTTCGCTTTTGATCCTAATGCTCTTCACGACTCTCAATACAGTTCTGTTCTCACCTACTTGTGCACACCACGATCGTTTTGGAATAGCTCAGGATACCCCACCACATGTACGTACTCTTACAATTGCTTCAAGAAGTTCAGAACCGCCTTCGTCACAACCTCAGACTGTTCCTGCTGCACCCAATGTCCAGCATGATCCACCATAGTCGTGCCCTTGAAGCACCCAGGCTTCACGCTCTTCTCGTCTTCATAAGCCTCCAGGGCACCGGGTTGTTGGTAGTTTCCCCAGTCCTGCTTGCCGCTGATGAACGCACAGGGCACTTCCAGCCTTCGTCCAGCGTACAGGAACATGTCTTTCTTCGACTGTGGAGTTGATGCTGTCTGCGCACGGTACCAGTTCAATGCTCCCTGGAAGCCGGTCCTGCTCCATTCTTTGACGTAGATGGCCAGCTCCTCGGGTGTCAGCCAGGATTCTGTTTTGGAGTAGTCTTCGCCTTGCATGTTCCTTTCCACGCTCTGCGGGAAGGAGTCTTCTTTCCTCATGACGTAGTATTCCGGCATGATGGCGATATCCTTCGCTCCCCATGCCGGCAGGGAATGAGGCTTGTTGTGGTCCCAATCGGCTGATTTGAGATGGAAGTAGCCTCGGAGATACTTTTCTAGGCCTTGCGAAGGATAATTCCAGTCGTTGGCTGCTTCGGGTGATGAGTTATACCATTTGTAGTGCTTTCGCGGTGGGTTCAGCTTGGCCAGTTCGGCTTGGATGTCTACGACAGCTTTTTGAGGCTGGTCGTCGAATTGTGGTGTGGGCGGCGGATGGTGTGGATGGCTCATCTGGATGGTCGCTTTGAACACATCCGGCCGCATCAAAGCTGACATGGCAGAGGAGACACCACCAAAGTCATGGCCAATGATGCATGCAACTTCAGTGTAACCGAGCTTGTATACCAGACACATCAAGTCGCGTACAAGGTTCGTCATGGTATACTGCGTGAGATCAACCTGGTCGTAAAGCTTGTCTTCCCATCCAGTGGTTCGTCCGTAGCCTCTCTGATCCATTGCCACGCAGTAATATCCCGCCTCCGCGACTTTGTACATCACATGCCGCCACGAATACGCCAGTTCTGGATATCCATGACAAAAGAGGACCAATGGATTGCCAGGCTTTCCGGCTTTAAGGACGTGAAATCGAAGCCCGCATGATGAGGTACAATCGGCGTAATCCTCTGATATGCCTTCGGGCAGCGGCAATGGCTCGAGATTCGACATTCTTTAACCTGTTAATCACAATCAACGGTATTATCGCACTTTCCTCAGGAGGAATCAACAATGATTTTCAGCATCAATATATGCCACTTCGGCTGATGGGATAACTTTCAGGCAGTTCGTTCAGCTTTCCAATCTTATTGGAGCTCACAGAGCTTGCGGTGACACATGGCCGAGGTTGGCAGCAATAGGCTGTTGTCAATACTTCGCGATTCTCTTCTCTCATCAGAGGTGCGACTTGGGCGCAACACCGACCTCTCCTGTCGGCGAAATGCGAGTCAGGCAATGTATGGCCGCTCGTACGCTCAAACCGCGGCAAAGGCTTTCAATATATCGCCTCTTGGCCGACGGCAAACGACCGCGCCGCCCGACATCGCCTCCACGGCTGACATCAACAGAGGTACCAGTTCGGCGACAGGACGACATGCTGTCAAAGCTCGAGCAGCTCCTCTGCAGCTCGGGAAGGTCAACATCGCTCATTCGTGTTGTCGTAGATGTCTGTCCTGATCAGACGGAGAACCGAAGCCTGAAGTCCAGATTCTTCCTCCTTCATCTCGGCAAGCGCTGCCGAATCTCGGGTCGGCCTAGCGCCGAGATCCTGGCACATCGTCGGTTCGCCCCGCCGCCGTGGCGTCGTTCCTTCAGCCGACCAACGACATCGCGACAGGATCAGCACAGCAAGAACGATGCAGATCTTTACCGTGGAAGACGTTCTTGCAACGACGAACATCAACCTCACCTGTTGAGCTCCAACATCGTCCACCCAAACACTTCCTGCCGCCACCGGAAAAGATCCAAAACGCAGCACGCAGGAACCCGCGATATGCTCCTTAGGCTGGCAGGGATTGAAGCGGGACCAGCGCACCATTTCCACACACGTTAAACGAGCCGCTCTGCACAGAAAACCACCGCCAGCAGGCACGCTTAATTTAGGTGAGGACACGACAGGAACCCGTGCTCTATCACATCTGAGCAGGCCAGCCCTGTCGCGCCATGTGTGTGGAACCTGCCTACTTCATCCTCCTGCTTCGCCGTTTGCAACACTTCTTCTCTTCTTTTTTTTCTGCTTCTCTCGTGCTCTTTGCTAATCCCAGTCAGTCGTTTCTGTTTACCTGCTACACGCGCTCTACCGCAGTCGCTCGCTACTTTGTACCGCTACTTCCTTTCTCATACCCACTTTGATAACGACAGATCCGACCTTTTGATTCTCGAAAAAAGCACAGCAAGATGCACTCGTTCGCCAAGAGGTGTGCTCTGGTGGTCGCCACTCTCAGCGCTACAGCCAGTGCTCTGGATGGCATCGTTGCTCCCAGCCAGGTCGAGGCCGGCTCGGAGATCGAAGTAACCTTCCAAGGGTCGAACGATGATCAGTACCGCGTGTACCTTGCGGCAAGCCTGTCTGGCTCCAATGGTCCAACCTGTAAGCAATGTTTGGATTACCAGCGATTTCCCCACGATACTGATCGTTCTCAGGCTACCTCGTCAACTCGACAGAGCTCTCTGATTCCGTCAACGTCACCATTCCTCCTGGTGTTGGGCCGTCGGCAGACTACTACAGCATTGGCATCGCAGACCTGTCCACTGGTCAGAAGGCCACGTTTAGCAACCGTTTCAATCTGACCAATGCCACTGGCGAGTACTCTGACTACGAAGACGCTCTTGGAGGTAGCCCTTTCTGGAGTGCCGACGATCTTCCTTGCAGCGCCTACTCATGCGCCAGAGATTGCGCCCAAGCCTCTTACCCGGACGACCTGACCGACACCGATGCCTACGACATGATGAAGCAATGCATCCTGAATTGCAATGGCGTCACTCCAGCAACGAGCCAGACAGCTCCCGCACACGCAACATCGACCTCATCCATTGCGAAGGCGTCCACTTTGACCGGCCAAATGGCAGTCATCACCGTTTCGCCAGGTGTTGTCCTGACTGCGATCGAAACCGAGAAGACCGTGCATGGGAGCACCATCACTGAAGCTGTGATTGGCGACATGACTATCACCCTCAACGGTGCTGCCAGGACTATCAATAGCGCTGGTTTCAGCCTGGCCACCAACGGTGTCGAAGTCGGAGGGTCCACCACGGTCGAATTCTCCAGTACTACTGCGACAATGGGAGGGCCCACTGCCACCGAAGCACAACTTGCAGCGAGCTCCAGCGGTAGCGCAGCCAACAACAAGTTCTTCGCAGGTGCTGCTGCAGGCTTTGCAGGTCTTGCTTTCGTTCTATGAGCAGGACTGTAAGCTGCTCACCTTGAGTCTTAGGGACAGAACAGACATGCAGACAGACATGACTTGAACGACCGGAGTTGGAGATGGCTCTGCAACACTTCTTGGTTCGCACGCGGCGATATATGGAGTGCTTTGCTCTTTCTTTGCTTTGCGGGTGTGCATATATATGTGAGCAAAAGTGCGGTATAGATTACGAAGAGAAGAAATGGTAGTGTATAGACTAATAGACTGTTTTGCAGGCAATCAATCGTTCCTCATTCGATCGTGTCAAGAGAGTGCTCCTCTTGTTTTGTCCGTCACATGAAGACGTGAGGATGAGAGAAGGTTTAGGTTTGGTGATGTGTTTTCAAGCTCCAAGCCACGCGGCTCCTCCCTAGGTCACAACGCCTCTTTCTCAAGCCTATCTATCCGAGCATACGTGTACGACGATATACTCTACAACGCTCAGTTCTAGAAGACGCCCTCATAAGCACTGGGACGATGGAAGAGATGTGCACATTTGATCCATGCTACTCCGCTCAGGGGCTCAGGCTTCGACTTTGACGGCTAATGGAATATTAGGCTTTCCACTTCATCAACGCGAAGCTCGCAACGTCAAGTACTGACCCGTCCTACCACTAACAACAAGAGTGTCTTGATCACATGCTTGAGACGGCAAGCGCGACGACGTAAGCTTGAACAAATCGCAACTTCCCGATTCGGCAAGTTCGCTGCCTCACCTACGAGTCACCTCAGCTCTCGAGCACAAAGATCTTCCACCACCTTTCTTTGTCTCCTCCAACTCCATTGTTAGCTGCACGACGACACACACTAGTATCGCCAAGCTGTGTCGAAAGTTCTCATATAAGTATGCCCTGACCCTGTCTCAGTTTCTACTCCTCAGACCCGCCTTGCCCCTCTCTAACAACAAACACCACTGCCTTCTCACCTCACGCAGCCTTTTCTGCAGGTCAGATACATCACTGTTTGACGTTTCATACTGACTCCTAGCTGCTCTTGCGTTGCTCCAGGAACAGGCAGGCCCGGCTTCCGGCTCCAAGGCAGCAGCGTCCGAGACATTGGCGTCTCGCCAATCCGTTCCACTTTCAGATCTGCTCATGGGCCAGCAAGATGGCCTGCAGAGCCACACCATGGCCGACGACGACACCTCCATTGGCAACGGTTGGGCACTGCAGTCTCGCACCCCACCGACCATGACACCAAGCAACCAGGCACTTTCACCATCGACTTCCACCTTCCACCCAGACATCGATGTGGTCAACAACAGCCGAGACAGACGCATTTCAGGCGCTACCCTCGTCGAATCTCCAGACAATGACTACTGCCACACGCTCACATCGACGGCTACGCCCTTTTGACTGGCTGGTCTCCCACTCCTCAATACTTCCACGACAACTCTCCTGCCGAAACCGACGACCAAAGCTATGTCTACAACGTTCGTCGTGACAGCGTGATGAGTCAAGAGTCTGACGGCGACGATGGATGGAACGGACGAGACGCACCGGGTCTCGATCTCATCGACAGACGTGCAGATCCCGCCATGGTGGCTACTCTGCGGGCTGGTGAAGTGGCACGAGCTCGACGCGGATATTCGCCTGAAGCGTCTAGATCCGGTGAGGACTTCTCTACCAGCAATGCTACTGCAGCAATGAGAGAACCTCAGCCGGAGGATAGCCAACAGATGACGCATACGACCATTCAGCGTGAAGAGGCCAAGGGCAGCACAGCTATCAGTAAGTCGACTCAGAAGCTCAAGGGATTGTTTCGCCGTCTCTTCAAGTCGGAACCGCAGTGAGAGGAAGACATTATCTGGTTTGAGATCAGACGGTAGGTTGGATGATGGATCAATCTGTAAAAGTATTGGGACAAAGGTGAGTGTGGATACTGTGCGACTATGCGAGTGGACCTGCTAGACATAGAGGGCTGGTCAGGCAGTTGGCTTGAAGTGATATGCAAACAGGGAAAGGATGCAGCAACGGAGATGCTTGCAGATTTTTGGGGACCAATGTAAGTGTAAAAATCGAGTTTTTACTTCTACCAAAAAGGCACAAATGAAACTGGTGTCGTTCTCGTCATCTCTATCTCTATTCTTTATAAATCTACTATCACAATCCCCCATCCCCAATAAAACACCACGCTAAAGAAGAATAACATATCACGAAACCGGCTCCAACCCATACGGCCCCCCCGAAAACTCCTCATCCTTCTTCGGCTTTGCCAAATGCAACCTCCTCGCCCACTTCGCCTTTCCCTTCTTATAGCTCCTCTTCGTCCTTGTCCAAGGATAATTAATCGGACTCTCACCGCCCGTGAAGATGCAAATATCATACAACGCGGCACCGACCATCGCGCCGGAAATCGTGCCGGCGAAGGGCCCGTAGAACCAGTACGGGTTCGTGAAGAGGTCGCGGCCGTAGCCGAGGGCGAGCATGGCGAGTCGCGGGCCGAAGTCTCGGGAGGGGTTCATGGCGGCGCCGGTTTGGAATGCGAAGCCGAAGTTGAGGGCGGTGATGACGAGGCCGATGATCAGGGAGTTCATGCCTGCGCCGGGAGGGGCGTTTTGGTCGTCGCCCAGGGCGAGGACGGTGGCGGCGAGGATGGCGGTGCCCATGAATTCGTTGAAGAAGGCGGTTGCCGCGTCGATGTAGGTGTATCGCTGGCTGGTGACGAAGCCGTTGAGGATCTTGGTGGAGTCGCCGGTGGCGTTGAAGGTTTGGATGGAGGCGAGGTAGAGGCCGTAGGCGGTGAGGGCGGCGATGAAGGCGCCGAGGAATTGGGCGGCGAAGTAGGGGAGCATTTTGCGTTTGGGGAAACCTCTGTAGAACCAGAGCATTATGGTGATGGCTGGGTTGAGGTGGGCACCTGAGATGCCACCGGAGATGTAGATGCCTATCATTGTCGCGAAGCCCCATGCCCAGGCAGTTGTGTTGGCGTTGGCTGTGCTGGTCAGCGTTGCGGACGTGTCTGAGCAGAAACCCAAGGTGAGCTGAATAAAGACGGCAAGGAGCTCGGCGAGGAATTCGCGGTTGTGGGTTCGGACGATAGACCATGATGTATGATTGTTGTGGACTTCGTCGTAGAGAGGAGGATTCTCCCCTTCGAGGATTTGTTTGAGATCGTTTTCGGGGAAGAATTCAGGATCGTCTTCGGGGCGAAAGGTGCGGTTTGAATCGTTCGACTCGTAAGATCGTCGTGGCGTGGCCTCATGGCTCTCTGGAATTGTATCAAGACGGTCTTCCGGTGTGCGCTGTAATGACAGCCGTGATGTCTGTTCGTCCGCCTGCGGGACCTCAAGCTGGTCGCTAGACTTCTTCTTCGCATCATCTCCATCTTCTTGGACTGGTTCGTCGGTTTCCTGGGCGGGCGTCATGGGCCTTTGCGAGGCCCAGCTTGATCCCCTCGGCCTCCTCCCGGCCGTCTGAGAAGCCGTCGAAGACGCTCGCGTAGGCCGGGTCGAGAGCGTGGTGCCACGGCGTTGGATGTTGGTGATGAAGTTGTTCTCCCTTTGCGCCCTTGAATCCTTCAGCTGCGCCGATAGCTTGGCCGGGTTGGGTGTAGGTTCAATCCTACCTTCCTCAAGGTCCAGTGGGTTGACATCGACGCCAATCTTCATGGTGTTTTGCCTGGGGAGTATTGGACCTTGCTGTACTTGCTTCAGCTCCTCCCTGGTTGGCACCATTCCGGGTCTGATAACACGCGGGAGAGGTTTGGCCAAACTCCACACAGGCTTGCTGCTCGCAGGCTGCTCATATGCTGGGTTGAGCTCAACATATCCTGGATGAACATAGTTCTCATGAGCTTGTCTGAGTTGCGGACCGTCGTCTAGCCCAGTTACCCCGACTGTGTCCATTCTGGTTCTGTTGGCGGCCGTGCTGGGACGAGCTGTGCGTCGTGATATAGCTGTGCTTCGACGTCTTAGACTTCGTGATCCCACTTCTTCCAGGTCCGGAAATGCAGTCGTTGCAGCTCGCCTTGGAGATTGGAAGTCCCTGTCCATCAGCGTGGCGGCGCGCCGAGGCATTCCAGGTGGACGGTCGTCCCCATTCTCGTCCCCATCTCCAGACCCACGAGGCTGCCGATTTGCCTCTGCTGAACTTGGTGATAGGCGCGCTCCTCTCGAAGGGACAGCTTCTGACTTTTGCACAGGTTAGGCCAGTACAACTTAATTGGGGGATGCGGTACTTTCTCTCGATCGGGGGCGTCTCCTCTCCCTCTCTTGCATCTCAATGTCGCTCTCGCTCTCTTTACCTGGTGAGAAAGTCAGCAAACCCTCCCAAACCAAGTCATCCATGTTTCACGATATGGGATCGCCACACCTTTGCCCGAATCCATCTTATATCACTCCGTCCAACAAAGTCAATAGCACGCAGCGCAGTCGAAACTCCAGCCAAGCAGCGTCAGATAATCACGAGAGAAAGATAAGAGATCTCGCAACCTGTAGTTTGCATGGAAACAAACGGAAGAGGTAAAACATAGAGAAAGAGAGTGAAGGCGAACACGAGTTTGTAGAAGAACCTACCAAACACCACGTCACTCCACTGGCGCCCCTATCGCTCATCGGAAACCCCAGGCCCACCGAACAGATCCCCCTTCACCAACCTGACACGCAGAGGACGGAGGTGGTGTGGTGGAATTTAGAAACCAGAAGACCCACTCTTCACTTAAAGAGCACATCCGTCGGGCGCGAATGGCATCTCGTACCTGCACATGCACGCAGAAAGGAACATTCTGCTGTCCGACGTAAGCGTCTGCAGCAGCAGAAAATCTTCCAATGACTTCTCGAATGACGCGTCTCGTGCAAACGTCGGCATGGCGCTTGAACGGACGTTTTCCTCGAGGCGGCGGAAGTGCTGCCCCCTGCCGCACAATGCCTGTTCCTGATTCTCGTCCGTGCAACAACTCGGTTGACTGCCGATATCGTCGGCACTGCTCGGGGTTTAGCTGCCAGTCACCAGCAGACGTCTGTCCCAACGAAGCTTTGTCACTTGAGCTTGTCTTTTCTCTTGGGGCATCAGAGTCAGCGCGATTCCTTAGTTTGGCATGTATCGTCCAGCGATTGCGCGACTTCGCGCTGGTGCGGAAGATTCGGGATGTTTGGACTCCACAGGTGATGTCGATAGCGCGTGAAGTTGACGAATGGCTTGGCGCCGGCCTGAGGCACCACATGGAATGGAGGGCAACGGGATGTCACAATCAATATTACCAAGACTTCTAGATGCTACAAACAAGATGATAGTTACACGACACGTCTGGGTATTGCTGCTTTTCGCTTCCGCCCCAAATATCCGTTCACCCGCCATCACAGCACGCTTGAGCAACAAATGAAATATTTCTAATAAGAGCAAGCTTGTAGACCCTTGGACTGGCAGCACGTTCTTAACTTCGACCAAGCTGTCGCCGTGGTTGTCTGACCCAAGCCCTCAGAATTAGTTGCTGTACCCCAGCGCAGCTCAACATCTTATCGACAAGCTGCCCCAACTCCCCACTATTCCCCATAAAGTTGCAGTGCCTGCAGACTCATCACTGGTAAAGCAGAGACAAAAATTTAGTGTGCAGCGCCAGCCTCGGTCTCGTCGTCCTCGGCGACGGTGGGCTGGCTTGGGGTCTGCTCTCGCACCATGCGACTCTCGAGTTCCTTGAGCTGAGACTCCCTAGCAAGCAGCTCTTGACGCTTCTCGTTGATCTCACGCTGAACCTTGACCTCGATCTCACGCAGCTTCTCCTCCTCTCTACGGAGTTGCTCTTCCTTAAGACGCACAGACTGCGAAGCGAGAGACTGTGGGTCGAGCGAATCGCTTTCGGTGTTGACAGTACCCTCGTTGGCGCTTGCGACGCTCTTGGACAGTTTCTCGGTACGGTAGTTTTCGTAGAGGAAGTCGTGGGTGATCTCCTTCAAGTCGGCCAAATGCGAGTGGAGGAGGGCAGATCGGATGGCGAGGAAGTCCGAGTGTCTTGGGTTCTCAACCTCCACAACACCCCATGGGTACTGACGAGCGCGGACACGCTTGCCGTCGAGCTCGATGACCTCTTCCGAGCCGACAATAGCGAACGGCATCAGGCCACGCAGCTCCGCGTTCTCCTCAACAGTATCCTCGTCATCCTCTTCAACATCGTATGGGAAGTTGTAGACTGGAATACGGTAGTGCTCAATATCCTCCATGATCAGCTTCTTGCTTTCCGCCAGTTCCAATGGGGTCAGGGAGTCGGCCTTGCCAATAACAGGGATGACGTTGACACGAGGGCTGAGACGGCGCATGAGCTCGATATCAAGTTCGCGGAGACCGTGGCCTAGATGAAGTGTCAGCATACATCATAGATGTCAAGGCCGTGTCAAAACGCACCAGTGGGTTGCACGAAGTACAAAAGCACGTGCACTCTGTTGTCCCGGAATCGTGGGTTACGCTTGATCCTGCTCTCCTCTGCCAAGATGTCATCATATTGACGCTCGAGATAGCTCGAGATCTCGCTGAAGGAGGCCTCGTTGTCAATGCTATCACCGAAGCCGGGGGTGTCGACAATGGTCAACGAAACCCTCGTTCCCTCCTCGTCCAGCTCCAACTCAACAGTCACTGGCTTGATCTTGACACCCTCCTCGAGGTGTGCGGTGGTTGGGTCATCGGTGTCGAGTGGAGTAAGGACCTGGCGACCGCAGAGGGTGTTGACGAAGGTGGTGCGGCCGGTACCAGAGGCACCGCAAACCATCAGGCAGAACTGGATTCCCTTCTTGACATTCTTCTTGCGGCGAAGCTTGATGGCGGATGTGGAGGTAGACATGCTGGCGGGTGAGTCGGCGCGCACGGAGGCTATCCTGTGCGGTTTGCTCTGGGTGGTGGTTCGGAAGGGAGGGGGTGATAAGCGTGAGCTGCGACAGTGTTGCTGTTAGCACTCGGTCTCGTGTGTAATTCTCGTGACACTGGCATGGGTGGCTTGATGGCGGCGAGTGGCAGAGTCCACGTCGCCTCCCACCGCCAGTCCCAATGGCTTGCGTGGACATTTCGGCACTCACCTGTGATCTCACGTGCGCCCGCTGTTCGATGCGGCGGAGAGTATCGTGATGGCGGAGGGGTGTTGATGAAGTCAAGCGAGTGATGAAGAGCGGGCGACGACGGTGCTGGCAACGCGCAAGACGGGCAGCTGCTGCTTCTGTGGACCGCGAATGCTGGAGGAAGTCGAAAGGGGTTCAGCAGGGATCAAGGCTTGGCACTTTCGGAAGCAGCCGATTGGATCAAGGGTAAATGCCTCCAACGTTCACAAGGTCGCCTTTCGACTTCACTTCCTCACCTTACCACTACTGGTACATGTGTGTTTGCGAAAGTTAAAGAGACGTCGTCATATCATGGGCGCTGCTGACTGTTCTGGTATCAATGCAAAATACCTTCGTCGAGAGGCACTTCACGAACCAATCCGGCAGACTCGAGCAACGGAGTGTCCAAGGTATTCATCAAGCCTCCCACTCCCGTTGGAATACGTCTGGGCAGACTTCAGAATACATATAACCGCTGGCGATATGCCGAGTGGAGTGGAGTAGAGAGTGGGCAGGCACACCGTCCCCCACAAGGCTGTACAGTCTGCAGCGTTTTGCAGGGGCAAGCGAATCTCCCACCGGACTCATTCGGTGTAGCCTCCGCATGTATCGGATACCATCGACAATCACAGCGGAGTAGCGAGTTGCTGCACCCACCATCACGGCTTGTCTTCGTCCAGCTGAGCATCTGGCTGCATCGCGAACAGGAAAGAGCAGTCTAGGCTTCCTCGGCTGTGGCCGATTCGTCGACAGGCGATCGCCCTCCCCCACCCCACGTTGTTGAACGGGCGAACTCAACGGCGCCAGAAGAAAAATTACCAAATCCTTCTACTGTTAAATACGACCTCGTGCTTCCTCTCCTTGCTTCGCTCTGCTCAACATCTCTGCCATCGCGCAGCCTACCCATCCGTGAGCGACTTCAGGAGTTTTGCGCTCACGTTGCGACCGAAAAGCTCCATTTTATCACTTCAGCTGGTCGCCATCGACAAATCAAGTGCGTTTCCGGGATCAACGAACACCGTTTGTGTTTGAGCAAGGATGTCGAAGGAAATGGAGCACTACGCGGAGAACCGCCCCTCCGATGAGGAGATCGCTACTGGTGCTGCACCTGTCGAGCGCATCACGGTCGAACCAAAGGGCACCTCGACGACTCCAGACGCATCGAGCGCCCCTACTTCTCGACACCATCATGGCCCGGTGGAGATGGTTGGTGCGGATACGACAGAGCAGCCGCCTTTGCAGACCACCGTGGCCGAAGTCGAAGGGCGCAAGTCTCGTTTTGGCTACCTCCGCCGCAAGCAGTTCTGGATTGTCCTGATCCTGTCCCAGGCACTGGCACTCACAATCACTGGCACAAACACCACGACGACCCTTCTTTCTATGGAAGGGACTTCAATCCCTGCTTTCCAGACCTTGTTCAATTACATTCTTCTCAATCTCATTTACACGACTTTGACGATTTACAAGTACGGGCCGAAGAAATATGGCATGCTCCTCTGGAAGGACGGCTGGCGTTACTTGATCCTGGCTTTCTGCGATGTCCTGGGTAACTACTTCACCGTTCTGGCATACCGATACACCACCATCCTCTCCGCACAGCTCATCAACTTTTGGGCCATCGCTGTGGTCGTACTCATTTCCCTTATCTTCTTGAAGGTGCGATATCACATCTTCCAGTACGCAGGTATCCTGATTTGCTGCGGTGGCCTCGGCATGCTCGTGGCTTCTGATCATATTACCGGTTCAAATGGCGGACCAGCTCTGGATGCCGTCAAGGGAGATTTGTTCGCTCTGGTTGGTGCTACTTTCTACGGACTTTCGAATGTTTTCGAGGAGTTCCTGGTCAGCAAGCGTCCTCTGTACGAAGTCATCGGCCAGCTTGCTTTCTGGGCACTGCCCATCAACGGCGCCATCTGCGGTATCTTCGACCGCAACTCCATCAAACATGCGACCTGGAACCACAAAGTTGCTGGCTACCTTGTGGGCTACACTTTGCTATTGTCTTGGTTCTACTCAGCAGTACCAATCGTTCTTCGCATGGCATCTGCGGCGTTCTTCAACATAGGATTGTTGACTGGCAACTTCTGGGGCGTCATTGTTGGCATTAAGGTCTTCCATTACCACGTGCACTGGATGTATCCTATTGCATTTGTGCTTATCATGGTGGGCCACTTTGTATACTATGGCACGGAGGGCGTTTTGGGCGAGGCGAAGAAGCCCTGGCTGGGAGAGAACCAGGAAGGCGGCAACGACGGCATCGGAACTGCGCGACGACAGCTTGAGCACCCTGGTGTGACTTTGTAGATACAGCGGGTTAGGATTGCGGAGTTCGCGTGCACATACCTTTACGGCCGTTTAGCATGAAACGAGACTACGTCGAAATGCGAAATTGAAGTTGCTTTTTGCGCTTTCATGAAATGTCACAGTCCACCTTGTATTGCAAAAGACGATAATATCAGCACTAGTGCATTGATGATGCCCCATGTGAACGGAATCCACGTAGACATGCGAAAGAACCCTCCCGTATACACAGCGCCGGCCCTGTAAACACCTCATTAGCACGTGAACCTCAAGACACAAGTCCCATCAGACAAGACTCACAGCCCACCCACAACATTCCCCGCAATCAACGCCTCCACGGTGCCCAGCACCGCATACCCCACTGGCGCGATCCAAATCAACTTCCAGTTCCGCCACTGCACCGCACAGGCATACGCCGACGCGACCAGATGCACGCCGCCGACCATGATGAGCGTCCAGTAGAGCGTGAAGCGCCACATGGGCTCGGCATCGTAGAGATACGTGCACTGGGGTCCGTTGACGGGGAAGGGCCAGTAGAGGGATGGGAAGGGCGGTCCTTCGTATGAGAGGGGTTTCGGTTGGACTTGGAGTTTGAGGAAGTGGTAGCTGTGGGAGATTGGGTAAGTCATTTTTATGTCGTGGTGTGGGCTGGGTTTGGAGGCGTACACAACCATGTTGTCGTTCTTTGATGAGGCGGAGCTGAGGTTGCGGCTCCTTTGATGGATTTTGGTGAGAAGTTTATTCCTGACCCGATGAGGATTTTGCTCAGTTTGGAGAGCCGAATACGTTTTGTTGTCACATGAGTGCCGATGGATGTTCTCTAGTGCGTTGCATGTTTGATGCTCGTCGAAGCAGGTGAGGTCAAGGAGCAAGGATCTTGGGGCTCGGTCGGTTGCTTCCGGGTCTTGCCGAGGCACATCACTTCGTTGCGTGAACATCAACAACCATCGAAACAACATCGAACTCCAACACTGTCCTTGAAATTGGAAGTTGGTGTTGATCGTAGGCATCATGCCAGCAGATCGCCTGCTTGGCACCTTGCTGAGGGCGCTGCAGACCTACACTGATCAGCAGGACACGCCGAGGTGAGTAAACACCCCTTCGAGCTACCACGATGATTGCTAACTCCTTAAAAGGCTCTTTGGAACTACAGCATCACTTCTGACAACTCTCAACAACCCTTTGAATGTCACACTGCTCACAAGTCAGATCCTGTCGGCCCCAGCCATCTGGGTCCGTCCCGAAGGACTGCGAACGTGTATGCGATGTTTGAGTGTTTTCCACCAGGCCGCACAAGCTCTTGTCAAGCACGAAAGGGCTCTTCTAGAGAAGGCTACAGACGAGGAATTCACGAAACTCCAGCTTGAGCGAACTCTTCCCAAGGATGACTGGATCAAGGCGACCATCAATGGCGCCGATGAGCATTCTCCGCGATGGCGGCATCTAGTTGCTATCGCTGGGTTACTACTAGGATTCGGCCCAGCAGAAGAGGAGAACCTCTCACGTAGCATGAGAAATACTCTTGAAAGTGCACTCGTGACTGCCGCGAACCTCTCGCTTGAAGAGACTATCGAGGATGATGAGCTTGGATTTGAAACGATTACACTGGTCCTCAACCACTGCTTTCCATATCTCTCCGATCACGAGAGATCAAGAATTGACTATGATTCACTTCTCCCTGTACTGGTTCAATCCACGCTGCACTCTAGGGAAGGCCTGCAATCAGCATATTTCCTTGGGGCTATCGACCGCGACGTGCTCGCTGGAGCCAACGGTCGGCTGCAATGGAGCCAACATTCAGGATCGTATCAGCAAATACAAGCAATGCTCTCAGGTCCTCTTGTCGGTTCTCTTGGACCTCTGGCGCGATTAATCGGGCATTCGATTGAGCAGGTCACAGATCCTGCCCTAGTCACCGCAGTCCTTGACGACTTCGAGCTCTTCGCGCGGACGTTGAACACCCAGTGGCGACAAAATAAACTGTCACAGGTCGAAAGCGCCGAACAGCAGGAAAAGCTGGAAGACGTAACGTTCAAAGTGACAGTCCCGACCTTGTGGAAAGTCCTTCAGCCCACACTCTTCGCAAGCGTCATCATGCTCCGAAGCGCATTAGGCCGCGTCTTGAGCGATGGTGTTCTCGCAAGCGATGCGTTGGCACCTGTGATTGCAAAGAAATCGCTCCTCACGTTGCGAAGTCTTTACTTTATCACAACTCGCCAAGGATCGGCAACCTTCTCACAATACAACTTTGTCAACTACACTGCAATGGACATCCTTGGGGTATATCCGCTCGAAGTGCAGTCCTTTCTGCGGGATATCCAGCCTGCGCAGCTCGGCCACGTGTCCGAACATCCTCTGGACAGATGCCTTGACTTGTTCTTCTTGAACACTGCAGAGCACTTCACGCTCGTGCTGCCTCCGAAATTCAGCGAAGCTGTTCTCCTTCCAGTTGTACAAGCCTACCTGAGAGCTGGCGGCCAGGGACCACTTCTACCCATCTTCGAAGCCGCCCACAGCGTCACGTTAGCTCTCTTTTCTGCGCCGCAGAATGCCGATGCGACTGTCCAGAACCTGCCCTTCTACGTCGACTCACTCTTCAAGGTCTTCCCCTCGAACCTCTCTGCCAGGCAATTCCGACTCGCATTCAAGACCTTGCTCAAACTCACCTCACCTCCCGCGCCACTGTCACTCTCCCAGCCAATGATGCCGGCCACCTTACTGGAACTGCTTCACGAACGTGCGCAGCATGCTGAAACAACCCCCATTCCGCTACACCCTGGCTCTCCCGAGGCCGCCGTGGAAACCCCAATCCCACTTTCAGAGCAAGCAGTCCTCACACTAACAGTTTTGGACGGACTCACTCAAATCCCGCTCGACCTGCTCGATGAGTGGCTCCCGATCACGGCAGACATGATCCACGATGTTCAAGACCATCACATGAGAGAGCATTGCAAGGAGTACTTCTGGCAGATCCTAGTGGGCGGCGAGATGGATCCAGAGAGGGGTAGAGTGTGCCATGCGTGGTGGAGTACGGGCGGAGGTAAAGAATGGGTGCTATATGGTCGGGAGGAAGGAACTGTCATGAGTGGTGGTGCTGGAGACGAGAATGCGAGCAGGCTGTGATGGGAGAATGATGTGTAAAGATACCCAAAACGTAGGAGATTGATCTGGTTGTGTAATGAGAGTGTGATTGACAATCTAAAAGCAATCTGGCCCACTCCGTCTGGGGGTTGCTCGAAACCCGTGTCGATGACTATTGTCCACGAAAGCTGAGAGCAACGAAGTCTACGGACGTGTGAAGGCTCGGGTTGGCTACCCATACCAGCCTCCCGCTGATTCGTTGATCTTCGCTTCCTCAGTAAGAACGGCGTAAGCGAGCCCTTCATCCACCACCGTATTCCAGAACATCATCAGCCGTGACAGTCAGTCATCGACAAGGACCGGAGTCCAGCATCCACGCTGAGATAAGCCGGCTAAAAGGCAAGCTTGGAAGCAAAAATCCTTGGCAGAGTACGCTCGAGTCACACCCTAAGCTGCACCATGCATGCAGACGGAATGGAGAGAAGTGCGAGGACAACGACAAAAAGCACACGAGCAGATGCCCAGACGGAACAGCGAGGCGATTTCTCACAAGATCGTCAGACTTTCACTCACTCCGCGGCGCCACGGGAGCCCGAAAGAATTCTTGGCCTTGCACGACGATCAGCAAGACTTTCCCGTCTAGCTAGCGTGCCAAAAGATCGATACCGACGGGAATCCCTGTTCCTGGCCCTCTCTCTCTTTTCCTCTACAAAAACTGACCAAATGCTTATCCAATCCCAAGCTCCTCGGTCTCCGGATCGCGTCCAACGCACTTCTCTCGCGCGAGAGAAGCATCGCAAGGTCCGCGAAAAGATCCGCAAGGGCGAGTTGTGTAGTCCCTTTTGCATCCGACCGAGTTGTATTCAAGAACGAGACGGTATCGTACCATTCATTATGTACTATACTCCAGTCTTTCTCCGCACGCACACTTTCCCGAACGAGCCAACACAACAACCACGACCACAACTCTAATGAACCAATCACACCGCATCTCACCGCCCTGCACGGTCATCGGAGTGGTCTTTTCCATACCGCCCGTTCCTCTCTTTCGCTGCTGCTGCTGCTGCTGCGAAAAGCATCATCAGCATCAATCAGCCCTAAAAACTACCGTAGAGGCGCATCCGGACAAGCCGGCGGGCGCGCGCTGCACACACGCAGTGGAAGGGAAGCGAAGTGGTCGAAGCAAGGTGCCGGACTTACACGGATGCCGTAGCTTCTACTGCTTCGGGGCCTGTCAGGTTTTTGTGCACATTGCATCACACAGAAGACGGATGGAGTGAGTCGATACTGGAGTCTGTACGGTAGAGGGCGGGTAGTGGATCTTTGGTTCGGGTTTGGGTTTTGTCATCTTCTCACTTATTAGTTATGATGCTGCGGTAGGAAGTTTGTTTCCGACTACTCTTACTCTTTCCTCTCTTCCTTGTTGGTTCGTAACTCCTCTCTCACACTCAAACTCCAGTGGTGAGGAATGTGTCTGGTACAGACGACCGCTCTCCATCATCGATAGCAGTTTGGACAAACAGGACCTTTTTGGAAGAAAGGCATATTTTCTTGGACAGCTATCCCAGAACACAGATGGCGGGGCAGCGAGATTCGGACGAGAGGTGTGTACATTCGTTGTAGCTGTCTTGGTCACTCAAAGTGAAGCTCTTTCTTGGAACGAATGCAACTGACTGACGGTGTTTGTTACAATAGAGATACCACCTACAGCACCAGCTTCCCAGTCACCGTCGCCATCCTATCATGCATCTACAATGCCCTCGTCGGCATTTCGTGCGCCTACATGCCCGATGATCCGCTCTACATCGGTCTCAGCATATCCTTGTACGCATGGGCAGGAACCCTTCTGAGCGCACTGGGATTGGCCGGCATCGTCACCGTGAGTTTCAACAGAAGCATGTTTGTGACACGCAAAAAGGCACAAAACTCTAACGTTACCTCTGCTCTGACAGAAACGACCAACACTCATCACCTCCTTTGCCCACTTCCTCCTCATCGACACCTTCGTCTCCGCTGTCTGCCGTATCCTCGTCCTCCAATTCTTCGTCGAAGCCTTCCACGACCACAACATCTGCAGCGATGGCTTCGAACCGACCTGGAGTCCCCAGAACTTCCGACACGATATCGTAACGAGCGTGCGCTGGCAGCAAGAGAACCTGTGGCATTTCAATCACAAGAGGAGGTGTCGCGTTGCGCTGGGCGCAGTGCAGATGGTCCTGGTGGCTATATTGATATGTCTGACCGTCGCCCAGGGGATGCTGGCGGTGAGGATGAGGCGCTTTGCGAAGGACATGGAGCGTCCCAGAGCGGTTGCCCCGACACCACAGCGGAGTCCGCAGCCTCAGATGGATCGCGAGAAGGCTCGCTTTGTTGATGATGTATAGGGCGTGACGCTTCAGGATATGATGATTGCATGTGAACCAAGATTTGGACGACTTCCTATTCTTTCAGTTCCAATACTGGCACCGCAATGCTCTGCATGCTCTTGGTGTGGAACATTTCTTCCAGGGAGTCTGTGTGCTCCCATAAGACACTACAGGGCAGTGGTCGACGCTCTTCATTGACATGCTTGCCATCTTCGGACAGCTGGTAAGATACGAGTTCGATCCTGTCTCGCACATGTGTTTCGTGGAGGCGGACGTAGCACCAGACTGGCCAGTGTCCACAACTGTCACATTCGCAATTGCATGACCACGGAATGTCGTCCCACTCCTGTATGAGCTTTCGGTGAACACACAACTTTCTCTTGAAAGAAACCCATATGGTCCCGGGTATGCTCATGTATAGTTGCTCGAGTCGAGCCTTCAAGTCAGGCTCCAGATGTGCGGGTATCGTAGTAGTCATGAATCGTCCTTGGTGACTCTTGCAAATCGGCGCTTCGTCTTTGAACTCCTCTTCCAGCGCGCATACGTCGCAGAGAACACAGCGTCGTCGACCGTTCTCCATATCTTTCCTTTCGCCAAGGCTTCGCCAGCAAGCACGTCTCTCGCAACGAGAAGCATCGTGCAGGGAGTCCGATGATGGCGAAGGTAGTTTGGAGAATAGCTGCCAGGATGACAGCTTTAAAGAGATCAGCGAAGACGTCGGGAGGTGTTGAAAAAGAGTGAACAGAAGCTCTACCGGTAAGGAGTCAAGACCGCGCTTTGACATATTGATCGGATGATGTTGAGTTTGATGCGGACAGCGAACAACGGACTTCGCTCAAGGCGATTCCGATATGCCAGAAACTGAAGGTCGTATGATTCGACGAATAGCTCAAGTCTTTGGGCAATATCTATACTGAAGTGGTGTCTTGGTCTTATGATGGATGTCGTGAGCATGCAACCTACGAAGATGGATCTCAGCAAACAAGCAGCAGGCTCATACCTTACTATCCAAGCGTTCCTGCTTTGGCACGCGTATGAGATCAGGTAGCACCCTCCAGCTTGCTCGTGCCTTGGAACTGGGCAAACAGATGGAAAGCGTTACACACCACACCTCCACCCAAGCGAGTCTCATGTAAGACATCTCGGTGCAAGGGCAGCGCGCGTGACGAGGCCTTGGAGAATTGGCGATTCTGTCCTTGCTTCTCTTTCATGTTGCAGAGTCAAACCAGGCGCACGAAGAGGCGAAAGAGCGCCGGCGCAGAAAGGTGCAAGCTGAAAGGCGCAATCTCATGGCTCGGTCGTCTGTGATACCTTGTCCAAGAGCTGGAAACTTGATTGCTGTGTAGCCTCAGCCACAGATCGCTCTGGTGCGGCTGGCAGTCGCTCAAGGACATCTGCTGGGTTCTCGTCAGCCACCATGTTGTCGTCGAAGGGAAATAGAAGCAGGTGAACGAGCAGGTGAGGTGCGCCTTGGTGGCGACGTATTCAGATGCTGGCCTGATGTCATTGGTGGAACTTGGAGAATTGGGTCAGGTGATTAGCGCGAAAACACGTGCGAGCCAAATTCGAGACTCCTGAGCACTCAAAGCTTTCAACACAAATGCTCGGCAGCAAATGATATGAGGTCGTGAGTTGCCGTCGACAGAGAATATATAACTACTGTTCAACAAGGCTGTGTATTTGCGCCTGGAAACGCAGGTAACGGCCGCGCAAATGAGCGAAGTATCAAATCTTCAAAACCGTGGAAAGACAGCCGCGAGAGATGATGACCAGGCGTTGCAAGACAGTGGACGATGGTCTGGCCATGGAGACTTGCAATGAAGACGGACAATGTATGGAGGTCGTAATACCTCGAATTCGCAACACCAAATTGGCTGTAGTTGCAACGGCCTAGGCAGCTGGAGCAGTGGACGCAGGATCAAAGCTCTGGGGTGGACGGGCTGTCGAGCCAAGTCTTTCTCAATGCTGTTGATTTGCTGAAGACATGATACTGCCATGAATCAATGAGGTGAGGTAGTGCTTGAGCCAGATCAGGCTGATTGTTGTAACGCATATAAGATGGGGTCCATCGGTCCGATCCCGCGGGCGTCAAATAAGGAAGGAGCGCAGGTCGGCGAGCGGCAATCGTTCCGTGCAAGGGCATGGGCATCTCTGTTGCCGTGATGATGGATGACCTGCATCTCGCAGCTTGCAGGTGCATATGCTGGCAGGTCATGCGCCGCCGTGGAAAAAGTCTGCTGTGATGCTGGCCCCAAGGTTGTTATCAGCCGAGGAGACATGTGATAGAGGGACATGGTACAGAAGAAAGCGGATGTCACTTCATGATGGGTGACACCAGATCATGCAATCGTCCGTTCATGCGAGATTCGCCGCATGGCACTTGCATCTGCAATGCACGCAGTCGCTTGGTCGGTACCGTTACAATCATCGAGACGAGACGTCGCCGGCGAAGACGGTGGAGGGTTGGCGAGTGATGCGACTTATTTCCGGTCCAGGGAGCGCAGTGCTTTTTCACATCCTGCGAGGGTCGCGGTGCGCTTCTGCTCATAGCCTGAGCTCTCAGCAAGCCGGATTGGTCATTTCGACGACATGTACAGGCGCTTCCGCGCGGGGTCTGCAGGAGCTATCGACGACCATGCAGCGACCTCAAGCGACGGTGCATGAACGGCGATATCGTCGTGTCGATGCCAGGAGGTGTGTTGGAGGGTGCGGGTGTTCATCAGGGTGGAGGAAAGGGAGGGCGGACGATGGTTTGGACGAGTGGTCGTTGGCTCTGCGGCGAAATGAGGGAGCAGAAGTATGAATTGAATGACGGGTGGGGACGGCGGCGGCGAGTGCAGAGTAGTGTGGGTACTGGAGGTATTTGGTGCCAGGCTTGGCGGCATACTCGAGTCGGCGTGGTGTGTGTGCGGCGGCTCGCGTGTCTGCCGAGCAACACAAGACAACAATGGAACACAGACGGTCGCACCGCACCGCACCACGACGATGTGTGTCGATAGGGCTGAGGAGCGTGAGGCCCTTCTCCAGACGGTTGTGCTGTGAACCATGCGGCATATTAAACCATTGCAGCGCTCGGACCGCGTGGGAGATTGCGCGGTGAAAAAGCGCATCTGTCGTCCTCTGCCGAGCCGGCGCTCTCGAGGGTGGAGGTGGTGAATTCCCTCCACTCTCACTTTGTGCTGCTGGCTGCTCTTCCTGCTCTTCCCGCGCTGCGACTGACTGCTACTTCTCCTCCTGTTGCTGCTGTTGCTGCCGCAGTGTCGTTCCTTACCTGCTCTTCGCCCTCCTTTGAGTCGTCCCGCGCCGGCCCCCAGAGGTACGTAGACGCTGCTGCCCGACGACCTTCCCAACACCCGGAGATCTACGCTGCGCCGCTGAGAAAGCTTTTGACCGATCGATTGCCGCTGTCGAGCGCTGCTCCGCGCCTTCGTCGTGCTCTCTTCTCGCGCCAGCGCACTCAGTGCGTTGTTTGATCGGAGACTGACATTTCGACGTTCAGCCAAGGGACTTTGATATACCCGTCTCATCGTTGCCTATAACCCGGGTCCTTATACCCTAATCCGACCCGTTATTGCAACCGACTCGTCGACGCCGCGGCAATGTCTTTCTACGACAACAACGAGGGCTCGTGGACGGGCCCTGGTCGCCAGCCATCATGGGAGCAGCCGCCGCCTCCCTCGCGCTCCGGCACTGGATCGTCCGTGTCTCAGCCATCCGACCCACACGCTTTTGCATCGCAGTTTGAAGAGATCGACCGCGCGACCGACAACTTGATGAAGAGTGGCAAATGGCTCCCTGGGCCCGTGCCGGGAGGTCAAAACATGGCGGGTGCGTCTGGACGAAGGGATAGCATGCCAGCCGTGGGGCGAGGTCCTGACTATGGCGCAGATCCGCGAATGCTCGGTGGTCCATCGCGACACCAGTCAATCAGCGAATATGAGGGAGGTCGTCCAGGGTCTGCTGGCTTGCAGGGCTACTATGCCGGCCAGCGGTTTCCAGGAGGCCGACAAAGTGAAGCCGAGCAGATGCTCCAGGCCAAGCGCAGGATGGCCGCTCAGCGTGAGCGCGAGCTGCGAAACTACCACCAAGAGCAGCAGTACAACCGAAGTAAGTTGCTTTGGAGACAGCGACCGTGCGATTGTGTATTGACTATGTGTAGCAGGCGTCAAAAGCGATCGATCAATGAGCCCCACGACGATGAGCGAGGACGACCGACGCGAATTAATCGCTCGCCAACACCGCGCGCTCTACGGTGACAATGCCAACATGTACGCGGATGGTGGTGCACGCGCGCCGAGCCAGGACGTCCGAGTTTCAAGCGCTGGTCGTGGCCCATCGCCCCTGGCCTTTGATCCTTTCGGTCAAGCTCAGGCTGGCGCAGAAGGTGCAGTTCAGATGCCACCGCGCGATCGCGCTGAAAGTACTGCGTCTCCGATCTCTAACCCGCCGGCTCAACAGGCTTTCGGGCTACTGAATGAGGCTCAGCAGAGCAGCCGCACGTCGAATTCATCACCAGGCGCTTCGCCACCACTCAGCGGAGGACAGAAGGGTAATGTGTCTGGTGTTGCGCCGATTGGGACTCGACCCGCGCAGGGCCCTGGTGTGCCTGGTGCATTGAACAAACGCTCGACCACACCACTTACTCCCTCGTCGCTCAGTTACGGCTTCAACGCCAGCGACGGCCAGAACATCAACAAGGACGAGCGCTCAACCTCAGCATCATCCAACCCTCCAATCGCGGCGGACAAAAACGTCTCTGGCCTTGGAAACTGGGGGAGCAACAGTGGCGTGTGGGGATCGGGCAAAAGCACTCTCGCCGTCCAGCCTTCTGTCTGGGGCTAGTATGCTCAGGGGAAGCCAGTGAATGAAAATCCTCAAGAGGACGGAAGTGAAGAGACGGAAAGAAGAAACAGCAAGTTGTCGAAATGATTGATTAGCGGTGGAGTTTCATGATTTTGCGGCATTCAACAAATGCATTTTGAGGCGGTGTCCAGGGGATTGTGTTTGCAAATTGCGACTGCTACGCACGTGTGCGGCTGCTTACTGCATTTTGGTTCGAAAGTTTTGGTGCACTATGGGTGGCATTGGGGGAAGCATGTCGACACGTCGGCATTTGGGGGTTTTGCAAACAGCGTTTCATGCGGATGGAGTATCTCTGGTCGGTCGCTCTTCTCCTGGTCATTGGGTCTTGGTTTTATGGTACAAATGCGATGCGCTACATATGTGGTTGTCTGGTTCGGCGGCGGAGGCACAGCACTGGGCGGTGGGCGTTTGTTCAGTTTATATCCCATATTCGGGTTTGCGAGTAATACTCCATTGTGAAGGCTGGGATGGACAGGCGACACAAATGAAAATGATTTAGTGGGGCGCTCAAATCAGTCTTCATCTTCATTCAATTGCGAAATAATATGTTCGTGTCTCGTCTCATCATGTGTAGATACGACGTTCCTTGTCACGTGCCGAGACGTCCGAGCTTTCTGGAGTTGCAGCGTGTCCCCTAAGAGCTTCTGGACATCTCGAAATCACATTTCCGGCCAAATTCAATTGTAACCCATACACCCACTCCACAACCTGCCACGAACTGGACGACGCGGCTAAACGCATCTACGACAACTTCAATCGAGCACTGAGCGGCATTCGAACCTTCAAGATGGTACGTGGCATTATCGCACGCGAACATGTCGAGACCGTGTTCCAGCAATGGGCACTGTCAAGAATCGCCGAAACAGCATATGCGAGGACTCTGTTCGCTATGGAATATTTTATGGGGTTGTGATCGACGAAAGGGCTAATGGGATGTTCTGCACAGTCTTCACCACGCCCTTCATCGCCCGTCAACTCTCCCTCAACCGGCTCGACTACTGCTCGTCCTGCGTCCCCAAAGCCACCGGGTGGTCCAGCGACCGCGATCAGGAGAAAGGCTGCGGCAGACCGGGCAGACAAGGTTGCCAATGCGCGCCCATCGAGCACTCGCGCTGCAGGAGCTGGTGGAAGCAGCAGCACTATGCTGAGTATGTGACACCCAAGATATCTACAGCGCACAGAACAAGGAGGGGCCGGAGAAGAGCGGTGTAGCAAAGCGAAGCGCAGGATCAGGGCTAACGGGGGACATTAGGACTCTACACGGATGAATCACCTGGCCTCAAGGTTGATCCCTTTGTGGTGATGGTTCTGTCGATTGGATTCATTATCAGTGTGGTTGCTCTTCACAGTGAGTTGATCGACGAAAGAACAGAGCACGCGAATGGAGTCTGACTGACTATCTCGCAGTCATTGCCAAATTCACCAAGCGATTCTCCTCGTAGCGTCGATAGAATGGGAAGCAGGCGGTCGTGGGAAAAGTAAGGCGTTGTTGGCGCAGTGTAACACTTTCGAGATCCTCTATCCAAGGGGAAATCCGGCATCTTTTTGAATTGGACATCGACATCTGGACCACGAGCGGTCTCCCAGCGACGTTCAGGTTCCAACACTTTGTACAATTGAAATCTTGAACGTTGAACCAGCCTTCCAAGGTTCTCAGACATCACAATCGAGATCTCATCCCAACACGTGTCTCTCCAATTAGGCCCGAGATGTTGACAGCACACGACGCCACGTTCGCTTGGATCAGTCAACCGCACTCGAGGCACACAGCCGGCAATCTAGCATGTCCGCAACGCGCATGTGAGGATTGTCGATTTTACCGCCTACTTTAGCCCTTTAGCCGCATCTTGTTTGGTGGAGGGGACGACCCGACTTGACTTCTTCTTGCGGTTGCCCCACAGCAGCGGGGGTGGCAGGCGCCCTGGCCGGGTGGTTTGGTGGGATGAGAAGGACATTCTGCCGGAAGCAAGATGATGTTATAATAGGAAAAGTTTCCTGAGAGCTTCTACCGAAGAGCTGCCACTTTACACACCTACTAGTCGTCTTCTGCCGTCCATGAGCGTGTCATTGGGTATAAAAAGGTTGGTTTCTCGTCCACTGATGGCTTTGGACGAGAGCATTATTGACTGAGCTTCAAACAGATCCACTACACTTCTGTTCTCTTGCCGCTCGACGATTTTTAACCCCAAGCCTTTGACATCAATCACTCCAATACAACCACTTCAAAGAACGAGACTCCAGAGCTTGAACGGGCACTTCACGTTCAGAACGTACGCCGAAATGAGTTCGCCAACGATCGCGCTCAACAATGGCAAGAAGGTAAACAGGCAAGCAAGCATTGGATTAGAGAATGATGCTCACATTGCATAGATGCCTCTTGTGGGCTTCGGTCTCTGGAAGGTGAACAACGACACCTGTGCCGACCAAGTGTACAACGCCATCAAGACTGGATACCGCCTGTTCGACGGTGCCTGCGACTACGGCAACGAGCAGGAGGCTGGCGAAGGTGTAGCACGTGCCATCAAGGATGGTCTCGTCAAGCGCGAGGACCTCTTCATCGTCTCGAAGCTGTGAGTTGAAGCGTCATTCGGTGTGAGGATCCTATGTTGACATGTGTCTTTCCAGCTGGAACTCTTTCCACGACAAGGAGCGCGTCAAGCCCATCGCCAAGAAGCAACTTGCGGACTGGGGTGTTGACTACTTCGACCTCTTCATCATCCACTTCCCAATCGCTCTGAAGTATGTCGACCCATCGGTCCGCTATCCACCAGGCTTCAAGGATGAGAACAACAAGCTCTCCCTCAGCAAGGCACCATTGGAGGAGACCTACCACGCCATGGAGGAGCTGTACGAGGAGGGCCTGATCAAGTCGATTGGTATCTCGAACTACAACGGCGCTCTGGTGCTCGACGTGGAGCGCTATGCCAAGATCCTGCCACAGACCCTCCAGATCGAGCACCACCCATATCTCGTGCAGAACGATCTCCTCGAACTGTGCAAGAGCCGCAATATTGTCGTCACCGCATACTCGTCTTTTGGCCCACAGTCCTTCCTCGAGCTGAACATGCAAAAGGCGCAAGATACCCCACTTCTCTTCGACCACAGCACCGTCAAGACCATCGCCGACAAGCACAGCAAGACCCCGGCTCAGGTTCTCCTTCGGTGGGCGACTCAGCGTGGTATTGCGGTCATCCCCAAGAGCAACAACCAGGGACGTCTCGCGCAGAATCTGGACGTGTGCAGCTTCGACTTGGCCGATTCGGAGATCAAGCAGATCAGTGATCTAGATCAGAACCTGCGGTTCAATAACCCACTGAATGTGAGTGGCATCACGTCATCTTGTTGGTAACGCTTTGGCTGACTCGAGACATCCAGTATGGCGTCGACGTGCCAATCTTCGCATAGAGAATAGCAAAAGTGCACGACGAGCAAGCACAGGGAGCACTCTGAGCAAAGAAGTCACGGGTCGTTCGCACAGATAAACATCGAATCAGCAACGCTTGGGGAACGGGTTACACTGCATGAGATATCGATGCGATAGAGTTTCAGCACGAGCTCGCCCAGTAGCTAAGCTGCGTTGCAGCACACCTACAGCAACTCCATTCAGACGTTCATGACCTATCGCCGTGCCTCCTCGCTCAGGAATGTTCACATGCGCTCATGCTCATCACACCCAAACCCCCGCGCCTCGATCATCGCTTTCGTCACCGTGCAGCTGTCAGTCACGGAGGACAGGTAGATCTCTTCTTTGCCATGAATGTGGGTATACTTAAGGTGGAAGGCCCCTGCTTTGTCGAACGCGTTTGCCTTTTCGAGTAGCATCGCACAAGGATCAGATATATTCACCTACCATCACCAGTCTACATCTCACAACACCCAACCCAAAGAAGTAGAAAGAGAACATCTACCGCAACCATGTCCGACCTCCAATCCAAAGCCCAAGACACGGTCAAATCAGCCCAAGACCAAGCCAACAGCGCCCTCTCCAGCGCGCAAGAAGGCGCCAAATCCGCCCAAGACCAAGCGGGCAGCTACGCCAAGTCCGCGCAGGACCAGGCTTCCAGCGCCGCGGGGACGGCGCAGGAGAACACCAACAGCGCGATTGGGACGGCCGGCGAGTACATCGCCGCGGGGATCACGCAGACGGGGCAGGCGATTGGAGCGGGGGCGAGGTATGTTGGGGAGGGGATGACGGGGTTTGGGAACTCCGCTGAGACGACGGCGAAGGATTTGGGCGAGAAGGTTGAGCAGGGGACGAAGAAGTAGATGTATGCGAGATGAGGGAAGATTGGAGAGGGAAGCGCGGTCGTTTGGATTGGAGGTGGATCTGATAGCAGCGGGATCTTGTAGTCTTTGTAGTAAATGATGTTGATTCTCCTTGGACAACGTCCCCAGTTGTCTTCTTGTCTCTCAGTCAGCCTGCTTGCGTCCTCTATCAATTCTGTGGTAGGGTGGCTCCCTCGATGGCAATGGCGTCCAGTCGCTTGACTTGAAAGCCTTCTGGTCGGGTTGTACAGTGCTGAGACGATGCTGATGACGCTTTCGACGCTTTGTACATGGCGCCGTCGCAGGTGAGTATCCTCAGTGGAGATACATGGCGCCCTTGAGCTTCTGAAATAGCATCCCTGATAGCGGTTCCAGTCGTCCAGAAAATAGTCGCCGAAGCCAGGATGGCTATGCTCGTGGTTGTCGCTTTGGAATCTCTAGTCCTGATCTATGCTCATTCTCAGGTGCATTCGGTTCAAGGAGCAGTCCCAATCTACTGCGAATGCTCGCTCATGTCGCGAATAGTGTGTCTTCATCACGCAAGTACTCTCCAACATCGGCCTGTCTGAAGAGCACGATTCCAGTCGGATCCAGCTTTCTCGCTTCTGCCGTTGAGCGTGCAGTGACACCGAAGCCCTTCAATAGTGTTAGCCAGAACTATCTTGTCCGCAATCTCAAAACCTTTGCCTACCAATGGTGTATCGTTCATGCTCAGAACAATGGCCCCAGCATGCTCGGGCGCATCCTCACTCCACCGTCCAATATGCGCCTTCACCACATGTCCACCGTACAAGAACGGCATTTCTCCATTCTGCTTGACCCAGACCTTATATCTTGCATGCGGCGCAATCACATCCAACGCGGTGATGTGCAGTCGGAACTTGCCCGTCTTGGTGAACTTCCCAAGACAAGTACCCAGCGAGAGAAGGCTGTCGCGGGCCACTGAGGTCGCAAGGTTGGCTAGAGATTCGCGCACGTAGTATACCCGGTCTTTTTGGATTCGAAAGACGTAGCGATCGGGGTTCTTCGAGCCGGGTGTCGATACGGTGTCTGTGAGGAGGTTGTTGAGGGAGCGGCCAGTGTAGTTTGCGAGCTTTTCGAAGAGTGTCTTCGTCTCGGTGTCGGTGAGCGGTCGCATCTTGTCGATAATTCCCTCTCTTTTGTTCGTATTCAGCAAAGTTGTGGATCTTGAGATGCGAGCATGTGAAGCAGAAAAAGATCCCCGCGAAATCTTGGCGGCTGGTGCCGAAACCTTCAACTTTTCTGCTACAACTTCTTCTCTTCGATCGACACATCAACAACACCGTTCTGGTCTGAAATCAAGGCGGAACGGCAATGGCGGAACGAGCGATTAAGAAGAGACGGTTGAGTCCTCCGGATGATGGACGTACAGCAGTTCCTGGCTTTGCGAAATGGGATCTGGAGCAGGACTATGAACAGCGTCTGCAAAAGAAGAAAAAGAAGGACGATAAGCGGGACAAATTGTTGGTGAAGACGGCAGAGGGGCACTTGGTGGAGAATCCGCGAACAGAGCAAGAAGAGCAGGAAGACGATGCAGACAGCTTTCTTGCCAGTGGAGACGAGGATGGCGACAGCGGCGTTGCAGACCTTCAACCCAAACCCAAGCCTCGAAAGCCGTCGCTACCGCCGAAAGAACAGATCAGGCAGGCTAAAGAGGATCTGGCACGAATAGCAGGATCTATCAGTGAGAATCCGGAGGAAAACATCGGTCAGTTGGGAGCATTGGCAGAGTTGGCGGCTTCTCAGAATGTCACGGTCAAGAAACTTGCATTGGCGACGCAGCTGGCTGTGTACAAGGACATCATACCAGGTTACCGGATACGGCCTCTGTCAAAAGACGATCTATCGGGCAAGGTTTCGAAGGAGGTCAAGAAGCTGCGAAGTTTTGAACAAGGTCTTTTGAGCGGATACAAGGCCTACATGTCGTCCTTATCGAGTCTTGCAGTCGCAAAGCCCAGCCGTGGTATCGACCGCAAAGCTGCGAACAGTCTAGCCAGCGTGGCGATATCCTGCTCTTGCACGCTTCTCACGAGCGTTCCGCACTTCAACAATCGCGGCGATCTGATCGGTATTCTGGTGAAGAAGCTCTCGAGTCGACATGCAGACGCCGACTTTGCCAAGTGTCGCGAAGCCATCGAGCAGCTCTTCCGGGATGATGAAGAGGGACATGCCTCTCTGGATGTTGTGGGACAGCTGACGAAGATGATGAAGGGAAAGAACTGGAACATTCACGAGAGCGTGCTCAACACATTCTTGCACTTGAGATTGCTTAGCGAGTTTGCTCACAAGGCCTCTACGAACAGAGTCGACAAGGCTGAGGATGAAGAGCAAGTCGGCAAGAAGCCGAAGTTTAAGAAGGAGTTCAGAACGAAGAGGGAGAAGAAAGTGATGAGAGAGCGGAAAGGGATCGAGAAAGAGATGAAAGAGGCGGACGCGACGGTTTCGTATGAAGAGCGCGACAAAAATCAGTCCGAGACGCTGAAGCTGGTCTTTGTCGCATACTTCCGGATTCTGAAAGGCAGAGTACAGCATCTTATGGGGGCGGTATTGGAAGGGTTGGCGAAGTACAGTCACCTCATCAATCAGGACTTCTTCGGCGACGTGCTCGAAGTTTTGAAGGACTTGATGCATGAGGCGCAAGCAGCTTTGGCTCAAGATGACGATGAAGACGAGCAAGAAGAGGAAGAAGACGACGCCGAGCTGGAGGAGGCAATGCGACGGAACGCCACACGTGAGAGTCTACTCTGCATCATCACCGCCTTTGCCCTTCTTCAGGGGCAGCTTGACGTGTCAAAGTCTGCGAAAACTTTGCATTTGGATCTGAGCTTCTTCATCAAGCATTTGTACCAAACGCTTGTCCCACTTGCCATGGACCTGGATGTCGAACTGAGCGCCAAGACTGCCCATTTGAACGATCCTAATGGACTGCACGTTCCAACGACCAGCTCCAAGGAGAACAAAGTCAATGTCGCCACAACGACAGTCCTCCTCCTTCGCTCTTTGCAGTCTGTCTTGCTTCCACCGACCAACACCAAGTCTGTCCCTCCGGTCCGAGTGGCAGCCTTTATCAAGCAGCTCGAGACTCTGTGTCTTCATCTTCCCCAGAAGTCCGCCATTGCAGTACTGGAACTGCTCAAGCACGTCACCAAGACCCACGGCGGCAAAGTTGCGGCGCTCTGGTATACCGAAGAGCGGAAAGGCGATGGCGTATTTGATCCACTGAGCCAGGAGGTGGAGAGCAGCAATCCCTTCGCAAGTACTGTGTGGGAAGGCGAGCTGTTGCGCTTGCACTTCGACCCCAAGATCCGCGAAGCCGTCAAGGCAATCGAGGGCAACATCAAATCGGCTCGTAGTTGAATTCGTACCTGACCTGCTGACCCCGTGGTCTCGTCTCTCCATTAGCTTCTCCCATCTCTTCATCCTCACCCTGTGTCCCCACCACCAGAACCTTCAAAATCTCAAACGTAGCCAAGCACGACATACTCCCATACGTCGCCACGCCCCCTCCCGTAAGCGTCGAATCTCCCTTCAAATCCTCCGGCACCACCACCGGCCCCAGCACCCCCGCCGCCTCTCTCGGCTCCGTGCTGAAAACGTGTTACACGAACCCCAACAGATACGCCGCCATCGGCACCTCAAACCTCCCTCTAAACAACCTCCCCACCGCCTTCGCCGCATCCACCTTCCCCCCCCCCCCCCCCCCCCACCATCGTCTTCAAAAAACCCTCCAAACCACTTTAACACCTCCCGCACCCTCACCGCCTTATACCCACTCCCCCAAACCGGCCCGAAAGCATACATCCCCCTCGTACCACCACCCCCAGAATCTCCCCCAACTCCATCGAATGCACCACCACGTTCCCAATCGCCTTCGTATCGATAATGGCGAGGTACACCTCCCCCTCCTCGTCCTCGTCCCGCGAGATGTCCCGCTGCGCGTGCCGCAGGTCTTGGGACCAGGAGGAGAAGTACGTGGCGGGGTCTTCGCGGAAGGCTGTGTGGTGGTGAGGAGGGTTGAGGTTGATGGGGAGGGCTGTGTGTGTGGGTCGTTGATTGATGAAGGCGAGGGGGGGTATTTGGAGGGGGGTGTTGAGGCTGTAGGGCCCACTGGAGGTGGTGTGGAAGGTGCGAAGGGTAGTTGTGTTGCGATGTCATTCCGAGAGATAGGTGGAGACTTTGTAGGTGGTTTGAAGCAATAAATTTTGCTGCGTGAATGCCGCAAGTCACTGGAGACAGTGAGCACCATCCACTGGTTCCATGACCTCTCCCCGAAGCTTAGTGAGATGAGCTTGTTCACTTCTCTGCCAATATCATCGCTTCACATGCGACGCGCGGAAGCTCCAACGGCCAGAGCCATGTGATTCTTGGCGCCAAGAGTCCGTGAAGTGAAAGTCAGTGGAGAAACCCGGCCAGAGAACAAAAGGTTACAAGATAACAATGTCCGATACAATATATCCCGATGATACTTCCCAAGCATGCTACAGTGCCAAGCCAGATGTTCCAATCCTCAGATCTTTACAAAGTGTTTCGATGCTGTACCGATGTCAGAGTCCCATCCCAGCCCATCCCATCCCATTCCTTTCATTCAACCTCGCTCTGCATCCACGACAACAACTATGGATTTCCCTTCTTGTACTCCTCGATCGTCTCGTTGGTCCACTCCCAACCCGTGAGGCGAATGCGGAGTTCAGTGACCATGCGAGGATAAGTTCTCTTGGTCTGTTCGGGAACGCGAGGTGAGTTGACCACAGAGTCCGTTGCCTTCTGAATCTCTGCATCGGTGGGTCCTCGACTGTTCTTCGCGATGCCTGTGGTTGACGCACTCTTCCGACCGCCCAGCTTCAACTTCACCATTTCGCTGAGGTACATGGCCGCTCTATGTGCTTCCGAAACGCCGCGGTAGTTCACCTCAGGCTCCACGATTGTAGGATCATTGATCCACTCCGCCGGAATCGGTAGGGATCTGGAGATGTGGGTGAGCAGGAACTGCTGACGCATCTTGGTGTCTTCCCTGTCTCCAATCACGAAACCCATCAGGTGTGCGGCGATGGGAAGCTCAAGGCCGCCGCTATACCCTCGAGCGATCTGGAGAATTCTGTTGGCCGTTTTCATGAAGGTGGCGTGCTCGAGGTTCGTCGGGTCGGTTTTGGTGGCAATGGCGCGGGGACATGGCAGAAAATCTTCCAACGGCACTGCTCTATATGCTGGTCCACTTATGGTACCACAGATCAGGTATTCGTGCTCGTAGACTCCGACATGACCGAAAAGCTGGTTGACAGCATTGGTGTGGAGAATGATATTAGACTTGTTGACTTGGGCCGTATCCAAAATGCTGATGTGGGTGGACTGATGCTTCGTGTTTTGTGCCCAGTTAAGAACGAAGTCAAGTGACTGCGACCAAAATGAGTACACCGTCTTGATATACGGAGCCGTTTTCACGTGCTCTCTTGCCAAATGTCCAAGCTTTTCCGGACACATTTGGTAGAACGACTTGACAGGCCCTTTGCGACCCAAAAATGCCAACGGAATGATACCATCGACAGTATTGAGCTCTTTGTTGCCTCCAGACCGGTGGCTCCAGAACCTGAACAGGAAACGTGGTGTTCCCTTCGCTGCCTCATCAACTCTCCGGCGGAAGGCCTCCTGCGCAGGGGAAAGCTTGAGGTCCTGCACGCCATCGGTCAAGCCAGCAGTGGTCGCGCGGCGAGGACCAGGTGCTCTGGGGGTGGATGGGGTTGCTTTGGGTCGGACGTCGGCTTCAGAGGCGTGCCTCTTGCGTGGCTCGTTGTCGCTGTCTGGGCAAGGTCTCTTTGGTGGCATTTTGCGGTGTTGGAAGTTGGAGTTGCTTGGTATGTGTGTGTTTGTCGTTTTCTGAACAACACCTCGATCGTCTGGCCATGGTACCCTTATATCTTCCGCTTCAATTTGATGACCGCCTGGATTTGAGAGACACGATACAAAGCTGAAGTTAAGACATCTTCGCGCTCACACACATTGTCCAGCATCATCCTCGGCCCAGGCACCCAAGACATGATCTTGTAGAAGCATCTTGCTCGGAGCGACACGCACTGGATCCCTCCTGTCTCAAAGACCAATTGGTAAAGCCGCAGGAAGCTGTGCCGTCTTCAAGTCCGAATAGTGGTGCTAGGATTGTTTGCCATGTCTATGCACGCATGCACATGGCCACGCTGCGCGTCTCGACCGCATGCATGTTGGAGTTAAAAATTCTTTTGGTCGGCAACAATGCTCCTCGAAGATTGTGCAAGAACGATGCAAAAGAAAGCGCGAATCACACGAGTCTCGTGCCTTCCCAGTTATAGAAAACCCCTGCAGTCCATTAACAGCGATTCAAGAAAGAATGGACTTACCTCCATCGTCCACGCAAAATATCTGACTCCAGATGCGATGCACCACAGAAATTCTCTCAGCAAAGTAGGATACCGCCTATCCTACACTACAGCTCTCCTCAATTCCCATTTCCATTTCCACCCACCCACCCATCCAGCCCAAAGCCCCATTTGAATTCAAAAAATCAAAAAATTGTTCTTTGGTATCTCTTACAAGCAAAAAAGCAAAAGCCCGTCTTTCAAAAACGCCGAAAAATCCAGAATCAACTCTTCCCTTTGCCCTTTGCCGTGTTCTTTTTCCTCTAGTCGCAGACGCCCCTTCATTTGCCTCTGTGGTACCCGATGCTTGCTATCCTTCGAAAACAAAAGAGAAACCGTAGATAGCTTTTCTCTACCCGTCACCCTTTTTAGAGCAGGTCATCATCTTCATCCTCTTCGCGCATTCTCAATCCACCGGGTACTTGAATGCCTTGCTGCACCCAGTCCAGCTTCTCAATATCCTCGAGCGTCTTACGTCCCATGCGGACTTTCTTGAGCAGCCCCTCCACGCACGGCCTCGCGCCTTCGAAGTCTTTGTTTCGCGTCTCGTCCCACTCGCCATCTTCGTCCCCGAAGCGACACCAGATCCAGTCGCAACGAGCAATGCGGTGCGTGTTTCGGCTTCGCTCAGGTTTGCCGGGCGGTGCGTCGAATGGCAGACGGCCTTCCATGAGTGCATAGAGAAGCACTCCTAGTGCCCAGCCGTCGGTCAGTCGGCCATCGTAGGGTTGTCCGAGGAGAATCTCAGGTGCGGCGTAGTCTTCGCTACCACAACGTGTCGTGAGGAGTGGTGGCTCTGGAGGGTCCGGCAACCGTCTGCTCAAGCCAAGATCTGTCAGTGTGACGATAGGGGTCGGGTGGGTGATCGGATGTTCAATCGCCTTCAACACCAGCTCCTTGATGTTGACGAGGACATTCTCCAGCTTGATATCCCTGTGCACAATCCGATTCCTGTGAAGGTAATTGACCGCACTGACCAACTCCGCAAACATCCTCTGTATCAGGGGGCGTGTCAGCAGTTCCCGCTTCTGACTGGCGAACTCGAACAAGTCGCCACCTGGACAGTAGGTCAAAACCAGCAATGTACGACTCTCCTGGTATTCGCATGCCTTGAGGTGTATGAGCGACGGGTGTGACACGCTCTTGAGCATTTCGACTTCACGTTTGAGACTGGTTTCGATTCGTTCTTCATCGGCCCCTCCCGCAGGTCCGTGCTCTACTATTTTGACCGCAACCAGTCTGTGCGGATCAAGGTGGTCCTCAATCTCGGGCGTAGGGTGGGCGGGAATGCGTTCGCGTGTCGCTAACATCACGGTGGAGAAAGTGCCTTGGCCGAGCTGTCGCAGCTGCCTGAACTTGCGTCTCTTATTATGAATGCCACAATGTATCTCGAGGTACTCCGAAGCCGTGCCGTCTTCCAAATATGGTTGCTCCTCGTCAGCTTCGTCACTTCCTGCCACGCTTGAAGTACTAGCTGGAGGTGTTGGAATCTGCTTCGAAGAATCCGGTGCCGGTACCCTTAAGCCTCGTTCTGCAGCCAGATAGGCTTCGCGGTGCATCTGGTACTCGTTCGCCTCGAGGCTGGGAGCATCTCCTTGTCCAAATGTCACATGTCGCTGTCGTGTATTTGATAACGGTTCTGGCTTGAAGTCGGATATGCTTCGATTCCGGGTATGTGAGGCAGCCTTCACATTGTCCGACCCACCAGCCTCCCTTGAAGCATTCGCAATCGCGGCTTCCTGCATGAGACTACCATATGCCTTCTTTCTTCTTGACGGCGATTCAGGTGAAGTTGGCGGTCCAGACTTGGCCGTAGATGTTGGATCATCGAGAGAACCTTCACGAGATCGGTTCGGTGTTCCTCCAGTACGTCTCTTGTGCCAGAACGCCGGCTTGTCTGAGCCCACCAACGGTGAGGGAAGGGGTGTGAGGTCGGTCATGGCAGCCAGATATGGACTCGGTAAGGCCGATCCAGAGGCGGGCGAAAGTGAGGACGTGAGGCTCGAGGTGGACATGTTCGATCTGAGTGAAGACCCCATGGCCGGGAAAGTCGTAGGCGAGGTCAAGTTCTGGTGTAGCGAAGGCTCTGTGTTTACGGGCGTCTCGTACAGAATGGTAGGGGTCTCGGTGGGCCTGGCAGCTCCAGCCGCAGCCGGTGGTTCAATGTTCGTCCTTATCGACAGGCCAGCGCTGGCCGGAGAAGAATGATGGGTGTTTCTGTGTGCGAGAGTGGTCGTGTCGATGGAAGGAAGGGCGGCACTTTGAGCGAAAGCATGCTGGTTTGTCACATAAGCCTGGGCATTGGCAGCTGAAGGAGAGGTAGAAGCGAGGGCGTGTTGACTCGAGATGGCGGCGGAAGGATCGAGGGGAGCGTCGAGGCTGCTGTCATGGCGCACTTCGGCGCCGGGCTGCTTGTCGTGGTGCCCTTGAGGAGGAGGATGGGTGACCCCAGGGTCAGGGCGGGGGGTGGCACTCATGGCGCGAACATGTGCGTCGAGGGGAGTACCTGGTCGAAGTACTCCGCTCGGTACGGTACGGTGCTTGGTGGCCGTACTCCTCTCTAGGCGCCGAAGGGCTGGGCGGGCTGGTCAGAGTCGCTAACCGCGGCAGAGACAGGCCTGGTCAGCGACGGCAGCAGTGCACAGCAACAGCAAGCGCAGGCAAGCAAGCAAGCAACTGGCAGAGCTGGCGGCGGGCGTCGTAGGGCGCTTGGTGCAGGGCGTCTGCAGGTCGAGCGTGTCTGGAGGAGAAGAGCCGGAGTTCATTGGTCCAAGCAGCCGTTTGCGGGGCAAACCCAGATCTAAATGCTGCGATCAAAATAGACCTCATGCACTCCTTGCGCCAACTTAATTCACTATTCTACCGCATAGTAAATAGACCACCAAGCACGAGATCTCGCAGATTCTGCACTTTCACGACTAGTTCGCCACCGATTACGATCACGATTTGGCCCGCCCGTCATCCAGGACAAAGAAACGCATTCCACACCTGACAGCCTGTGATCACGCTGAACTTCCAGCAGTAGTACATTTCTTGTGCTCGTATACGCCGCAGTGCTGCAGCCTCGTCGTATCCATACTCATGTCCAGTCATTCCCATTCCATGCTTATGCTCGTTGTTTCCCATGCTCATGCCGTCAATGCAGAACTGATACCCAAGATGGTCATGCCGCAGAACGCTCCAATCATGCACAAATGCTTCGAATGCGTCAAATCCAAACTCTCCGCGAATAATTGCAACGCCACGCTCGCCATGATGCCCGCCGTCACCGCGAACATGCCTCCGTACACTGCTTCGCTCGGCTCCCATCCACTCTTGCCTGCAAGTTTGAACCAGAGAGCCGCTACGCCAGCTCCGAGGGGTTGGGAAAGGCCGCCCAAGACGAACGATATCAGCATCGCCTTCAATCGACTATTGATGGCGAGGTATAAAGGTAATGCCATGGCAAACCCTTCTGTGATGTTGTGTATGAAAAGCGCAAGGAACACGCTGACCCCTAATTGTGGGTTGGCGTGATTCGTTGCGTAAGTGATGAAGCCCTCGGGTAGCTTGTGAAGGGCGATGGCTATCGATGTTTGCAGACCTATCGAAAGAAAGGCATTCGTAGGGACGTGGTGGTGATGATGCTCAGGGTGTTCGTCGTCTTCGCTCTCGTGAGAGGTCGTCTTTCGTAACTGTGTTGCGCCATCAACGTTGACGACTGTTCCTGAACTGTCATCTGAAGGTCCTTGATCGTGATCCAACTCTCCCGCATGCGCGATGGTGTTGCTTTCTGGTGCCGCTCTCGTATGTGGTCGTCTTATGGGCTCCTCTTCGATGCCTTGCAGCAAAGGCGTCGATTCTGTAGCGGTAGCATTCTTCACCGCGGAAGGCCGCTGCACTCCCGTCGTGGGCTTGGGCGCTTTGAAACCTCCTCTTGCATTGACATTCTTGAAACACTCGGACTGGCACAAGTCGCTGTACCCATAACAGGGCCCATCGCAGTCACATGACGGATCCTTCCCTACGGTAAGCTTCGATATGCTTTCGGTGATTTGTTTCTGTAGTGTCGGACGTTGATTTAGCGACGGTCGCACTTCTGTCGTTTCTGGCATGGCATGCGAGCGATGATCATCGACGCCGCCGTCTAATGCGATTGACGCTCCATGTCCACTCGATGCTGGATGTGATGTAGACCTTTGCGGCTTCGATATGTGTCCAGCATGAGAAGCTGTTCTTGATTGCTTTCCTTGCGGTTTCGTGTGGTGGTGGTTGTGTTCGTCGTGGCTATGTTCATGAAGATCGTGATCCTCCTTATGGGCCTCTTCGTCCTCATGGTGATGTTCGCAATCAACCACATTGTGTGGAACGAACTTGTGCATTATCCGTGAGAGAACCTGAATGCCCACGACACCCCCAATGAAACATGCTATCAGAATCCATGCTGCCTTCTGAGAAGAGAAGCCTCCCTTTATGAGCGACGATTTTGCAGATGGGAGCATGCTGTATAATGCTGAGAACAACTACTCTTCGTCAGCATAACACCTAGTTCTCATCGTGACCAACATACCATGACGCCAAAACTCAGACTGAGCGACAACGATAGGAATGTATCGCTATCCTGTATCCGCCATCCTTTCTTTCCGGGGAACAGTCGAACAATCACATCCACGCAGATGAAAGCAGCACCGAATATACAGGCTGCAAAATCGTTAGCCTTCTGTCCAGATATCCCTTTCTTACGTCTTCCTGATCGTGAACACACCAACACCGCTCAACCCGGTCATAATCCATCCTCGATCGTCATTGGACAGAGGCATCGCGGAAGTATATTTTCTTTAAGGATGTCGTCGTCTCCAAGATCGCCCCAAAAAGTCACTCGTGTCGAAGAAATCCACAAGCCAGGTGCCAGAATTCCGGCAGCGTCACGGTTTCACTACCACCCACGCTGCGTCTCGAGTCCTCTGAAAGAATGTCGTCTCGCCCACGCACCGCCACGCGCCTCGTTCAGCGCTACAAGCGGGATGCACGTAGCCGTCTGCGGTGTCCAAGTATGCACAGAATCGGTCCAGGAATTCGAGCCGTGAAAGTCGAGATGGGGATGTTGTTGGGTGAATTGGCTGACGAGGCGCGCGGGCGAAAGGTCAAAGGGTCTCGTCAAAGGCAAGTGACCAAACCATCAAGGTGGTTTTCAGCACAGACTGCAAGGCTGGATCGGGCCGCCGTTCGCGTGGGGCTTGTCGTGGTGAGTGAGTGACGTGCGGTGCACGTTTGAAGATCGATCCATGCGGCGATGAGTAACCTGCAAATACGAGCTTCTTATTCGCGACATATGACTGCACTTCGTCCCTGTGCAAACAGACAAAGACAATCCTAGAGAAAGTGGGCTTAACTACAATGGCGACACAACCGGCAGACAAGCTATTGCAGCGACCTCTATACAGTGAGTGCGATCTAACTGTTCGCATGATCGCACACTGACGAGGATCTAGTATTCGATCTCCCCGAAGAGATCCTCTACACCTTGCAGCTCAAGGTGCAGCCTACCGCAGCGCCAGAACCACCATCACCGCGGCCCTCTACACCTTCGCTCAACGGCGAGGACAAACAAGAAAGCGCACCATCTTCTGCGACATCATGCGGCCTCTGTGGCCTGAACTTCCCAAACCTACTCGAGCAAAGGAGCCATGTCCGATCAGATCTCCATGGCTACAACCTCAAGCAGAAGATGCGCGGGAAGAAGGCTGTAGATGAGGCGGAATTTGAGAGACTAGTAGGGCAATTGGATGAGAGCATTTCAGGTTCAGATACATCAGAATCAGAAGATGATGAGGACGATGAGCTGGGTGGGAAGTCCAAGCAGAAAGATTCGACCTTGAGCGCTTTGTTGAAGAGACAGGCCAAAATAACAGACGGAGACGCAGATGATGCGCCTACGAAGAAACGCAAACGAGGGGCTGGCAAACCTCCCGTGTTATGGTTCTCGACCCCGAAGCTCCCATCGAATACTTCGTTGGGCGCATACAGAGCAATCTTCTCGCAAGCAGAGCAAGATGATGAGGAAAAACTTGTCGAGACCATCAAACGGAAGCAACTAGCCCCAAAGCCACCACCGAATCCTCTACAGCAGAAGAAGGCAGAACAGGAGGAAGATGGAGGTGTGCCTCTACCAGCATCAATGATTCAGAAAGAGACCAGCGCATCCGGACCACACTACTTTTTGTGCATGATTGGTGGAGGACACTTCGCGGGAATGCTGGTATCGGTCACGCCAAAGTTGACCAAGAAGGCTGGCGTGGAGGACCGAACCGCCACTGTAATCGCACACAAGACTTTCCATCGCTACACGACTCGTCGAAAGCAGGGTGGTTCACAATCCGCAAACGACAACTCCAAGGGCAATGCACACTCGGCAGGATCCAGTCTCAGACGATACAATGAAACCGCCTTGATAGAAGAAGTCCGTGCTCTTCTGACAGAATGGAAAGACTGGATCGACAGTGCCGAGCTCCTCTTCATCCGAGCGACAGGGAGCACGAATCGCAGAACCCTCTTCGGCCCATACGAAGGCCAGGTCCTCAACCACAAGGATGACAGACTACGAGGCTTCCCATTCAACACCCGCCGCGCCACACAATCCGAGCTGATGCGCGCCTTCGTCGAACTAACCAGAATGAAAGTCAGCACCATCGACGAAGCAACCCTAGCCAAACAAGCCGAAGAAGCCGCATCGGCAAAATCAGAAACCACCACCACCACCCCCAACGGCACCAAACCCACCACGCCCAACCCCCCCAAACCCTCCAAAGCCGACGAAGAAGCCACCCTCCACACCACCCAACTCCAAGCCCTCATCCGCCGCTCCAAAGCCCCCGCCCTACTCGCCTACCTCCAAACCAACACCCTCGACCCCAACTTCCCCTTCTTCCCGCCCGAACAAAACCACCACGCCCCGACCCCCCTCCACCTCGCCGCGGCCTCCAACAGCCCCGCCTGCGTGACCGCCCTCCTCACCAAAGCCAGCGCGGACCCCTCCCTCCGCAACGCAGACGGCAAACCCCCCTTCGACATCGCCGGCGACCGTCCCACGCGGGACGCCTTCCGCCTCGCGCGCTCCCAGCTGGGCGAAACCCGCTGGCCCTGGGACGCAGCCGGCGTTCCCGCGGCGCTCTCCCAAACCGAAGCAGACGCCCGGACCGCGCGCGAGAGAGACTCCAAAGCCGCGGAGGACGCGGCGGAGAAGCAGCGTCGCCAAGCGGAGACGGAGAGGTTGAGGCAGGAGGATCGGGAGCGGGAGAGCGCGGCGCGGGAGAAGACGTTTGGGAAGGGGAGGGTTTTGGAGAGGCCGAGGTTGACGGCGGAGGAGAGGCGGGCGGAGGAGGCGAGGGGCATGAGTGCGGAGATGAGGGTGAGGTTGGAGAGGGAGAAGAGGGCGCGGGCGGCGGAGGAGAGGATGGGGAGGTTGCAGGGGAGGTGAGGAAGAATATGAGAAAGGTTTCGAAGTTTTCAGATCATGACATTCTGCTCTTCTAGAGGGAGAGAGGGCTTGTTTGGAAAAGAGGACAAAGGAAACTTTCCTCCACTGGCAGACAACACGAGTAGTAGCCAGGGCAATCTCTCTCAAACAACAATCCAGACAATCTTCTTTCTTCCAGGGGCTCGACAACATCAACATTATTCTCTCTTCTATCCTTTCCTCTCCTTCGCCACCCAATACCACAAGCCTCTACTCCAAATGCCTTGAACCTCGAGATCAACCAAGGCTGACTGGCGCCCTCTTTCCCCATCCCTTCCCATTGCGTGTAAGCTTTCCGAGTCGAGTTGTCATGATCCTGAAGTAGTAGTAGCCAGAGAAGAAATCAAACCAACAGTACGAGAGGAAGGCCAAATTTCATATCCGTGTCCATCCGGAGTGTTGTTTATGTGGCATCAACAAGTCCACAGAAAAGAAAAGAAAAACCAAGTCGTGTTGTTCAGCCGTGTTACGCTTTGCGAGAATGTCCATGTCCGTGACTGTGCGAGTGGTGTCCATGGCTGCCGAAGCGATTGCCCACACTCGAGTGACGCCCGCTCTTAGACAGGGAGCCGACGTCGTGCTTGCCTGGAAAAGATAAGTCAGCGCTGTCTGGGCATAATCATGAGGGAAGGGTTATGGAATTACCATCGCAGCAGGCCCTCACATTCTCCAACCGGTCCGCCTCTCGCTCTTGCTGCTCAATCACTGCTCGAAGGTCTTCAGCGCTGTCTGCGACTATGCTTGCGTCGTAGATCTGGGCTGGGTCGTCGGGTCGTCGCACAGACGCACTAGATCTGGCGCGTTGGCTGCTTGATGGCCTGAAGCGGCTGGTGATTGAGCTGATTCGACCTGCGACGCTGCCGGATGATTGCCGCGAGTTGTTGGTCGTTGTTGCGGTCAAACCTGGGTTTGATGTTGGTGGCTGGAGACTCTTCGATTGCTGCGTCACTCTTCCTCCCCGTTGTGTGAGGGTCCGGTCAGCATCGTGTCGGTGCGGGCTGGACGTGCGTGTTGTTCGGCTGTTGTAGCTGCTCAAGCTCGTACGACTCTGACGGCTTTGACTTCGTCCGGCGATTCTACTAATGCTTCTCCGAACTTGTCGACCGATGCCAGGGTTGAACTCGTCGATGTCGTCTTGGTCGATAACATCCTCAGCTTCCGACTTCTCTCTCTCGGTTCTGAGCAGGAGGTAGGACAGGGCGTTGAACCATGTCTCGTGTCGCTGTCCGGTAGGAGCAGTGAAGACAATCTCACGCCCAGGAGTGATGACTACTAGCGACTTCCTGTGCAAACCAGGTGGATAAGCATTGTCATCACTGACAACTCTGACAGCTTCGATGGCGACACTCTTTGCCTTGAGCATGTTCTTGCCAGCTGTGCTTGGATCTTGCTCACTCCAGTACAACGTCCTGGTGTAAGGATGAATCCAGAAGAATCTCCGGTGGCGAGTGGACGAGGTCTCGCTTCTTCCAGCTTTGCGAGTGTATTTCCACAAGTATTCTCCAATCATCGTCTGTGTGATTGCTTGAATCATCCGTGGGTCGGTAGCAGGCTCGACATCAGTCGGGTACATGATTTGACCACGAGTGATATTGAAGCGCTCGTCCAGTTCTGAAGCAAAGGAGGAGACAGACGTACGGTGTGACACCCGATCTGACTGCCCAGCTAACTGTGTCCGGCTATCTCTGGTGCGAATTGGGCGTGGCGTGGTGCTATCACGAGATGCACCCCTTTCGTACACAGGACGATCTCCTGGAGTCTTTGGTCGGTGCTTGTATGCTGAAGCTGGCATTAACGGCGGGCCCATAGCACTCGCCGTGGACTGCGCATTTGGAGTGCCTGGTGCTTGCTGAGCCGCCTTTGCGATCCTTTGATTATGATCTGGTGGGAGAGGCGGTGCCCCAGCGACAGCCTTGTTTCGTATACTGCCAGCACTGGCTGGTCGTCGAGGAGGTCTCAGAGTTGGAGATTCGTAAATTGACGGTCTAGTCTCCGGTCGCTTCTCATCTTTGGTCGGTGTGCTTGCGAAGGCAGACACAGTAGCCGCAGTCGCTGCAGAGACTGCTGCTGCCGCCGCGGCGGTACTGACAGCCGTGCCTCCCATGGGTGAATTGCCACCATCTCTAGAAACATTCTTATTGCGAAGCATGCTGTCAATGTCCTCGCCAGAAACGACGGTTTGAGAGCCTTCATCGGCCACGGGTTTCTTGACGGCAATGTTGGGAGAGACCTCCGTGAGAATCTTCTGAGGAGGTGCATCTGGGTCTACAGGAGACTCAGCGAACACATCGTCTTTCTGCACCGCGGCTGGCACGTTGCGCTGTCCAGCCAGAGTCTTTGTCTCAGGAATGTTGCCAGTAGAGTCCTCTGCAAAACGAACACTACGTTCGGAGACTGGGAACGATTGAGACCTCTTCCTGACGAGGGTTGGAGCAGTCGCAGCGGCGAAGAAGCCTGCGCCAACTTGCGCCTTGTCTGTACCTGGGATGTCGCGCTCAGATACATCTTTGGCAGCAGAATCTTGTTGGAAGTCTTCGGCAAACACGAGGTCTGGTCGTTTAGAGCTTCTTCGAGGGAGGCCTGGGGGTACCATCGCTTCCATTGGTTCGATTTCTTGCGCAACAACTTCAGAAAAGGAGAATGCAGCCACAGGAGGCGGTGGAGGTGCAGCCACGGGCATTGGGGGTATCTCTGGCTTCGATGCCGCATCGGTGATGCGTTGGAGCCCGCCACCGGACACCCGCCGTGTGCTGACGGGTCTTGGTGGTGAGATGGGCTCAGTCTGCTGGGACACGATACCGGATTGCTCTAGATTCGCCGGTGCTAAATCTTTCTCCGTGACCAGAGCCTTTGGGTCAGGATAAGCATCTGTGCCCACACTGATGGCCTCACGTGGAGTATCGCGCGTAATGTCCGGATAGGCGTCTGTACCAACGCTAACAGGCTGGGGGAGAATGTTGGTCTTGGGTTCAGGCAAGGCATCTGTCCCAACGCTGACGGATTTCGGCTCTTGAACAGGCGCAGCGACTGCTGTGTCAACTGTGGATGTGCGCGCAAGCTCGTCACCTTCGGCCGCTCCAGAGGCAGCTTGGTCCTGATCTTCGTCGTCAACCGATCCATCTTTACCCTTGCCAAGGACTCTACTAAGACCGAAACCAGCCAAAGCTCCTCCAACGAGCTGGCCAGCGCGATCTCGGAGTCCTCCCTTGTCCTCAGAAGATTCAATCTCTCTCTCCACGATGCGCTCTTCGACTATTCGCTCGGGCTCCCATGGCTCGGTCATGACGCCAGCGTCGACCATCTCAGGCTTGCGGACTGCGAACTCGTGCGCAAGCATGGCAGAATTGGCTTGGTGTGCGAGAACCGCGTGTTCTCCAGAAAGCTCTGGGCTCTTCTCGCTGACGACAGGTGATGATATTGCAGGTCCAGCAGTAGCCTCAGAGTCGGCAGTGATCGGACTCTCAGGCTCTATGCTCAGTTGACGTTGGGTTTCTGGGGTACTGTCAACATCCATCGTCCGGCTCGAAGCAGGTGTGCCTTCTATGCTGCTTTCATCGAGCGCGTCAAGTTCATCGCCGAGACTTTGCATTGCTGCTGGCTGAGGTGTTCCCGTGCTGGAAGATGGACTGTGATTGCTGGCGTTGGGAGAGTCTGTCATGATCTCACTCACACGGCCAGACCGCCTGACACCGCGGCTTAGGCGTAGTCTATACTTTGGCTGTTGAGGATTCTGAACTGGCGTTCTGATGACATCCTCCTCTTCCTCATCAGCTGATGTGGAGGCAGTTGACATGAAAGAGCGTCTATCCTTTGGTTTGCTGGAGAGACTGCTGACCGAGCGCATGGTACGGTTTGCGCCGCTCTCCGTCTCGGTAGCGTCGCCTTCGGTATCATCGTCGAAGTCCTCATTGCCGGTAGCAAATGCCTCACTTTCGGTCGTCTCTCGTTCGTTTGCAGTCTCGAAAGCATCGGAGGTATCCTCTTCAGACTTGCCATAGCCATACGAAGCGGCCCCTGCAACGCCTGCAGCCGCACTAGCAGACCGAGCCTTGCTGGGAGTAAGCTCCATATCCTGATCCTCCCAATCAGGCTCATCAATGATCTCAGTCGAGCTGTTTCGAGCAGCACCGAGCCTGGCCCCATGACCTGGTCTCTTAAACTTGACATTTTCCGAATCGCTCCTGCGCTTCTTTGCGACATTGGCCGGGATCCCAGCATTGCTGTCGCGGCGAGTCTCGAGCTCATCACGCGCATCTTGGAGCATTCGCTTCAGCTCGATCTTTTCAGTCTTCTCGCGATGGACCGTGTTCTTCAGATTCTGGATCATTCGATGGGCATGGTTGAGACTCGATTTCAGCGTCTCGCTCTCAAGCATGCCATGCCGAGCGGGAGTGCCTTTGATCGGTGACGGAGGCTCGCTGTGAATCGGACTCTGGTCGTCGGAATGAACGCCTTCCTCGGCTGAAATGAAGTCGGTGTCAGATGGTTGAATTGTCTGGCTGAACCGGTAAGAGACCGCCTTTGCGAGTTCCGTATTTTGTGAAGTAAGCTCCTCAATCTTCCTAAGGAGTCTCGTCCGCTCAGATTCGTGCGTCGCCGCATCTCTTCTCAACCCATGCAGATCGGCCTCTTGCACCTTTTTGGCCATGGCATGGTCCTCGTTGAGCTTGTCATGATTGACCTTCAAGTCGTCCAATTCGCGCTCCTTAGCCGCCTTTTCGGTCTGAACAGATTTGAGGGTCTGGGCCATGCGACTCTCCTTCTCCGTGCTCTCTTTCAAGCTGGTCTCCATCTCCTGCAGACGGGTCTCGAGATTCCAGTTCTCATCCTTGTATTTCTGCTCGTTCTCATCCATGTGCCGCAGACGTTGCCACAGGTTTGTCGCTTCGCTCTCCAGCTGAGCCTTGGCAGCAGTCGTATCCTTGAGTTCCTCATCTTTCTCAGCAAGAGCTGCCTGAAGTTGCCGGACCTGAGCAAGCAACGAAGTACTAATTTCGGTCGCGAATTCAATGTCGTGCACGCGGTTGCTCTGCTGGTTGCGCTGCCGTCTTGATGGGGCAGAGATTTTGGTGGGCGACTCTCGGCCAGATCCTGATATCAAGCCTGACGCAGCATTTGGTTCATTCTCGCTGACGACGCGAGACTTGGGCAAAAAAGCGCGCGCAGACTCGCGGCCGACTTCATTGTACTCTCGCTCCAGCTCTGCCAACTTTTCTCTCAGGTCTTCGGGCACCTCGCTGTCTTGCTGCATTTGCTCCACTTCCTTCAATTTCGAAGCGAGGTCCTTGCGCTGCTGCACCAAAGTCGTACCCAATCTTGAAGCGTCCTGTATCCGGCGATCAGTGTCTTTCAGATGTGCTTCTAATGCGCGCCTAGCGGAAGAAGGCGAGCTGGACGAGTAGAGCGAGAATTGATCGTGGTCAAAAGCGGCATATCGTAGCGGCGGTGGATTTCCATGAGGGCTGCCTGAGAACGGGTCGCCCGACCCATTGACGGCGGCGGCGGCAGCCATGTTGTTGGAGTTGGTGTATCAGGGTAGTAGGTGTCTGTAGCGAATGTAAATAAAAAGCTGGCGTGTGGGCGGCAGCGGCGCAAGGTGTCTCGGGAAGCGGCAGAGATTCGCAAGAGTGAGGCCAGCCCCGAGGAAAAGATGAAACACCAGCGCAGGCCGAATTAAAGACAGAATGGTGTAGGTAAAGGTCGAAACAGCGCGCAGCCAGGGGCGAAAGGTGGGAGGAGGGCGTGGTTGTAGGAGCGCGGTGCAGGCGGGTCGGTTGGCTGTCGTTCCAAGTCTGCTGCAGCAGCTGTCCCGACTCCTGTTTACAAACAAGCTGCGGGGGTGTGCGATCGGGGCGGCAACGTGGCACGCGGACCCCAGGCCAGCGGGAGGGAAGAAGCGTAGATAGAGTGTCCAGGGATCCGGGGTGGAGGTGGTGGAAAACAACAACAAACGAGACAGAGGCGGCGGAGGGACGTCGTCGGCGGGCGCGGTCGATCGACTGCGGCGTGGAGGAGCGTGAGGGCGCGTTGCAAGAGAGTTTGTCTACAGCACAGGCCACCCAGCGCAGACGAAATGCCGATTGGATGATTTCCACACAATCCCGGTCACCTCGTCGTCATCTGCCAACGGCCAGAATCGTCAACCTCGAAGCTGTGGCAATAAGAGTTGGAGGCAGATGCGTTCTGTTTTTCTACACCGTCTCGCATGTCAACAACACGCAGCTTAAGCGCCCCTGCAGCTCGCAGCTTTCACGAATCGCTTCCCCGTGAGATTGACTTTGCCGGAGTAACCTTCCGTCCTGCCGATCCGCCCGAGAGTGGCGCATTTGTAAGCCTGAGGCAACAAAGTGGCTGAAGAAGATTGAACTTGATGTGAACACTCTCTACCGGACAACATCTCCAGCACACCCCAACAACATGGCAGACGTCGCAGCGCCCGTCTTCAAGAAGCGCGCGAACAAGGCGAATATCCGGAAACGGCCAGCGACTCCACCCCCGCAAGATTCCGCGTCCGATTCAGACTATTCAGAAGATGAGGCCGGCGTCAGAGTCAAGAGGCGCAAGAAGGAGGGTGTAACGACTACGAACACTGGGCCCAAAAGAGCACAAGATCTGAGCAAGTCGACTGCATTCGAAGCCGACCGATCGACAAACATCACTGTAAATGAGGATGCGACCAAGGCGTCCCAGTGGTATACAGACGCTGCTCTGGCTGCAAACGATGCGCCGAAGTCGAAGGCTTTGAAAGATGAGACTGTAGCACCGGAGACGTCAGACGGCAAATACCAGGGCACTGCGAAATACTCAAACTTCATCCAAAAGAACCCCGATGCGAGACAAGTCGGGCCCGTGAAGGCTCCTACAAACGTCAGAGCGATCACTGTCACAGACTTCGCCCCTGATGTCTGCAAAGACTACAAACAAACTGGATTCTGTGGTTTCGGAGACAGCTGCAAATTCCTGCATGCGCGTGAAGACTACAAGCAAGGATGGCAGCTGGACAAGGAATGGGAAACGGCGGGCAGGAAGGATAAGCCAGGATCCAAATCCAAGGACAACGCCAAAGATGACATGGATGAGGAGGAGAAGATGCTGCAAGAGATTCCTTTCGCGTGTATCATCTGCAAGGAAGGGTACAAGAATCCGGTGGTGACAAAATGCGGACATTACTTTTGCGAGAAATGCGCCATGGGCAGGTACATGAAGGAGAAGAAGAAGACGTGTGCAGCGTGTGGGGCAGATACAAATGGGAGCTTTGGTATCGCGAGGAAGCTCAAAGAATTGTTGGATAAGAAGCGCAAGAGAGCAGAGGAAAGGAAAGCCAAGGCTCGTGAGGCTGGGGAGGAAGTTAGCGATGGTGAAAACGAAGATGATTGATGGAGACACGATGACGAATTCAAGACAATGTCTTCTTCAAGATGAACCGCAAGTCAAGATTGTTTCTCAAGTATGGATACGCCGAGTCGAAACCGCTGGAGTGCGACATGGCAGATGTCTCGAGGGTGTCTAGCATTGTCGTCCTCCCCCATTACTTGCAGACTACTTAGGCGGCCGACAGTCCTCAGAACAGTTACGAGTGAAAGAAGACAGAAGATTAATGACTGCCTTGTTTGGACAAAGAAATTTGGTTGCATTGTACCCGCGTTGAGGTTGAGGAATGCAGAGAACGTTCAAAATCCAAAAGCGGAAGCGCAAGGCTTCGACCTCGAAATCGGCACGCAGAGGACTTCCAACTTGGTTTCGCAATCTCCTCCCTGGTGGACGACTCCTCCGTTTCCACCAACATGAAGCGTCCAAACTCCAAAGCGAGTCTGATCAGGCACCTGGTCCATCAAACGAGTCTGTAACGAAAAGCAATCACAACAAACGAGACTCGCTATGCATGGCAAGCATCGAAGCCGCTCTCCCAGACACCCCAACCAAGATGGCTCTACCACTCGCACCCTCAGCACACCACCTACCACCATACATGATCAACATGTTACACCACTCCGCCACCAACAGCGACATCCCCACCTCAACCTCCAACCCACCGCTAGAAGTCGAACTCCGCTACCCCTCAGGCTACACCGAACGCTTCCTCCTCCCGCACCCAAATAGCACCCGCCCCCAAAAAGACCGCACCCTCCACCCCATCGACGACCTCACAACCACCATCTCCGTCATCCTCCACCTCACCACCGGCCCCATAGGCCCGCACACCAAACTCTGCCCCCTCCTCCACTCCGCCTACACCACCTCCAACACCTCGCTCTTCACCACAACCCTCTCGACCCTCAACCAACTCCTCTCCTCCCCGCTAAAACTAACCCGCCCCTCCACCCCCTTAATCCACCACTTCCTCGCCCAACTCTACGACCGCTCCATCGCGCCCCACCTCAAACCCCTCACCACGCGCCGCGCCCCCAAGAAACCCACCTCCGCCATCTACGGCGAACTCCAACCCGCCTTCCTCTCCACCATCTTCAAGAAAACAGCCCTAGGCCCCGGACAAGTCTACATCGACCTCGGCTCCGGCGTCGGCAACACCGCCCTGCAAGCGGCCCTCGAAACCGGCGCCTCAGCCCACGGCCTCGAGCGCGAAGCCTTCCCACACCTCGTCTCCGCCCTCCACCTCCAGCAATTCCACATCCGCTGCATGCTGTGGGGTTTGAAACCGGGGAAAGTCCAGCTCTACCATGCCGATTTCTTGCACGCACCGCACCTGACGGATCTCCTTTTGCCGGAGGCGGATGTGGTGGTGGTGAATAATTTCAGGTTTGAGCCGGAGACGGATGTGGCGTTGAGGGGGTTGAGGAGGGGGCAGGTTGAGGAGGGGGGCGAGGGTTGTTTCTATGAGGCCGGTGGTTGTGGGGAGGTTGAGGAGTCCGAAGAGGGGGGTGGGGAGGGGGAGGGGGAGGTGTGGAAGGTTGAGGAGTGTGCGTATGCGGAGGAGAGTGTTAGTTGGAGTCGGAGGGAGGGGGTGTATTATGTTAGTACCAAGTTGAGATGAGATAGGGAGAAATGCTGCCTGAGAATGGAGATGCAAAGGGAATGAGAATGACTGAGTTGTAGATATTGCGTCGAAGGTGCAGAGAAATTAACCAAATATTCTTCTGCTTCCGTTAACGATGTGGCTCTGAAGGCACATCCCCAGAAATCACCAGTCCTCCATGCCACTGACCATCGCTTCACGACCTTTCAGCACTCGAGACCTGGTGGGATGGATATCTGGCGCAAAGATTCTCACTAGATCTCTCTCTCTCTCCAGGCATGTTTCTTCTACAAATCAACGGTTCTGATGTCTTGTTTCGTATCTATTCACACACACTGTCGTATCCATGATCCTCCTTCTATACAGAGAATGACAGCTCCAAGAATACAAATAGTTATCCCAAGTCCCCGGTTTTTGGTTATCCCAACGCCATCGCGATGCCCAGCCCCAAAAACCGCCTATACATCCCACCTAAACCCTTCACAACAACGCTCCCTCTAGCATCCACTAAGGTCATACTGCGCCTTCCCATCCTTATCAAACACCCCAAACGACGGGTTGTCATTGTAATCCTGGTAAGCGTACCAGAACACATGTCCGGTTTCGAATAAACGACAAGCAACACTCCTCCAAAACCTCTGCGCATTCTGCAGACTCGCCACCGCCGCGCCCTGCGTCGCGCCTTGGGTCGGCCACCCCGTCTCCGTAATCCACACCCACGTCCCCGCCTTAACACTCTGCACATGATTCAGCGTATCCTGGTAACTCTTGAAAAACACATCCTCCGCGGCGGAGATGTCCGCGTCCTGCCAGTAGGGATATCCGTCCATGCCGACGAAGTCACACGCCTGGATCACCGCGTCGTTGGCAGAGTCGACCCACGCCGTCCACGTGTCGACGTGTCCGACTTCGGCCTGCACGCCGAGCGCGCGCACCATGCCGCGGACGTCGTAGATCTGCTGCGCGAGGGTTGAGGCGGTCGTGTCTTTGCGATACAAATCCTCGCTGCCGACGGAGATGGCGAGAATCCAGGCGGTGCCGTGCGCGTGGATGGCGGCTTCAAGGGCGTTCTTCTCGGCCGTGTAGTGTGCTGCGTCCTCCGTCCATACGCCCACGAGGATCTGCGTTCCGGTGCTCAAGGCGGCGGGGACGGCGTTGGCGAGGGTGTTGCAGTCGGAGGAGGCGTAGAGGCGGACTTGAGAGATTTTCTGTGGGAGGGCTTGGAGTTTTTGGAAGGCGGTGGTCCATTGCGCGGTGGTTTTGCAGGAGCTGTCCGGGTTGGTGGCGCCCACGTTGAAGCCTTTGTAGTAGGCTTGGGTGAGGGGGAGGGTTGTCGCTGCGATGGCAGCGAGGGTTGTGGAGAAGCGCATGGCTTTGTCTGTGGTAAAAGAGTGTGTGGAAACTATATGAAAAGATCAAGAAAAGACTATACAACGAGAGATGCGAAATTCCAAGGCGTGTGTAGGAAAGAAGACAGTGAATGAAGAAAAGAGGGCATGAAGTGGAATGGAGCGTTGTTGAATGATCTGTGCATCTCATCATCCGTTCCGATTCGTTGCGCCGGCAGATTTGCTTCCGATGAGATCGACAAGGCATGAATCGGTGAAGGGTGTTCTCCCCGTGCTCTTTTCTGATAGGGAGGTAAGTTGAGATCTATCGAAGGCCATTAGCAATCATTAAAATATCACGCGATTCTCGAAACCCGCCCGCATCGTTGCTCTTTCTCACATCACAAGCTTCGAGTGCAAAGAAAACGAGTGAAGTCGACCGATGACGAGGCTCTGCGGAAGATCGTCAGGTACAGCCGCGCGTTCCTTGCAAGCCACTCGAGCCAAACCCGAACGGTACACCGACCTGACTTCACCCTTGCTTGCCAGGAGTCCAGACCATCCCATCAATGTCTCATCATCAAGCCTTGCAAGCATAAGAACGCCGAACGACCAACTTCGTGGCAGAAGATCATATCAAGCATCGTAGGTCTGGTGACGTACCCTCGGTGTGCATACATCCCCATCACTCTAAAGCGATCCAAGCAGTTTAGAGTGCATTCAGAAGCACAGTCGCTTGTGAAAAGCCGGAGAAAAGGCGGCTCCATACGTTTTCCGCTTTGACCGGAACGAGGAGAGTACACGTCCAAGCAAGAAACGCAAACTTCGTTGCTTTCAACAGTCAAGGCACCTTAAGTTTGCTTCATGAGAAGTCCAGAGCTCCACTTATCCTCGATATGAGCCGTCGGCAGTCCAGGTATCAGTCGGCATGTCGAATCCCCAGGTACCCATGTTATTGATATCTTGTTCGACCAGGCCGTACAGCGAGACGTTGCCGGTATACCAGTCCTGTTGAAGGTACGCAGACATATCAGTGTCCATGGCGTTCAGGTCGTTGCTGACCGGTGGCAGGTTCTGCTGCGGCGCAAATCCCAAGGCCGATAAGTACTCATCAAACTCGCCCGTCAAAGGTTGATTCCACTGCTGGTTTGAGCCAATAGGAGCCTTGCTGCTGGGAATGCGACGTCTGCTCTCCTGCTGTTTGGCACGGACGTATGCCTCGGCGACTTTGTAGAAGACTGAGCAGAGCTGGTAGAACCTGATCACGTAAGTCAGCACAACACTCACAAGACCATACTTAGTCTGGTACGAACTTTTCGACACCCTCTGAAATTCGACGAGCAGGCTGTAGTGAGATGCAATAGTCCTCCAGAAGTTGAAGGTCGTCTAACGCCGCCTCGTGCTTCGTTATAACATTGCCAAATACAACAGTAAATGGTGTCAGAGGGTTGTGTAAGATCACCCTGTCGTACAGTCAACACAATTCTGACAATCATCTTCGCGAGTTTAGTGATACGTACCAATGGCAGTAGCCTGCCCACAAATACTCATTGCTTGAATAATTCCGCTGCAGATCGCGGCAAACACCAAGGCAGGCTCTTGCGGCTTCAAGAGCGGGAGCTTGATCCAGCTTCGTGGCCGGGATGGCTTGCAAAACTAACGTCCTGTGCAATATGAGTACTAGATGCATGTTTCTGGTCATCAGGGGGCTTACAAGGCAGTGTAGTGCGCAATTTTGTCCCCTTCGAGCATCGGCTCTGCGGTGGAGAATTGTGCCTTGGGGTCCGTGAACAAAGGCAGGATGAGGTCGTTTGCCTGGCAAATGAGTCAATACTGGCGGCTGGATCTCAGCTAGAGGAAGCATACCTTTACTCTGCCTTCGTACGCGGTGTTGAGTTCGATTGCGAGCTCGTTGACCATGCGACTACGCTCTTCCAATGTCTGTGATAGAGCACCTGGACTGTACAGCCAACAAATCTTGCCCTGGACTCTGGAAACATCGATCCAAAAGTTCAACAAATGTAACAAGGGGGCATCGATGTCTCGGGATGGCTGCGGCCTGGGAACATCGACGTCGTAATCTTGAATCTGGGTGTTTGTTAGCCTCCATCTCCAAACACCGAACCGTTCTGAGTCAAGGCGACTTACGGAAGGGGTGCGTCCAACACGGAGAGAAGTGTTCCTGTCCATGATGTATGTCATCCAAAACATGAGAAGCTTCCGATTTCGCTCTCTCGGCTCGTCTTGCGATAACGAGGACACGCGATGATAGCCAAGGACCTGGATCAGTCTGGCCGCAACAGACGTGAGGGTCCATGACAAGGACGGCTTGCACATATCAATGCACACGGTGGCCTGTTGGAAATGTCAGCTTTGATCTACCCCTCGAAGCACATTCACAGGTCCTACCGCTGCGAGGATCGCTTCCATATTATCCCAGGTCGGTGAAACGGCCAAAGGCAGCTCGCCTATGGCCTTGAGGGTGGCTCGCTGAAAGCTCTTGGAGAGTGTGTCATACCATTCGGCAGTTTGATCCTTCTCCAAAGCACTGTATTCGCCACTTAGACAAACGCAGCCAGTGTAAACGACGAGTCTGTGAGCCAGGGATACATCACAACGAGGGTCGTACACCTCTTCGACTTTCTTAACCCATGTCTCGAAGGGTGTGCACGGCAAGCACATGGAGAACACCGCAGGTGGTTGCGCTGTGTTGACGTCAGATAGAGCAAGTCTTCGGTGCGGCGACGAGACTTACGCTTTGCTCTTTCCAAAACGACACGAGCTTGATCCCATGGCGGGATACCGGCATCTTCTGAAGCATCCGCTGCTGGAGAGGGAGCAGAGACTGCGCCAGGACCATTGCCTTCACCCTTCAGACGGCCAACTATGCTTCGGAGTGATGAGAGCGCCTCATTTAGCTGGCGGTCCTGAGTGATGCTAGGGCTGCTTCCTACGGTCTGCTCCAGGGCATCCTTCGCAGCTAACGTTTCTGCTTGCATGCTTGTAAAGCCAGCAAAAGGCGTCGCGGCAGCAGACTCGTCATCCAGATACTCAGCCGTAGCGATCTCACGTCTCGACTTCTTCGAACCGCCTTGAGAGTCGACCGAGGAAGGAGTCTGATGCGCATCTGCAGGCGAGGAAGAAGTGCTTGCTCCATTGCGAAGTAGACGCTCTATGTTGGCCAGCCGATTCTCGATGCGGTCAATCTTGTTCTCGCTAAATCACGCATCAGTTGATTGGCCCGTCGCAAGTAGGTTCGAATATGGCGCATACTATTGCTTGGAGATCGTCACCCTGGCTCGAGCCTCTGTGGGCTGGGTGTTGTCCCGGCATACTAAAAATGTACGTATCAGTGCCACCAACCCGGCTAATAGCTATAGTACCTGAACTGACCTAGATTCGCAGCTCGGCAATGAGCACAGGGACGATTTCGATCGCAGCGAATTTTTCTTGTGCGGCATTCCTCACACTGCGAAGCCGTCAGTCCTCCGTTGTCTGCCAATGTCACCAGCGCAGACGTACCGCTTTCAGCGACGACACCGCGGAGGGCTGTCGCCGACTGTTGTTTCCAGCAGAGCTATCGTCGTCCATGTCTGGATCATTTCGGGCTCCGCGCGTATAAGTATGTGGTGTGGGATGCAGAGGAAGTGGGACAGACGTCAGAAGGTGCATCGTTTTGAGGCTCGGACTGCGCGGGATCCGAGTCAGCGAAACCCCAGCCGTCTCCCAAGCCCTTGGTCCCGCCAATCCCAGCAAGGCATGCAGGCTATTGCTACACCCTGGGGCCAGTCTTTCCTTCTTTACGACGCCGCTTAATGAATCACTGTCGGTGTCCTCGCGTTGTAAGCCTGCCAAGATGTCCTCGTCGGTGTTGAAAAGCAGCTCTATCACTGTACGTTGAACTTTGTGGCAGGACAGCCAAACGACATTCACTCACAATGGAGCCAGATGAGAAGACAGAGCAACCTATTGTCGACCAGGCGAACGAAGGCGGCAACTTCTCCAGCTATATCGTGAGTGTTAAAACCGAGCCCTAACTACCTGAAGACCTCGGGTGCTAACTGCATCACAGAGAGTCTTTCGCTATGCGGACCGTCAATCCTGGATTCTCAATGGCATCGCATTCGTCGCAGCCATTGGTGCTGGTGTGCCACTTCCGCTGATGGACCTGGTCTTTGGACAATTCGTAACAGCCTTTGTCGACTTCAGCCAAGGAAGGTACAGCCCTGACCAATACATGAACCAAGTCGTCAAGTACACATTGTACTTCATCTACTTGTTCGTTGCCAAGTTCGTCTTGGTATACATCCACACAGTATGCGTATCCATGGCCGCGATCCGGACCACAAAAGCACTGCGGGTGGACTTTATGACTTCTCTACTCCGTCAGGAGATTGCATACTTCGATTCCAAGGATGCTGGATCGCCATCGGTGAAGGTCACTTCGACGGCCAATCTTGTCAACCAAGGCATCTCCGAGAAGCTTTCACTCACCATCCAAAGCCTCACGACCTTCGTCACGGCCTTCATCATTGCGTTTGCAGTGCAATGGAAACTCACACTCATTACCATTGGTATAGTGCCGGCTATAATCATCGTCACTACGGTCTGCGTAGCCATCGACACCAAGAACGAGACCAAGCTTCTGTCAATATACTCTCGAGCGGGACTCCTGGCAGAAGAGGTCTTCTCTAGTATTGCAACCGTGCATTCGTTCTGGCTACACCCTGAGATGGTCAAGCGATATGACAATCTGGTTGCTGATGCAGAAAAGGAGGGATTGAAGAAGCGACCGAATCTGGGCATCCTGTACTCCTTTGAGTACTTTGTCGTGTTCTCTGGATATGGCCTTGCTTTCTGGCGTGGATGTCGAATGTACGCAAGTGGTGAGATTGAGGAGTCTGGCAAAGTCGTTACGTGAGGATCATCTGTCTTCTGAAGCAATATTACCTGCTGACGGACTCTTAGTGTCATCTTCGCCGTAATTGTGGCCGCTACCATCCTCACACAAATCGCCCCACAGATCATGACTCTGTCGAAGGCTATAAGTGCTGCCGATGATCTATTCAAGACAATCGATCGGCAGTCTAAAATCGACTCACTGGCAACGCAAGGCGATCGACCGTCTGGTTGTAAGGGCAAGATTGAAGTGAAAGATATTCGGTTCTCCTACCCATCACGGCCAGACGATGAGATACTTCGGGGTCTGAATCTTGACATTCCTGCCGGGAAAACCACGGCCTTGGTTGGTGCGTCTGGGTCTGGGAAGAGCACGATAATTGGTTTGCTTGAGCGCTGGTATGATCAGTCTCACGGTGTCATTACCATTGACGGTATCGATATTCGTGAGCTCGACATTCAATGGCTGCGTCAAAACATCAGACTGGTTCAACAGGAGCCTGTCCTTTTCAGCGGCAGCGTCTTTGACAATGTGGCGTATGGACTTATTGGCACCCCTTACGAGCACAGTCCTCAAGAAGAGAAGATGAGGCTCGTCGAGCAAGCCTGCATTGATGCCTTTGCCGATCAATTCATCCGGAAACTCCCCCAGCAATATAACACCAGCATCGGTGAACGTGCGCGAATGCTCTCGGGTGGCCAAAAGCAACGCATAGCCATTGCAAGGAGCATCATCTCGAATCCGCCCATTCTACTTCTCGACGAAGCAACGAGCGCGCTTGACCCCAAGGCCGAGCAAGTCGTGCAGCGTGCGCTCAACAACGTGTCTGCGAACCGAACAACCATCACAATCGCGCACAAGCTCTCGACCATCAGAGACTCCGACAGCATTGCGGTGATCTCAAAAGGCGCCGTCATCGAACAAGGCACCCACGACGAACTTTTGGCTCAAAACGGTGCATACTCGCGTCTTGTCAATGCTCAGAATTTGGGCGGCGGATCCAACAGCAACGACGATAGCGAGAGTGACGTCGAGTCGGGCGAGGATGGCAAGCTGGAGCGCAATGCCTCACTTGCACGTACTAAATCTGAGCGAGTCGACATCGATCCAGACGAAGATTCTGATGAAGAGAAGGAGACCATGAATTACGGACTGCTCAGATGTATTTGGATGTTGCTGAAGAACGAGCCAGATCTGTGGCCGCACTTCTTCATTTCCGCAGTCTGCTGTATTCTGGGAGGTACGCTCTCCATACCCACCTCTGTCGTGTCCATGAAACTCTGCTAACACTCGTCATCAGGTGGGACTTACCCAGCTCAGGCAGTACTCTTGTCCCGCACGTTCGGTGTCTTCCAACTGCAAGATGCCAGCAGGATTCGAAGCCGTGGTGACTTCTGGGCTCTTATGTTTTTCATCATAGCGCTCGCCAACCTCGTCATCTACTTCATCGTTGGATGGTCTACAACCGTCATCTCCCAGGTTAGTAGTGCTTGATTTTGCTCCACGCAAGCACCTGCTGACTTGATCACTAGAAACTGACACGCCGCTATCGACTTCGACTCTTCAAGACCACCATCCACCAGGACATGGAGTTCTTCGACCAAGCCTCTCACGCGAGTGGGGGTATGACATCTAAACTTTCCAGTTGCGCCACCAACATGCAAGAGCTCATGGGTATCAACATTGGCTTGATTCTCATCAACATCACCAATGTCACATCCAGCTCTATCTTTGGTATCATTGTCGGCTGGAAGCTGGGACTCGTCTGTGTGTTCGGGGCACTCCCTCCACTTCTCTTCAGCGGCTATCTCAGAATTCGCCTCGAGACCGCACTGGACGATGCTACTTCGAAGAGATTCGCCAGCAGTGCTGCTATTGCTGCTGAGGCCATTTCCGCTATACGCACTGTAGCATCGCTAACACTGGAGAGGACAATTCTGGACATATATCAAGACAGACTTGCCAACGTGGCAAGCAAGGCAACGAAGGCATTGTTCTGGACCATGTTCTGGTATTCCCTGACGCAGTCTATCTCGTTCCTCGCCATGGCTTTGGGTTTCTGGTACGGCGGCAAACTTGTATCCACGGGCGAGTACGACACGACTCAGTTCTTCGCGATTTTCATTGCGGTCATTTTCGGTGGCGAGGCGACGGCGGCGTTTTTCCAGTACACGACCAGCATCACCAAGGCACAGATCGCGGCGAACTTCATGTTCTGGCTTGAGCACCGTGCTCCAAAGCAAGACATGGACCCTTCCATGCCATCGCCAGACGAGAAAGATGTACACGGTCCCGCAGCAATCGGCTACGACGATCTCACATTCGCATACCCAGCACGCCCGAACATTCCCATCCTCAACGGCATCGACGTCACGATTCCACCAGGCAAATTCGCGGCTTTCGTAGGCCCTTCAGGCTGTGGCAAGACAACGATGATATCCTTGCTATCTCGCTTCTACGACCCCAGTTCCGGATCCATCTCCCTGAACAAGCAAGCAATCACAGACTTGACGCCCCGTCACCATCGTCGCCGCATCGCACTCGTCCAGCAAGAGCCTATCCTGTATCAAGGCAGCATCCGAGACAACGTGGCCCTGGGCATCGCCGAGTCTCGCGAAGCCACCGAAGCTGAAATCGAAAAGGCATGCACTCAAGCCAACATTTGGGACTTTGTCAAGTCGTTACCTGAAGGCTTGAATACCTTCGTCGGCATGCGCGGATCTCAGCTCTCTGGTGGCCAGCGCCAACGCGTTGCCATCGCGAGAGCTATTATCCGCGATCCGAGCGTTTTGCTGCTTGATGAAGCGACATCTGCGCTCGATACTGAGAGCGAGAAGATCGTGCAGGCGGCGTTGATGGATGCAGCACAAGAAGGCAGCCGGACGACAGTGGCGGTGGCTCATCGACTGAGTACCATCCGAGACGCGGATTACATCTTCGTGTTCGAGGCTGGAAAGATCGTCGAATCGGGTAGTCACAATTTCCTCTTGCAGAAGAGAGGGAGGTATTATCAGATGTGTCAAGGGCAGGCTCTAGACCGAGCGGTATAGCAAGTGAAGCACTCTTGTGTATTTATTAGCGAGGCGCTGGGGATCTGTTAAAGTAGAGGATACTCCTACTCAGTCAGGACAGAATCATTACAGCATTCGACTCCAGTATCTTGAGGCTCAGATTGCCAAGAGTGATGCCCTTCTTCGCCGTAGAACGAGTATACCACACCCTCTTTGTTGTTGCAAGAGGCGCAAGCCTCTCCAACACGGCCGAATGAAAGGGATGCACCAACTCAACCACAGCCTTGGGAGAATTCAAAGACCAGAAGTGGCCTACCTAGGTATTCGCTGCCTGCGCATGATTGCGAAAGATGTCGCCAACGTGTCTATCCATTGCATTCAACAGCACAAGACACATGCGAGAGCGTGAGAGGCATCGTCAGCCCAAATCCTCGGGGGATCTGATTGACTTCCTGCATTGTCACCTCTGACAGTTTTCACGCTGAGCCATCTCTCGCAGTAATGATCGGACAACAATATCTGAGTTGCTTCAAAAACGAAGCTCAATTTTAAATTCCACCTCAGATCCGTCTCGGCATCGGAAAATCTTTCCGCCTGTCGCACTAGCAGGGATTAAAAGGGGCTGGCAGTGACTACACTCTTCAACATCAGATCGTGTCAGGTCGTTGATTGTGAAGACTCGAAAACGGCAGCATCAGACCTTTGTGCATTGCATGCA